AAAACGGTTACTTACAAAATATCAGTCACAGAAGCCACACAAAAATGAAAATGAAATCTAATGAGATTGTTTGGGCAGGAAATGCTTTGAAGGCACTTCTTAAAATTGAATTTCCTTATCTTTGTTCTGACTAGCCTCATTTTGCGGTTATGAAAACATGAATGTACTCTAAGAATTTACGACAATTTTTCTTATCTCACGTGCCTTAGTATAAAATTCAAGATTATTTACAAATAGAAAACTATTGTATCTAATTCTTACTGTTACCAAATAAAACTCTACATAGCAAGTATAAAATAATAAAAAACTTTTCAACTTATATATCATGATAACTAATAAACGTATCATTAAATGAAACCTGAAACTGTTCGCGTGTGTAAATAATAAAAATAATATTGTACTTACTTCCACTTTTTTTTTATTAAAAAAACTATGAAATAATAAAATAATCGAAAATATTATTATTTACCCTCTGTGTATGAGAACTGATATTATCATACATACCTGATACATGTTTATATATCAGATAGTAAGAACAAAACTAATAAGTATAGAATATAAATTTAGAGTATAGATATAAAATTATAAATTTATAAAAGAATATGTCAATAATATGTATATGGACAAAAAAAAACGAATAAAGTTCACTATTTTATTTAAATTTGTGATATTTTATGTGTTGGTATAGTAAATTTTATATATAAGTCACCAGAGAGAGACTTTGTACAAAAGTCGTTTGCTTGGACACCTCTTTCCCATTCGTGTTTCTACCATGTAGCAGTTTTGTTTGCATGCATGGCTGTGTTTCGATTTGAAAAGTGGGATATGGCAGTGAATTTACAGGAAACGGAGGAACAACACCTAATGCATGGGCAAAACATGGACAAAACAGTATACTCTGTTATGTCCATGATACTGCTCATGACAATAGACGACGGTTTTTTTTTTGTAATGGGTGAAAATGGAATGATAACCCCGCCTGCGCTATCGGTATACGTTGGCGGAGCACCAGTGAGGGATGACAGGTGAGGATCAAGCAGGTCAGTTAGCCCATCGTGACAAATTCAACAAGAATTGTTCACGATGGTTTCCAGGGGGAACCACGTGGAGGTCGACCTGATAGTGTATTGCTAGCAATGGGTTTATTAAACCCCATTACTAACAATCCCTTTCCCCCCTATAGGCGACGGTTACCACTTTCCATCAGGTGGGCCGTCAGCTTGTTTGCCATTCTAAGTTGCATAAAAAAAATAGCTTGATTTTTTTGAATTGATTTTGTACGTCAAGATTCCGAACAAGAAAAATATTTCCGGCACGCAAATACTTAACAATTTGAATCTGTATGACTTTAAATATCCAACTATATTACTAGATGTCAAGCTGCCGAAAATATCCTGGTTTATATAATTACATATATATAATTATCAAATTACAGATTTTTTGAGTCTAAAATTGTTAAAAAGGGAGTGACAGCTAGAGGGCTCCTTAGGTAGGTAACGACCACTCGAGTCCAAGTGGCGTGTTCTTGTGAGCATCCCTTTGATCCAACCATTCATACGCCAGCCTTCTCGCCTAATGAGATCGGCATTTTATTAAAATTCCTTAGCAATCACAAAATGTACAATTCCTTGTGGTAAAGAAACATATGAACTTGGAAATATAATAACATTAAAGCAATTTTTATACCCAAATATGTACCTACTTTATTTTAAACAATCACTTTATTTCAAACAATAAACTCTATTACTATACTGTAACGGCTTGCAAGTAATGTAAACTATCATATTTGGGAAAACTTTAAACTGCACACCTAAATTTCACAAGAGAAATCGTCTTAAGAAGCTTAATTTCACGTTAACGTCGGCGAATACTGCAAATACTTATGTAGCAAACTCCATAACTGCTGCACATTAATGCAATATGTTTTGTTAAGTAACTACCCAATTATTTAATCCCGAAAATTTATACCAGTAACCAAATATTGCATTCTATTTTGTAACCAATTTCACGTCTATGGAACTCCTCCCACTCTGAGCACGGGTCTGTCCGCAAAATAATCGTTTTTTTTTTTATGCAATTTAGAATGGTAAACAAACGGACGGCCCACCTGATGCAAAGTATACCGTCGCCTATAGACATGAGCAGTACCATGATACATGAGTATACTGCTTCGCCCATGATACTCCCCATGCGTTGCCATTCCTCAGGACTCAGATGTTATTCCTCTGTACTCTGTAAATTCACTGCCATATCCCACCCTTCAAACCGAAACACAGTCCTGGAAACACAGCTGCTTTACGGTAGAAACATAGTTCATACTAGTTCATGATATTTCGCAGAATGTTTATAGAAATGATTTGTTAAATTTTTATAAAGCAACAAATATCAACAAGTTTAGGAAATGGCCCTATGAATATTTTTTTGCTACATTCGGTTGAAAGTATTATTGTTATATAATTATGATAGCAAAGAGATAATCTGTGAGGTTGATGTTATTTTCAGTGATATGATTCGGGCATAATGAAAATATTCAATTTTATAAGTAGTGGTAATAACATACCATCATGTTCTAAGAATTGTCAATGTGAAGACGAATGATTAAAATATTGCTAATGTTACAGACGAACATATTTAATTTAAAAAAATGATAATTCAGAGAAAAAAAATTCTAGTAAAAATAATAATTCGGAGGCATAAATTAGGTAGGACACCGTAATAATGTTCCATAGGCGTTGCAGTTATTTAAGTTTCGCATACTTGTTGTATGCGAAAACTCGTTGATTATTCAAATTAGAACCTATAAAAAAATATCCCCGGATCTTTTCTTTATTTATTTATTTTAATGCATTCATGTACATAATATAGAGTTGTTACAATGTTCTTGTTGAGTAAGTACATGAACCCTGTTTGGGTATAGCAAAATTCCATCGATACATGCATTAATGTCAATTCAGTTGTTAGACTATATTTAATTATTTTACAAAATTTTGCTCGCTTGTAAATAGATTTGTCACGCAATTATTTCGATTTTCATATCATAATAATTATATAAAAATATATTGAAATCAATCTGGTTATTTAGATATACAATATTGTATGTGTCAATCTGATTAATTAACTATTTGCAAGTCATGTGTGATTTGAACCGTGGCATGGCGCATTTTTCCATTTTAACTGGCTAAAAAGTCGTCAACTGAATAAAAACAATTTGCTATTAAATATTTGTTTTTTAGTTTAACATGAAATAATTTATCTGTATCTGTATCAGCAATAATGTTGTGCGTACTTCAGGCAATAAATTCGTGTATAAATTGGCTACAATTGTTTAAACATTAACAGTTGAAGAGAAGATCATTAGAGGCCTCATTTCTCTTATTTAGTGGGAACGTAAATGCACGCCCATAGCGATTACTTTAACGCCTAAGACATAGTTAATGAGGCAGGGAATATTTCTCACGAAAAGCCCCTTAAGAGCAAATGGTTATTTTGATTAGTCATGAGCATGGCAATGGGTGTGAATATTTCTACAAAGAAGTGTAGTTTCAAAAAATTGCACAAATTAATTAAATATTCCACGTTTTACTGATATCAGATATAAGAAAGAAAGAAAGAAAGAAAAAACTTTATTTTACAAGAAATATGCGACGGCACCCACACAGGGGTTAAAAAAAAATCCATATATTAAGAATTATAATAAAGAAACAACACAAAAAAAATATATAAAAAAATATATATATATATATATAAAATTAAAAAAGAAAAATAAAACGATTCGTATTATAACAATTTCATCAAAATTAATTTAATTGTTGGTGTAGATAATATTTTTTTAGATATCATTTAATTTGAATATCTTTATTTAATCTCGTTTTTATTAAATTACAAAATTTATTATCATATCATCCATAAGAACTTCGGGAATTACCTTAAGAAAATATTTTACAGCGGTTGCTATCACTTTCATCAGGTGAGTGGTAACCACCGCCTCATCACCATCAGCAACGCATAGGCAACCTACTACTTCGATCAACTTGATCCACTGGCATTGCGTAGACACATTGTATCTCTTTGTGTCTTTTATCGCATATATCATGGAAGTATTCAGAGGAATACTCTTATGAAGAGACAATTAACGGCTGGTATGATGATGATAATTCAGAGGATGTATTCAGATTAATACCAGCTATTTCTTCACTGACGCATTGTGCGCCACATACTAAAGTTGCATCCCGCTCATCTGGCTGAGTGGCAGTCCTTACTCAGTCATTTTTTTCGCACAACCAAAGTATTGAGTCAACTTCCAGCAGCAGCAGTATTTCCTAACAAATACGACATTGATCCCTTCAAGAAAAAAGCATATTACTTCTTTTCAACACACTTGCAAATTCTTTGATGTTAAGAGTGCGGTAATATCAGGAGTGCGGTAATATATAACAATCAGGTGAGCCGTATGCCTATTTGCCCCCTATGTTATAAAAATATATAGTGATGTGCCGATTCAGGCTGATTCAAGTACTAACTCGAATAATTACTAAGAACTCAAATAGTCATTATACACAATTCGGATTCACAGTACCCGAATACCAGATTCGAGTTCTTGTAGTTCTACATATTATAACACTATAGTCGCATATTTATCACAAGTTTTTATGTTTCTGTTTAAATTTTTTCTTTATTTACCAGAGCCTAATTGAATATTTACTATCTTCATAAAATAAGATTCAGAATTAAAAAATTACTGAGATATGATGAAGTACTTGAATAACTGTACAAATATCTGAATAATTTTCCGAATCCTCAAACTAAAGTCTGGATTTCATTACTTTTTTATGTGTGTCAATATACTCAAATACAAAAAAAAAAGCTAACTTGGCACATCACTAACACACACCTGTATTTGCACTGTACAAGGTAACGCAATGTATACAGATGCTTCTCATGTATTCTTACTCTAATCGCCACCCTCTGTCTTACGCCGAGAATAAAACTTACCTAAGCCGAAATGCGCCTTTGGGTTAACGTCATATCCATTAGACAGAAGTTGCTGTTTAATCACTTCGTAGAAGTCCGTTCACGGTTTTATAACACCTACCCCCTGTAACAATTCGAAAAACCAACCCTGTATACAACTAATCATTGTGCCATTTTTCATTAAAATCCAACTCTGTGTAATATAGCCATTTAAGTGTGATTTATGATAAACATCTAAAGATTTTCACGAACTTTTCCATTAATAAATGTTAGTAGAATAATAGAGTGGATGGGACTTGAAGTTTTGCATGAAACAATTGTCCCATTTTCACTGACTGCCACTAGGGAAACCAAAATAGTGGACACAAGAAACATAACGGCAGAGACAACGTGTTGAATCCACAAACTTTCATTTCTTATTCGGCGTGGAACACTAAATACGAAATGTTTAATATTAATCGCTGCTTTCCCTTATTTATTTCCCAAGTTACACCTTGTTAACTTTGTAAAAGGTCGCTGGGGAAATATGCTTTCTTGCTCTGAATTTGTTTCTTGACCGGCCATGCGAGAGTTTAGTACTTATTTTTCATATTCTATAAAGAGATACCTTTCACGACATTTTGCCAAAGTTTAGTGTTTATCTTTCAAAATACAAGTGCCTACCTGTTGCGCTAACAACAATAAATATCATTTGAAAACTTGTAAATACTGATTTGTTTATTGTAAATGCGCTTCTTTACAAGTACATAATGATACACTCGCACAATGTGCACACTTTATAGTAAATTGCTTGACACCTTTGTGGTGTAAAATATATAATTATGTTGGTAAAATATAATAGCAAGAATTATAAAATCATCATCATATCAGCCTTCAACTGTCCACTGCTGAACATAAGCCTCCCCTTAGGGAGTTTTACCAGTAAATGCCATACTTGGCAGACGGATTGGTAACCGCAGTTAGGCTTTGGAGATGTTTTAAAAAGGACGCTGCTGTCCATCCCCCGGCCTCGCTTAGTCGCCTCACGACACCCACGGGAAAGAAAGGAGTGGCCTATTCTACGCTGGGACCATACGGCCACGGCCAAAGAATTATATACTCGTATGTAATATTATAAGAATATTATATTATTTTCACAAAACGGATACTGTTTCACTAATTTTACAAATATGAAAATTTGTAAAGATGTCTGAATGTTTATCACTCGATCACGCTTATGCTAAAATATTTTAATAAAATTTGATACACAGATATAGTCTATCATATATTAATACATAAGACACTCATACGCAAATATTCACGCCCGCAAAACCTGGTAGTCAATTAATCATAAATTAACAACTTTCCTTTTGCTGATTGTGGTTTCGATTCCCGTACAATTCAAACAACTGTATGCCATTAATCGCTGTCAGTAGTAGTAATAACAAAAACACGAGTTTTTATTAAAAATAAAAAAATACTTTTATTAATTATTTATTGAATAAAACACGTAAATATACGAGAGAAGATTCAAATGAGTGCAATTTAACTCTTATATTAATGTAAGCTACAATTTAAAATTAAAATATAGAAACCAGATTCACACTGTCCAGTTTTTATCAACGGACTATAAAGTAAATTTAACTTTGGTTACGTTTGCCAAAATTCTCATACCTGATAGGACATGGGAATTGGGATTGCTGCACATCGTGCCCCCAGTAACCGGTGCCGAAGCACTGCCGTAGCTCGTAAATACGCAAAAACTTGCTGCCAAACTTCCGCTGCACTTGTTTATGAATACGATACCCGGAGGCTGCCCAGGGATCTATCAGAATAAATTATGAACTCATGTTTTTAATATCTCAACTGAATAGAATAGAATAAAAAACATTTATTGGCTATAAAATAATTTTACTTAAAGTCTTTACCAAACTTAATTCAAGTACCAAAAAAGAGAGGTTTTTAGATATGGAATTCAGAAAATGAATATTTCTTAACCATTATCAAACACAAAATTAGTTGAATCGTAACTAATATACATATTTATAAATACACCAAAGTATGAACGTAATATTAAAAATATTAGAATGATAACAAATCTTACTTACCGAAATAACGCGACCTCTGACCGTTATAATGTGTGGGGGAACTTAGAAGAGTATAAATTATTCTACAGGATTATTAATGTTGGTTTTCAGTAATATTGACACCTGCCTGGCTGACTGTCCCGAGCCTGCACGGAGAGTGTCGGAGCAAAAAGGCAAGCATTAATCTTTAAATAGATATCGCCCTTCTATACCCACTTAGATAATGCACTTCAATATAATTTTATACACAATAAATTAACACCTACAAAAACAGCGATCTTGATAATCTTAACATTACATATAAATAGGTACAAACTTACTGTTCCAAAGTATCATTTAGAAAATGTAATATGGTCTTTTATTACAGTGAGCATTAACTTTCATAATAGGGATTAAATATTTTGTATCTACCTGTTAATAAATTTAAAATTGTTGTCAAAAAGCACTTATTGATTTCTTAGATGACAAACATGCTTGGCATTAATTGGACCAAACATATGATAATACGAGTATACCGAATATTCAATTTGTTATTTATATATAAAAAAAAATTACAAATTTATTTCAAAAGAAAATAAATAGAAATGTGCAGTCGAGATCCTTTCTAATTCAAAATTATGGCATGCATATAAATGATAAAAAATGACCTTTATGGATAAATTATTATGATTTCTTGATTTCTATTATTTTTAAATTCCGTAAATATATTACGAATTCTACGACTGATCATTTTTAGAATTCATATGTGTGTATGAACTAAAATTTTATAATTATGGAAGAAAACAGAAATACAACTTCAACTTTATATAAAGACACATAGAACGTAGGCCTTCAATAAATTAAAGAAAAATATTGTAGATAGTGTTATCAAATACCTAATCAGATTTTTCCATTTCAATTCTGAATTCATTCAAAATGAATATTTCAACTGCCACAAATATTTATATAATCAGAAATTCTAACAAGTAGAGCTTAATGTACGTTTTAACATGGCAATCTGGTATCGTGCCTCATGGTTTTTAAAACATACATACTTAGATTGTATCAATGTGAATAATTAATTAACGACGTAAACATTTTGAGTGGGTAGTTTGAAGTTAGTAATAATAATACTGGTAGGTACCCTTTTAAGTATACGTATATAAATGTAAACATATAACTTTATATTTATAATTACGCCTAAATAAATAGCCTTTTAGTTAATATTCATTTAACTATGATTAGGTATAGTAGTTTTGTTTACTTCGCGCTCTGTCTCTCCCGCGACTTCACTGTATCTCTTACAACACTAATGGGAAAAGAAGGAGTGGCCTATCTAGACCACACCGTTCCAAGGTTAGTGTTTTTTGAAAATGTTTCAGTTTTGATAAGGTAGTCTTTTTTTTTAATTTGCGAAACAAAATGTACCAATTTCACTACCATATCGCATCTTTCAAACTTAGCCATGCAATCACAATCGCTTGATATAATATAAAATAGAAACACTGCATTTACTTTTCGATATATCCCGAATGCGCCTTAATAAAGAAATTGTATTACAAACTCGGTTATATTAAACCAACAGTATCAGGTAATCGGCATTGTAAAATGTACAAAAATTTAAATGAGAACGGCAGGTACGTACTCTATCCAGCTACATAAAACTAAACTTTTTACTGCATCATATAATCATAAAAAATTTAGTCGGACTGTGTAAGCTTGACTTGCAATCATCTGATGCATGGTATTTTATAAAACATACACAATATTATCTTTTATATTATGTAGTAGTGTTTGTCATTTGTCTAAAACCCGTCCATATTACAAGCTATACTTAAATAACTAGATAGCGTCGTATAATACTAATACGAATATAATTAACTGTATTTCACAACTTCGACTGCGTAAATAAGGCATCCTATATTCTAAAATAACCTATCCGTGTAACAAATTCCATTCAAATTCATTTAGTAATTTTTGTGTGAAAGAATAACAAACATCCATCCAAACATACATTCTCACGAACTTTCGCATTTATTATAGTAATATGGCTCTTATTAGGATATTATTAAAGTATTTTTTTTTAATATTGATGACTTTTTCAAATAAATATTTCCTGATAACAGTTTAGGTATGAATATTGAATAAAATATGACACTATTTAAAAATAATCTGCCTAGGTATAAGTGAAGGTACTAACTGTTTAATGAAGTCGTAAAAGTAGTAGGTACCTACTTAGTAAGTGTTTATATTTACGACTCAGACTACAGATTCCCGCTATGGAAATGTAGATATATAGGTATACCGAAGTATGGTTGTGGAATGAGCTCCCTCCCGAGGTTTTCCCAAGAGACTACAGCATGAGGTTCTTCAAAAAGTGGGTAAAAAGGTTTCTTCAGGGTCGGCAACGCACGCGTAATACCTCTGGTATTGCAGGTGTTCATAGGCTACGATAACCACTTACTATCAGGTGGGCCGTATACTTGTTTGCCACTTCAGTGGTATAAACAAAAACATATTTACCGCCGTTTAATCGTCGTTAATCCACGTTACTAATAATCCCTCCTCATTCCTATAGCCTATAAATGTTATTTTTTGATTCAATTTAAAAGTTACACCTAATGCGTATATTTTTGTGGTACCACCGTCACCTTTTATGATGATGTGATAAAACTTGTCCAAAAACAGTATAAAAACAAATCTAAATATAAATTTACATTAAATATTTTTTTGATTAGCTAGTTATACCTACGAGTAGGTAGGTACGTTCCACACTGATTTCAAAAGCATATGGAATTACTTAAATACAAATCTATTACCATCTCACGAGGAAACACTGAGTGATTCTCAACTTTTTTTTTGTTGCGGCACATATTTAACGATTTCAAAATTTGGCGGCACACAAAGAAAAAGATAAAAATTATTTACTTACTACAACACACTACATAAATAGTTTATGACAAAAAATTTAAATATTTGCAAAATTTGGCGGCACACAAAAGTGCTGCGGCACAGTGGTTGAGAATCACTGTTATAGATGGTCGATATATTTTCAATACTTACCACAAATAATATAACACTGTATGTATCTACGTGTATACCGTAAAAACTTTATTTTCGCGCGCCGCGCCATAAAATTTACAGAACACATCACAGCTAATAATAATAAATTTTAATCGATCTAGTGACTCTCCATAACAACCTATTACCATCTCACTACTGGACTCAGACCGCATCTTCTGAAGAAGATATTATTAGCCTACCTAATGTTTTTTTTAATGGATGCTAATGGAATGGTAATCCCGCCTGCGCTAATGGTATACGCTGGCGCGGCACCAGTGAGGAATGATAGATGAGAATGAAAAAGGCAGGTTAGTTAGTCCATCTTGATGAATACACTTGGAATTCAGCACAATAGTTTCCAGGGGGCCACGTGGAGGTCGACCTGGTAGGGTCTATTAATAGCAATAGGGCCCTTAATCTCTATTACTAACAATCCCTTCCCCCCAGCTTACCTAATTTTAGGCTAGTAATATCCTAAAGACTAGTATAATCTTGAAAATAGGCTAGTAAAATCAACCCGCAAGATTAACGTAGATTACCACGCTATATAAAATTTTATTTCAAATCTTAAATTCTTTTCCACAAAATGATTGAAAGAGGAAAAAGGAAATTATTAATAACAGCGACTGGCAACCCTATAACGAGTAATAAAATTTGACAAATAAAATCTACACGCGATCCCTCTCTGAAGCTATTGTAACCAATTCCTTATGAATTCGTTACGACGGTTCTACAGACTTCATCCTTACGCCTACCCATGCCAAAATAAACTTTTTTTTTTAATTTGAACAAAGTAAAACATCAAGATTTATCATCTGATGTTTTACTTTGTCAAAATTCAAAGATTGCGGAAATCGCAACCCTTTCTTTCTTGCTTCGCACTGTTAGTCAAAGATCATAAACTTAAAAAGAAAACAAAAAACATAAACGTCTTCTGAACTAGTGATACCATCTAGCGACAACAAAAAGTAAGTTTGGCAAGAATTACAGAAGTCGGTTTAAAACTACACAGATGGCGCCACTTTAACGCCTTTTTTTAATAGGTGAAATTGGAATGATAACCCTGCCTGCAAAGCGGTATACGTGGGCGAAGCACCAGTGAACGATGATATACGGAGATGAAAGCAGTTCAATTAACCTATAATAACGAATTTCACAAAAATTAACCACAATGGTTTTGCAGGAGGAACCGCGTAGAGGTGGACTTGATAGAGTATAGTGCTAACAATAAAGCTATTAGACCCCATTACTAACAATCCCCCCCCCCCCCATATAGCTGTAGGTAATATCTATCTATTAGATATAATATCGAATCGTTATACGTATATATTTAGCATTATCTCATTACACTATTTACATATCATAAATTATAATTATATGCAATATGAAATGAAATGTCTTCACTTCAGTGTCAGTCTACAACATATTTATTATTATTTCCCTTTTACAATAGTAAACATCTATAAATATATCACCCTAATTAACTAGTCTATTATAACGAACTTGATTAGTAGTAGCACTGCCATTAATAAAATACTGCATGTTACCACTGCTACAAATAACTTCTAATACCTACTGGTTTCATTAGTAACACTGAATATTATATTAAATCATTTATTGTATTTGTATCTTATTGAAATGAAATTATAAAAATAACATTTTTTCTTCCACTTTCTTGGCGCACTATGATTCTCGAGGCCCACAAATCTACGAGTATATCCTAGTCTATGCCACATTACGAACCAGGACAGTTTTATGAATCCTTTAATTTTGTTCTACTTTGTTTGTGTTTTGTAACTTTAGTAAACATCAACTGTAGCTGTATCTTTTATCCTTACAAATATTCTATTCATCATCATCATATCAGCAGTGGATGGATAATGATAAGCATTTCATTATCCATCCTCTGCTGGACACAGACCTTCCCCATAAAATGCCTGAAGAATGATCCTAAGCGAACTGCATAACAATTGCATAACTGCATACAAATTTTACAAATATCCTATTACCTATATTTAAAAAGTAAACAAAGAACTATTTTTTTAATTAAACAGCCATATGAGACATAAAACAAATATATTATAACACTAGAGAGAACTTCATTTAATCATAAAATTAAATTACATTCATTGAACCAATGTAATTCTTCCACAGTCTGTCTTCATCTCCATCAACACATCAGATCAGATTAAAATGTCACTCTCTATGCACTAACACATAAATTGCTAGACATGCTAACACTGCAAACTGCAAAAGAAAAATAACATGTGTCAACTTTAAGAAACACGAACACACAGTATAAGTTTTCAGGACTAGTTATTTTATATCTTAAATTAACTAAATACAAATAAACATAATTAGAAGCTGAAAATGCTCCCAATAATATGAATATTCCAATGAATATTCCCAAAGAAGGTTAACGTCAGGCAGGCAGCTAGTTGCAAAACTATAAGCCAAATCTTTTTGTAATGTGAATAAAAAACATATTATGCCAACCCTAAATAAATTGCAATAATGGTAGAAAGATGATAAAAAACTGAAAATGCTACCTACCATGTTATACAAATTATATCATTCATATCAAAATTAAACAATTTTTAATGGTTAAACTAAACTAACTAACGCTTTTTAATCATAAAACTATTTTTTTTTCATTGAATTTATGAATCAAATTTATATCAGTATACTAATGCTTTGTTTACAATTCAACTTCTTAAAGATATTAAATATAACAATAGTCTTTAATCAATACTTAAATGAAAGTACAATATTTACCTTAAACTTTGGATATTCGTTCATATAAATTGTGACCATTCCAACATAAGGTAAAAAACCTCGTGCACGCCCCACTACATCCTTTTTGGTTAGCCACAATTGCCCCTGTGCATATAAACCTCGATCATCAACACTATTGTTGTCACCTTTAGTAAGAAATTTTACTGTTCCATTGCTCCTGGAAAATAGACAATTAAAAATAAGATACTTATGTTGTATCAACAAAATTTTATGAGCTGTGTTTTAAGTTTGTTATTCAATCTTCACAAACTTTTGTATTAGTTAGGTGACATAGCCAGTTATGTGTCACATCCTACTGTGTTACAAATTTATATTTTCTTAGATCTCTTATATTTAATGATTGCAAAATTAGATAATTATGAGAAGATCTATGCCTTCTCATAATTACCTTTTATTTTTTTTATTTACCTTTTGTACTTGTAAAAAACAAATCAAAATATTAGTAGAAATAAAACTACAAATTACTTGTGCAATTTTAGAAGAAAAATAATTGTGAATTCAATGAAGATTTAAGATCTAAATTTTAAGAATAGTAGAACAGCAACAACATTTTTGATTAGTCTACTAATGTTAAATATACATTATTGTAAATTTAAAATGAGTAAAATGAGATTTTATATAATTGCAATAGGGGAGAGCAAGTAGGATTCATACACAGGGAGCATTGGTACAGTGGCAATATCTACATAATTAATTAGTTTGACATAATGATGAGTGTGTGACTCCTGCTCATACATACATTGTACCAGCAAAGTAAGGTGATAGTACAATAGCCAGCTTTGAGGAACCAGGTTAATATATGTTTTTGCTTCACATAATTTTTTTCTATTAATTTTCAAACATGCTTAGCTGGCATAAATAATATTACAATTGTAGAAATGATTTATAATGGTTTATGCATTGAAATCTTAGTTATATATATGCAAATAGTCATTTTACTCTACCTATAACAGTTTATTTTATTTCAAATTAATTGGCTGATTTCTCAGGTTAGGGTGCCTTTGTACAGTTGTAGATTTATACAGTACAAATCCTTTCTTCTTCAAACTGTGTTAATGAAAAAATATTGTTCACAAAAATATTATTACATATTACAAAATAATGCCAGGAATATATATGAAAAAGGTGGACACAGGTAGATGCAATAAATTCTGCCATGAAAGAAGTCTTGGATAAAACTTTATCAATTAGGAAATCCACACAAAATATGGTATCAAACACTGAATAAAAGGCATTTCCTTTGACATCACAAAAGCTTTGATTTATGTTGGCAACACAATACAAATCAAAATATCAATAATGCATTCACACTCTCTCCTAATAAAAAATCTAAAATGGTTGCACATCTTATGTTATAATTGTTACTTTGGGAACAATAAACCCTTAAAACTCAGTGTAATTATTAAATAATTTTATAATTGGTTTCATAACAGAAATACTGAATATGCACACTCCCCTACATTACATACAAATATGCCCTACACTATATATAAAGCTACTATGTAGGGTAGTTTCATATGCTTTCCATATTTTATAACAGTGACTGTAACTTTACCATGCTTAGTATCAAAATTGCTCCTCATAATTATTAATGGCAAATATGTTGGATATACAGTAGGATTGAAAATTTTTTAAAACAGATAATTTCTCTTCTATATCACTTACTGTAAACATTGTATGAATCCAACCTGCTCTTCCCTACTGTAAAGTTTATATTGATTTATGAAAAAATAAAAGTTGTTACAATAAAGTATTTTAAACATTACTACATGCAAAATAAATAATCACATACAGTGTAATTTCAAAAGATTTTTCTCCTGCAAATACCAATAGTGTGGAATAAAACCTCTGCCAAGGTTTTTCCTAGAGACAACAGTGTGTGATTTTTCAAAAAGAATACATTAAGATTTCTTCAGAGTTGGCAATGTGCACGTAACACCCCTAGTTTTGCAAGCATACATAGGCTACAGTAACCATTTGCCATCAAAAGGGCTGTACACTGTTTGCCACTTTTATGGTATAAAAATAAATGCAAAACCAAAATTCTTATTTAGACAGTTAATATTAAAAAACAAAAAAGCTAATTGTGATTGGCAGTTTCTGGTAACAGTGTTGGCAAATTAATTAAAATACTCACTTTTCATGGAGTTTTAAAACTCTGTGTACTATAGGAATGTCTCGACCTTCTACTTTGAAGACTACAATTTCGCCTACACGTACAGGCTCCTCCGGGTAGTTAGTCAGGAACAAAAGATCACCTCTGTGGAAAGCTGGTTCCATACTACCAGAAAGGACTACCACTATAGGACTTTCACTGCCAGTTACAACCATCAAGCCTTTCCATATCATCAAAGCTGACGACACTATCATACCAAAACTTAAAACTTGGTAGATAAACTGAAATTCAAGTAAATAAAAGTAAGAACACAACCGGTTGGCACTGGTAACGTCATCTCCGATATTTTACAATTTATATTACCTGTCGCTTGTTCATTCGCTTTACATCGTCAAATAAACTGTCCAACATCTTTGTTTTTCAAAGTTTCCTTAATAACAATAGGATATAATAAATTTTTGGTTATCTTACTTGTCGACAAAACGGTCGACCGATGGTGGCTCGACAAACCACGTCAGATAGCATCATAAACCATCCATGACACTTAAATGTCATAGCATACCACAGACAATCTAATAACATTAAACAACAAAATCGATCGATTTAAATACCCACAATTTACGGGCATTATAACAACAAGAAGAATACAGAATTATTACAAAAGAGTTTAGGTTTTATTTTTATTGCTATCTGCTGCTGCTGTTATCTGCTGAATAAATACGTTTTATTTATACAAACTTCAGTATTCAGTAGTAGTTCTATTGTATCAGAGGGAGACTTTGTACAAAAGTCGTTTCCTTGAGTACCTCTGTCCCATTCGTGTTTCCACCGTGAAGCAGTTATATTTGCATTGCTGTACTTCGGTTTGAAGGGTGCGATATGGCAATGAATTTTACAGGGTACAGAGAAATAACACCTGAGTACTTAGGAATAATAACGCATAGAAGGATATCATGGGCGAGAATACTCTGTTATGTCATTGATACACATCCATGATGCTCATGTCTATAGATGATGGTTACCACTTAATATCAGGTGGGCTGTCAGCTTGTTTGTCATTCTAAATTATATAAAAATAAAAAAAAATGTGACATTTGTATAAATAAAACATATTCAATATAAAACATATCAATGTTGAAATTTTCAACCGACTTCAAATTAGGAGATCTTATTTTTTGTTTATTACCTCATTAATCCGTAAATAATTGGAAGAGGGATTGCTAGTAATGCGGACTACCAGTCCCATTGCTAGCAATATATCCTGTCAGGTCGACCTCCACGTGGTTCCGTCTGGAAACCATTGTGCTAAATTCCAGATATATCCATCACAATGGACTAACTGACCTGCATTTTCATTCTCGACTATCATCGCTCATTGGGACCCCGCCAACGTATAACTTATACTAACGCACAACGGAGCTACCATTCCATTATCATCTATTAAAAAAAAATACTAGGGAAAAGATGTCGACGTAAAAATGTAAATAAAATGTTATTTTATTACTTCTTGATATATATAATACATTAAGTAGGTACACCAATACCAATAGTTTTATTACAAACATGCAAATTCAATATTAAAATATTTTTTATTTATCGTGCCATATCTACATCTAAATTTTCAGCAAATTTCAGTTTTATTGTTATAGTATTGGGAGTTGTAATATCTGCCACCAATATATCACAGCCATTATAAAGACCCAGCTCCGTTATTTTCTTCTTTAAATTATCCCTTGTTCTTTCTTCAATACTCTTAATTGAAGACATGTATAGAGTTTTATTGCGCCCATTGATTACAGTAGTAATACCTGCAACAAAGTTTCTATGCATTAATTTAAACAATTTGCTTATTTCATACAATATACTAAACAACCCATACAGAATCATATTCCTCCACCGTTATGGTGAGAACTTCCGAAAATTCTTTCTCAATAGATTACCATCTCTTAAAGCCCAAGAGAATTTTAATAGGTCAATTTTGGGATTAAATAAATAGGCAGTGAGCGTATTTCAAGCAAGTGAAGCAGAAGAATAATGTGGTATTTCACTTTTATATAGATTAATGGACTTGTAACCACAATGTCTATTTCTTAATACTTTATTTAATTATAAATCTGTATATTTGTATAACAAGATTAAAGTGACGTACCTGGACTTTTCATCAAAAAAGCTTGATCTTCACAAAGTTTATCATAAATCATTTGTAGTGTGGCATCAGCTTCAATTTCCATTACCCGTGTAGTGTTACTACATGCTACACAATCAAGACGCCGTTCGGCCGGAAATGTATATGAATACACACCATCAGCCATATTTAGTACCATGTAGTTGTTCATATTTATGCAACATGATGAAGCCAACTTGAACACCTAAAAGTGATGATCTTGAGATATTATGTTTAAAACCTACATTTTATTCTTATACAACCTTTTATTTTTAATTGAAATGTCAAAAAAACCTGATTTACATTGAAATTTTTACATGTTTTTGCTAAGTTTAGTAATCTTTAATATTTTGATTCTGTATATAAAGATTAAAACACAGTTGCATATTTGTGATACAATACACATATTACAAAATAAATTCGCTCTTACAAAATACAAATATAATTATAATGACTAGATAAAATGGACAGACAAGAGTCCACCATTTTAAAATACAACCACATTTTTATTTAAATATGTACAGCACTTATTTACCTCTGTAGCACAAGCAGCAGCAATTGCAGCATTAGTACTAGCTACAGCTGGAATAATGTTTTTCAAGACACCCTGTGTTAATCTATAAGTTACATTGGCAATTCCATGTTTGAGAGCCCTCTCTTGAGCTTTCTCTAACACCCAAGCTACATGTTGGGGATCATCGCCATCCAGCTGTGTTGTCTCTCCCCATGGATTCTCCTTAGCCCACTGTAACACCTTCACATATTCAATACAATGCTCTGGTAATCTAAAAACAAAAAAAATTTGAAGAGTATTCTAAATAGTTAAATGAATTTAAAACAATTTGACCTTGGTATACATATAAGAGTTTGGTGTAAATTATTTTAGTCTTTAAATTAATAAATATTCAAGCTATATTTTAATACTGTATGTATTAACGATTTACCAGCGACCTGCTATAGTTTCACACACTCTAAAAATGTACCTTTCTATAGGTTAGGCAATTTTTAAATTGGTTAAGTATTTTCTATGTTTATCCATCCATGCAAACAAAAAATTTAATATTACCGTGGTGTATTAGCAATAGTGCACAAAGGAAAAGTCTTTTGAGGTGGATATAAGTCCAAAGTACACTCAATGCAAGCACTCATGCCAGGTAATATAACTCTAGCATTTCCTTTGAAGCCTTCAGTACCACCATCCACAAGCGGTATGACACTACTTTGATCCAATGACCCTGAAATAAGAGACAACCAGTTGTAATTAATGAAGCATGAACTGGATAATAATCACTAATGACTTTATCTCACTTATAATAATCTTTTGGTATAGTTTCATCATCATCAGCATTTAACTGTCCTCTGCTTAACAGAAGCCTTCCCCTTGGGGGGATTTTGCAAGTAGTTGCCACGCTTGGCAGGCGGATTGGCAATCGCAGTTAGGCTTTAGAGATGTTTTAAGAGGGACGCTGCTGCCCATCCCTCATTTCCCTTTAGTCGGCTCTTATGACACCCATGGGAAAAGAAGGGGTTGCCGGGACTACACGGACAATATATTAGTATAGTTTAATGAGTCTTAAAACATTTTTTTATCTTAGTAATAAAATTTAAACTATGTTTACACATAAGAGATATTTAAGAAAAATTAATATGAAAGATCTTAATAAGAGCAATATATGACAAAACAATAATATTTAAAACTTTCGCCTATCAGTCTATATGTTGGTCCCAGCATCATGCAAAAACTACTGCATTGAATTGAATGCAGTTTTTACAATTGTATTCCTGAAAATCTAACTCAAAAATTTATTTGTTTTATTCTGATATGTCACCTACAAATGGTCTATGTTATTAGTTTTCCTATTTTTAAAATCCAAGTATTTCATATGTGGTAGCGGGCAAAAAGCTTCCAGTAAATAAAATTTACTAAACATAAAAGATATAACGTAACTTTTAATTATTCTAGAATAAACAAAGTTGTAATCATATTAAGTAAGTCTGAATCTATTTAATAAATCTATAGAACTTCTGTAAAATTGTTAGAAAATTCAATATAACAGGAGTATTCAGTAACTCTGGATCTAATAGATTTCCAGAAAATTGTAAGATTACCTAATAAATTTATAAAATATATTGCTGTAACTATAAACTAATATTACTCACTATCATCATTATATTGCAGTAAAGACATTAACATGCCATTGAGCCATCTTCTTGCTACTATGGAATCTAGACCACATACAACTATATGAAACTGTCTGTAGAAACCATCATCCAAGTCTTGGATAGCACAGTGATGAGCTACAGCTTCACAGCCAGGAATCCTACAAGTTTTTAGCATTAGAAATAATATTGTGAATTATATATTGATAACATGAACAAAAATAGATTTAGATAAGTCTTTTAGTTTACACAAACCTACCAATAAAGTGAATGTATAAATTTTTAAAGATGTTTTAATATTTGCCACTTTATAATATTTACTAGTCTAAACTGATTCAAATAACATTTAATATATTGATTGATGTCCTAAACAACTATGAACATACTTATAAAAAAATATAATGTATAAAATTAATCACCTTTTATTAACAAATTCAACAGCACACTTTGCCTTTGATGAACCTATATCATTTTTTCTAAACAAAAACTGTCTATTTAGATTAGATAGTTCTATAGTGTCCATGTCCACTATGTGAATTTTTTTGAAACCCATTAAAGCTAAATCTTTTAACAGCTCACAGCCAAGGCCCCCAGCACCAACCACAAGAACTTTGCATGAATTCATAATAAAATCCAATATTTCAGCAGAAGGCTCAAAGTCTGGATGGCAAAATGGACCAGATCTCTCCAAAAGCTTTCTTATATTCTGCCATCTTCGCTGTTGATAATCTGATGTTTGGATTTCACCAGATGCCATGCTGTAAATTATTAAAGTGGTTCTTCATACTTACAGAAACAATAAACCGTAATATAAAATAATATATATTTACTAGTATTTATGACTACTATGACTTTGTTTGTATGACCAGGATATGTTTGACTGTGATAAAAAGTTGCCTTATCCTTCTCTCCCATACAGTATATGTATACCAATTTTTATAGTGATTTGTTAAGCCATTAAGGCACTACAAGGTAACAAAAACAAACTCACTTTCACATTTATAATTTTAGTAAGGTAAAGTAAGTATATATATACATGTATAAATCTTTTTCCATAAAACAAACAGTAAACAATAAATAAAACAATGTAACAAAAATTGGATATTTGTATATATTTAGTGAATTAATAATAAAATCATTGGCAAGATCCTTAACCTAAAGAAAAAAACAACCATTTTTAAATACAATATATTAAAACATGTATATCAAACAAATACAGCTATGTAGCTTTTAATAAATGTTTGATATGAACAGGTTTTTGTAAAGAACAAGTGTCAAGACCAAAGTCAAAATAAAAAGAAAGTGATTTTTTAAAATTATACTTTCATAATAGTTCACACAAAGTATAGTTCACTGCAATAGTTCGAAGACATAAGTAGGAAACCTGTCTTGAAAAAGAGCACTTTTAGCAATAAGTATTCAAATAAGTTTTTAAATAACATTCAAAATAATGTAAATAATTACTTAGGTTATCGACGCCTATCATAGTAAAAAATAAACAACCAAGTAAATTAAAAATGTTACCTGACTTCTTTAAACTACTTTCTACAAGAAACAAATTTCGATACTGTTCTAATAAAATTGAAGATATTAAAAAACTGAAAATGCAAAAACAGCTGAACAAAGATACCTTTACACAGAGCAGGAAATCACTACGTTATAACATGCATGTTACCGTTTCGAACAACACAACGAAAATTATAAAAAAATAAGTGATTATTCATAATCACTATCTATATTGCTGTCATCCAAAATATCGTTATCGATTATTTTCATAAAAAAAAAAGCTATTTTAAAATATAAAATCATAAATTTTATAAAAATACAGACAATAAACAAATGCAGGTATTTTTGTTTATCTAGTTATTTAGTTACTTTATTTTGCTTTACTTCAATAATTAATCATATTTTTTTTGACAGATGAGTAATGAAAATTCACTTTGGCTCATTAAACAACAATTGGAAGTATTGTGCCGAGTCTAATAGCATCTGAAAAAGACATACATTCTTATTATATATTATTATTATAATTACATTTAATTATAATATAATTACAATTATTTTCATTTTAAAAGATGGTATTTTAACGGGAATCCGCATACTACAAATATAATTGATTAATTATTTATACATATTTATAAATACTATTTGCATTTATAATATATCATTACTTATAATTCAATTTCTGTTTATATCAATAAATAATAGGAATGGTGGTAAAAACAATATTAATAGAATTTAGATAATTTTACTGGTTTGTCAAAATTAGTAATATAGTTATATTTATTAATTAGATTATATAACTTTAATACTTAACTATACTAATTATAATTATTGTTTACTCACCGGTTCAACTTTATTAAACATTGTGCAAAACGTTTATTAGTTTGTTTATTCTTTGTAATGTATCACATTAAAAAAAAACAAATTTATTTATATTTTTGTCTATTACTACGTTATATTTTGTATAAATGAAATCAAATAGGTAGTTATTTAAATTTTAAAAGAAAATGTATTTATAAGTTAAGCATTGTTTTTAAAATGGCGCCATAAATCTGTCTAGGTACCTATTCAAGATGGCCTTGATCCACCACAATGAAAACAGTTTTTAAATATTACCTGGAAACGGTAACATAGTTTCATACAAAAACGTCATTCCAACAACGATGTTCCAACTGTCACAGGCTTATACCTACATATCTAAACAAATTTATATTATTGTAAAGCTGGTGAATAAGAACAATTTGTAACATACCTTCTATTTTTTTTATAAAAATCTATTTATTCTGTATAGTATCATCATACAGAATCGATATACAATTCAGAATCATATCTTTAGAAATTCAATATTTATTGTTAAATAAATCAATTGGTTTTCTTATAATCTTACAAATTATGACCATTTTCTATACAATACATCCCCAGGTTAGAGTTACGATATAATAGAGTATATTGCTAGCAACAGAGTTACTAGCTCCCATTACGGACAATTTCTTCCGTGTTTCTGTAGTAGATATGACACAGAACCATTAGTAATTAAGTAACAATTAATCAAATGGTTCTACCATTAGCGTATTTAAGAGAATATTCTAGGAGGGATTTGGCCAGACGTTTTTATGAAACTTCGTTTGTATCCTGGTGCTGACAAAACCCAATTGTGTCTAGAAGAAAACTAATTTTAAATAGCAACTATTTAAAATTTAATAGCAAAAATTTACAGTTTTTATTTTATCATTCATTCTATATAATTTCTTGTTCTTAGACTCTGTGAGATGATATAAGATATATGGCTGCCTCCAATCTTCTTATGCAAATATAATTAGTAAAAAGAGGACGAAAGATACACCGTCAGTTGCTACTTTCCTCAGTTCATAGCAAGCTAGTTTATAGAAAATGTATTATGTAGAATTTTAGCTCATATTGGTATGTCAATTATTTGTCAATAACAAATTTTACTTATTATATTATATAGTCGTCACAGTGTATGTAGAAAGTATGCAAGCAGGTTATATCTGAATTTAGTAGAATTATACGACCAATAAAACCTATTGAAAACTAGTCTACTACAAATCGAGAAAAAAAGTAACTAATAGTATATCTCACGGCGGAAAGGGATTGTTAGTAATGGAGACTGAGAGTCCCATTGCTAGCAATATACCCAACCAGGTCGACCTCCACGCGGTTCCGCCTGGAAACTATCATGGTTAATTCCTGATGAATTCATCATGATGGGCTAACTGGCCTGTTTTCATTTTCATCTATCCCCTTCACTGGTGCTCCGCAAGCGTATCCCGTTAGCGCAGGCGGGGCTACCATACCATTTTCACCCATCAAAAAAAAAGTATATCTCACACCCTCTTTTTGCTAATAATAGCAACATAAGAAAAAAGAGGCAAAATGATTTACTGTTTATATTTTATCATTACTTCTATGTAATTCCTTGTTCTTAGGTTTAAGACGACTTTATCTATGTTAAAAGTAAATAACAGTCCTCTCTCTATCCAGCGATATAGGAATTAAAATGACTTCTTTTGTACTACATCAAAAATAGTATTTTCGGTTAGAAAAAAGTGCATGTAATCCATCTATTAAAAGGCAACCGTGTTAAATTTTTAGGAAATTAATAATATATTAAAATAGTTAGTGGTATTTACTATAAGGAATCGCATTATAATTTTTGGTCTTGCCAGTAAATATATTTACATTGTCTTATAAATTTAGAACTTACACTTAGTGCTTTCCTGTGTGCTAAAATTATTGGAGTCAAAACAATTTACCAAAAATATACTATAAATATTTCTTGTTAACTAAATAATTTATAGTTATTTTAATTGATAAATACTTTTTTAAAATATTTTACATTTAATCTTATAATTTACCGTCTATTGTCACACAATGATCTACACAGTTACGTACTAGTTCTGTAGCTATAGATAGATAGATATTCATTTGTTGAAAATGGAGGCGTGATGTTCGTGCATTTGTCGGAAAACCAAGATTTTCAAGTTTGCTATTCCGGGTATTTCTAGGTAAGATAAAACATTTGTATAAACGCATTGATTTTGGTACATCACAAAATGCCATTTTATCATAATTGTACATCCAAAATATCTACCTTATTGCTATAATTTAAGGGAGAGACTACGACTAAATCTTGGTAGGTATCACCTTATGCTGTGACCATGCTCGATTTAAAAGTAATTTAAATGCAAATCTTTAGATAAATTTTTGGATTCAACCTAATTTTTATCGAAGCACATTGATGTGTTTTTATATATGGTATTTTCATAGTTACTGAATTCAAATGTTATTGCCAACCTAGTTGGTCAGCTTTATACAAAAGTGTACCAGTATGTAATTGTTACAATTTATATATATATACGTTATTCTTGATTATTTTTACCCTTTTACTTCTTATAAATACTTAATTACAATATTAAACATATTTTAAAGGTATCTTCTTTCATAGATTGCACTATGGCTGGCAATAAAATTAATACAAAGGGTAAAAGTAGAGATGATAAAAACAAATTAAATAAAGTCATAAGTCAAGGTAATGAAGAGAATGAAGAAATTGATTTTTCAATATTAAGAAAACCAATATACACAAGTGTTACAGGCCTAGCCCAGGCAAGAAAAATATTTGACTGTGCTACTGAAGAAGTGAGTATCTGATTTAAAATTACCTAATTGCTAATAATTAAAAGATATTAAAAGAATAACATCCTTTCATTGCTAATAATTAAAAATTCACCAACATATGCATACTAAAATATTTAATGATCTTATTTTTTTGTATGTACTTGTATATTAATTCAAACCTACTTATTTTCAGCTAAAAAATTTGCTTTCTTCTGAATGTGATTTATTGTATGAATGTAAAGTATGTCGTAACATATTTAGAAGTTTGGTGAATTTTATATCTCATAAACGTGTTTACTGTAAAGAAACATTCAATTCTTCTCAACACAGCCACTTCATCAACCCTACCTCTACAGTAAGTTTGATATTTACAAATTTAATAAATGATTAATTCATATTTTGCCTTTATTAGCGAATAAAATATATATATATATATATATATAGCAAAATAAAGAAAAATATTTTTGTTTAATAATAAAAATTGCTACATTTTTTGTAAAATAAATGTAGCAAATTGCTAAAACCATGAAATATATTTGTTTTTTCAATTTTTAAGGCTAATGAAATTTTGAAGATTAAGCGCTTGGAGGAAGGATATCAACAATCGTTGGAAGAAAAAATTGGGTCAGAAAATAATGATATGGAAATTGATGAGTTTGAGGACAGAATACCATTGACAAAGGATTTAACAACTATTATGGAGAAAATTACAAAGAATAAAGGAATTAGTTCAAATAAATCAGAACAAAACATAGTTTTACAGAAAATTGCAGGTAGTTCTGTTGCAGTATTCCAGAGTGTAGACTATTCTGAAGAAAAACAGTTTGATAAAATGAAGGCTCAAGTATGCATTTTATATTTTTAATAATTATAAGCTATATATAACATATGTATATATAATTATAGTATATATCTCAAACCCATTTTTATTTTTTTATACAGTTAGATTTTTTGAGATGGGTATTTTCCATTTTTCAAAATCTGTAAACATTATTTAAAATTACTTCCAAACTTATAGTCCAAACCAAAAACAGTCTCCAGAAAACTTTTTTCTATAGCTACAATCGTTAGTTGCCTATACTGCATTTTTTCCTGTACATATAATATTTATAGGTACATATTTGTGTTCTAAGACTTAGGAGGTGAATTTTTCCATATGTTTACGCCACTGTAGAAAGTTTGTAATAAATAATAATGTTTTTATATTTTGATTAAGTACTTTCTTAAAAATATTTTTTCTTAATAATTATAGTTTACTCAATAAATATTTTTTAATTAAAATAGACAATAATAACAACATCCTTATTATTTTTTGTCCACAGGTAAACGAGCTGGATGATATTTTGTCAAGGGACAAAGCAGTTCTACAAAAAGATGGAAAATTTAAAACTCAAACATCTGTTCCAACAGATACTGATAATGTGATACAAATAAGTGATGATGAAGATACTGAAGCTACTGGTATTCTTAAATGCAAAATTTGTGAGTTCTTATCCACTTAATTATTTTTCTTCTTATAATATTGACCAATAATCATCTAAAAACATTTGGAACAGAATTATGTAAATTTTTTTAATACAAACCAATACAGATAAATACATGAAATAGAACATTATATTATTATATTTATATATAATACTACCAATTCTGGGCAATTTAGAAATACATAATTTGGGCCATCTTGAATTTCACTATTCAACAACTAATTACCCAATGTATAAAAAAAAAATATATGGAAAAAGAAACCAGGACATAAAGGAAAAGTGCATGAAATATTGAATATGGCAGTGAAATTACAGAGTATAGAAACATAGCATCATAATCATCAAGAATGGCTATGCATGACGTGTATCATGAGCTTCACAGTATATTCTGTGATATTCATGATGCCATTCATATATATAGACAATGGTTAGATGATGGCCGTCAACTTGCTTTTGCAATTCTAAGTTGCATAAAAAAAGAGAAAAAAAAAAACCTCAAAGGAAACATTTATTTTCAAAAATCATAGACAGATTTTTAAAAATCTTATCTGAGATTTTCCCGTTAGTTTTAACAATAAATTCTCTCAAATTAACATTATGTTATGTTTAAGCAAAGTTATGTTAAGTTATATTTTATACTTATTGATTAATAACATAATAAATTATTAAAATATTTACATTCCAGGTGATCAACAATTTTCTACCCAGAAGACTCTGAAGTTCCACATGAAATATAAACATGTAGAAAGTCGATTGGTTTATCCTTGTCCTGACTGCTTGGAAATATTCTCCACATCCTGGAGCGTCTACCGACATCTCTTCAAAGTGCATAGGTAAATATCTATCCTATAAAATATATGTAACTATGTATTTAAATAAAAATTGGGCACATAAAAATATTTCAAAACAGCTTTTATTTTACTTAATGTTATTAAAATAATTTTAACTAAAACTTTGTTAAATCTAGAAAAACGGCTGCTCAAATTAGGAAGCTACGAGAATCAATACAAGCAAAAGCCTTCAGAATGAATAATCCTCCCGCTTTTTATGAAAAACGTAAAAATATGAAACCTACACAAGTTCAAAAAATAACAGAAGAAGAACGTGTGGATCAAGAGAATCAGGTAATTTTCTATACTGTATATATATAATATTTAACGAAAATATGTGTTCTAATTGCTTTGCCAAATATTTAAATATATAAAGGCAGAAAATGGCTGATTTGGACAACATTTAGCACACAGATAAACCAGATTATCAAAACTTAATAATATTCTTCACTTGATCTGTCTGTGATATATCAAGTGAAGAATATTACTAAGAATAAAGATATTTTGAATTTGAATATAATTTCATCTGGAAAACAATTTTAATCAATAGCTTAATACAAAGTGGATTAATTGATACAATTTACAATATCAGTTGTCACAGGCATTCATTAGTAACGGAAAAAAAAACTAGTACAAGCGACATACTCGTAAAAATGTGATAAGATAACGAGATCAATTTAAGAAACCTTGCTTTTTTTTCATCGGTTAAAAGTATCTATGCCGTATTTTAATTTGTAACAATCTAATACAGACTTTTGTCCTTCATACAATGCCTGCATGGACCCCATGTCGTTTTTTTACCGCTGTGCTAAAAATAACAGATTATGAAATAGCAACGCACGAAGCCTGTTGTATAGGCGTCCCAATGTATTCTATGATTTCCATTGCTTAGGCTTATAGATGCTAGTTGTCATTTTCCATTACGTGGTCATTACGTATTGATTCTATAAAAAATAAATTCACTCATATCACAAGACCTTATTCTTAAGCCATACAACCTATGGGTAATTTATCACATTTAGGTTGTATATATAACGCTTAACACCAGGCGGGCCATTAGCTTATCGATCATCTCAGTTATAAAAAAAATAACACCAGTCCTTTGGACATCATAAGCATATTTAGAGGTAGGGCTGAGCCGTGCCCACTCCAAAATAAAAAGCAAAGCGTTCAGCTATAAGAAAAGCGGAGAGTAGATATGTGCCTTTTTTAAGGGGGCAGGCTCCTCTAGGAAAATAATCTTAAATAAGCCAGTTTTTAGCAAAGAAAAGCAAGCTAAAGTGGCAATGGACTGATCGTATAGCTCGAAGAACCGATAGCCGATGGCGAAGAAAGGTTCTTGAGTGACATCCCCGTACGGGAAAACGCAGTGTAGGACTACCCTCCACTAGATGGAGTGACGACCTAAAATGCATTGTAGGGAGTCAGTAGATGCAGGTGGCTCAGGACCATTCCTTATCAATCTTAGCAATCTATGTGGGAGGCCTATGCCCAGTAAGGGACAGATAATGGCTGAAATGATGATGACGATAAAGCCAGTTTCTAACATTCTCTAACGCTCAACATTTCAAATACTAGAAGTATGATTAATTTCGTTGTATTTGTTTGGTGATGTGTGCGCATGTTGCAGGCCTGGATGGACAATATGGAGGGTGAGGGCGAAACGCCACGCTGCTTTGGGTGCGGGCGAACGTTCGAGCGTCGCGCGGCATTAGCTGCTCATACTCACACCTGCCAGCCTCGCTCACGCGTCCTCGCGCCTGCACATCCCGCTCGACGCGCTCCCGAGACCAAGAAGATCGAGATACAAATCCGCAAGGACTACAACAAGGGCCCGCCACAGCCCTCAGCCTTGAACATGCCAATGAAAACTGGTGATGCTAATGGTAAACATTAATTCTACTGTAGAAATAAGTGGGGCTTTATTTATAACTAGCTTCTACCCGGGACATCGTCTGCGTGATCAGGATATGGTCATTAACTGGGATATAAAGAAACTTATGGCTTTCTAAGTTTGTTTGAACACACTAATCTCGGGAATTGTTATTTGTTTCCTATTAGAAAAAATATTTTTCCATTCAATAGCTCATTTTTTAGGAAAATTAAGGCTATTCGACATAGGTGTTTTTAGGGCACATGCTCATCCCAAGATCAAAAGTGGAGCTTTCAGCTATTTATAAACCTTTTTCAAACATTTATATATACAGAAAGCTGGTTGTGTTATATTTGAATAAGAAAAATAAGGGTATAGGATACCCTTATACTATTACAGCCTATTCATTACACATAAGAGATCAATTTTATATCTCATATTAAAATTATCAATAACAACCCCCCCCCCCCCTTCTCTCCAAAAAAGTAAACTTAAATATGCTTCAATAAATTTATAATAATTTCTTTCCTTTCTATACTTTCTATTTAGCCAAAATGTTGTGTTACCAATGACATGATTTAAAAAAGTTTTTACTTTTACAGAAACTAAAGTTTCATCTGAAGATCAGTCACCAATAAAAACTATAAAAAGTGAAGAAAACTTTACATCAGTTCAACAAAAGGATTTAGTAGAGACTACACCAACTAAGATGGGAGACAATCAAAACTCCGATAATAAATCTTCAGAAGATGCCGAAAAGAATAAACCATTACTTGTTTCTAAATTGCCTAAATTACCATTTGCTCATCAACCGGAGAAAAGTAATTTGACAGCTTTTAAACAAAAAATACAACCTGATATTGACACCCTAAAGAACCTTTGTAAAAGGTGTGACATTCAACATAATAATACAGAAGAATTATATAACCACATGGCTGCTCATTATAAGTGGATGCGTTATGCTTGCAAATTATGTAATTTCAAAAATTACGAATTTGAAAAATTGCCTGAACATGTTAAAATTGTTCATAAATTAAAGGGTGACACAGATTTTTATTTCAGTACTGTAAAAGCTATTGATGGTGCAGAAGCACTAGAACTATCTGAACTAGTCGAAGAATTAAATGATAATAATGAAAGTCCTGATTCTAGACGTCCTAGTAGATGTTCCAGTGACTCAAGTCGTCTATCTGATGATAGTTCATCAAGTAGTACTAGAGTGGAAGCAGGATCTAGGAAGAGGAAAATTAATCAAAGTAGAAATGTTTCTAAAAAGAAAAAAGAAACTGTAATTAATGGTAAGAAATATAATTGATATTTTTTATTTGTTAGTTTTGCATATAAGCTTGTCATTTTTGAACAAAGGACATTAATATTAAAGTAACTGTGAAAGTAATTCATTAAATATAGTCTATTAGGTATGTTGTTTGCAAAGATATGTAAAGAATAATTTAAAAAATTATGTCAATAATTTGTAAGTGAAGATGTCGGTAGGAACGACTATAGGCAGAAGGACGTAGACGTAATCTGACATTAAAATTCGTATAGACAGATTTGTTTTAATTTGTTACAGATGATGATGATGAGCTGAAGGGTGAGGTGCCAATAGAAACATCACTTGTAGAAAATGATTCATCTACCACAGTTAAAACTTTTGAAGAAAATTCTTCAGATATGGATGATTTGGATGAGAAAATAGCTAAAAAACAAATTGAGCAAACTTTATCTGTAGCCTCACGTAGACCTATTCGTAAAAAAACAAAACCTAAAAATGAAGACTTCGAATATGATTTATCGAATTTGTTAAAAATGGAAGCCCAGGGTTATAGAGATTCTCAAACAGTTTCTAATACAAAATCCATTCAAACCAAAAAACGAACTATGCAAGAAAATCAAAATTATTATGATAATGTTAATAAAGATTGTTGTGGGGCATTAGTTATGTTATCTAAAAAGGCTGTTGGAAAAGCTTCAGCACATATGAAAACTACAAATTTTTCTGTCAGTGTTCAGAAAGAAACGAAGTCTTCAAACATATTTGTACGACCTATGCTCCCCAAAACTATTTCTAAATGTGATAAAACATCACCTAAAAAAGATGTCGACAATTTAAAAGAACTTCCAAGTCCTAACAAAGAAGTAAAAAATAATAAAAATATTATAGATGACTGTATAAAAACAAATATTATAGAAGATAAGACTACGGCAAATAGTGAAACCAATGAAATAGAAACTCCAACAAAGGAAGCCAGTGACAATTCTAAATCGAATAAAGATGAAAAACCAACCAATAGTGGCCTTTGTGAAACAATAAAAACTAATTTAAATATCCCCGCAGTAGTTCCCATTAAATTTCGTCGTCAGAGTTTAGAAGTTATTAAAAATCCATTAATTAATAAAAATATTACTGATTTTACAAAGGCTGGAATGAAAACGAAAATTTTAGTTATTAAGCCTATCAACAGGAATAAAGATGGGATTAAAACAGCAAGTACGCCGATCAAATTCCAAAATTTCCAAACAATAAAATTAAAGGATCCTTCTAAAAATTCTGCAGTAAACGAAACTAAATCATCTGACCAAGTAGTAGTAGTGAAAGTTCCCAAAGAAAAAAATGATCAAATTAATTCTCATGAAAACTTTAGTATGAAAGATATATGTGATAAAGAACAAGTAGAATCTAAAACAGATGCCAATGTCGATGTAGTAGTTAGTAATGATAATATGGGTATTCCTTGTAAAAACAAAATAGTAAGTAATGATATTTCTAGATAGACCACATGAATCCAATAGTTTACTATTATGTAGCAAATATTTCATTTATGAATAAAATATTGTGCTGAACTTATTTTTATTGATAGGTTAGATTACAAATATAGTATCTACATATATAAAGAAGTCTTTTATTACCCAAGTACTTAATTACATAATTAACTACTCCTATATGTATATATATATGCAGTATAACAAAAGATTGTACGAAGTAGTCGTGCGATCTTTTTTTATACTATTGATTAATTTAACATTTTCTTCCACAAAAACAATGAAATATTGACAAAATTTACTAAATTGTTGTTTATCTACTTATATGCGAACCACCACAGACGGCACAATATCACTTTTGACAATGATATGACGCTGGGCCAACTATGGCGTATTGTTGAATTCTATACAATTAAACAACAACGAAACAGTTAAGAAACTGAAAAAATTTATGCACCTATTACACCTTCCTAATTAAATTTTCGTATAAAAAATTGTAAAGTCTACAAGTCCGTATGAATTCGAAACCTTGAGTTTTTCAACAAAAGCATAATAAGATGTTGTAGTGTTGCAGGTTCATAGGCTCTGATAACCTTTTACCATCAGGCGGGCCATTTGCTTGTTTTATACCATACATTGTAGTATATAGTATGCGAAATAAATAGTTGAGTTCGAGTAGATTTTTCGTTATTTTTCTCTACATCCTCGTATTTATCAAACAATATTCAATTATCTATATCATTATGGCACATGTATCATAATCATTATATATAATTTGTAATATATTGTGTATCATGTATCATAATGTACAAAGATTAATTCTCTATCTTCACGCCAAATTTCTTGCAAAATTTACGGATTGCTATATATTTACTCATTTATTTTTATTTCTTACGACCCATAACCAGAACTTTCGACAAATGGCTCTGATTACTTACCTAAACATACCGTAGTCATCATATTTTTACTAAAATGGTTATTTACATTTTGTATAAAAGAAGTGATACTAGGTGTGACGACTAATAGGGATTTAGGGATTGTTACTATTGACTTTTAGTACATAGTACATTATATAAAGTTTGTAGGGATATGAGATAAGATAAAACAAATATTTGTCAATATTACCACCTGAAATTTAGAAAAGTGGGTACTTAATTTACATACCCTAATTTTTGTTTCATACAAACAAAAATCCATGACACAATACATAACAAATATTTAAAATTATGTCTTTAATCTAGATATTACTTATAATTTCAAAGAAATAACAGAAAGAAATAATAAACTGTGTATCCTTAATAACACTACATTTGTCTATTCTTTTTAGAACAGAAATACTAGTGGGCCTACCAGGAGTCACTTGAATTTTTCAACCATGCTATGAAATAAAACATAAAATATTATTACTATTTATTTATTTAGAAATACAATACAATTACTTTCTCATCCATTCACAACAATGACAATTAAGCATTCTTAGCAAGTGTCTCAGCCTTTGCTACAACTTCTTCAATAGGTCCAACCATATAGAATGCAACCTCAGGTAGATGATCATATTCGCCTCTCAGAATCTGGGAAAAACCCTTGATTGTTTCCTCGAGAGGTACCAATTTACCAGCATGTCCAGTAAAAACTTCAGCAACTTGGAAGGGTTGTGAAAGGAATCTCTGAATTTTACGTGCACGAGCAACAGTCAGCTTGTCTTCTTCGGACAACTCATCCATACCCAAGATAGCAATAATGTCCTGAAGGGACTTGTAATCTTGGAGGATCTTCTGGACACCACGGGCAACATTGTAGTGCTCATCACCAATAATGTTGGGGTCCAAGATACGAGAGGTGGAATCGAGGGGATCGACAGCGGGGTAGATACCCAACTCAGCAATGGCGCGGGACAACACAGTGGTAGCGTCCAAGTGAGCAAAAGTAGTAGCAGGAGCAGGATCAGTTAAATCATCAGCTGGTACATAAATAGCTTGGACGGAGGTGATGGAACCCTTCTTGGTGGTGGTAATACGTTCCTGCATAGAACCCATGTCAGTGGCCAAAGTTGGCTGGTAACCGACAGCAGATGGAATACGACCCAAGAGAGCAGACACCTCAGAGCCAGCTTGAGTGAAACGGAAAATGTTGTCAATGAAGAGCAACACATCCTGACCTTCCTGATCACGGAAATACTCGGCGACGGTCAAACCAGTCAAGGCGACACGGGCACGGGCACCGGGGGGCTCGTTCATCTGACCGTATACCAAAGCTACTTTAGAGGTCTTATCCTTGAGAGAGATTACACCAGATTCAATCATTTCATGATATAAATCATTACCCTCACGTGTGCGCTCACCTACACCAGCAAATACAGAGTAACCACCATGGGCTTTGGCAACATTGTTAATCAACTCCATAATCAGTACAGTTTTGCCTACACCTGCACCTCCAAACAGGCCAATTTTACCACCTTTGGCATATGGAGCCAACAAATCTACAACCTTGATACCAGTGACCAAAATTTCCTGTTGTACAGACATGTCGACGAATTCCGGAGCTTCAGCATGGATAGCTGCAGTTTTGTCAGTCGGAATAGGGCCACGTTCATCTATAGGTTCCCCGATAACGTTCATGATACGGCCGAGAGTCTCGGCGCCCACAGGGATACGGATTGGTGAACCAGAATCATTTACAGGCTGTCCACGAACCAAACCTTCTGTACCGTCCATGGCGATGGTACGGACGGTATTTTCACCCAAGTGCTGTGCCACTTCGAGCACGAGCCTGGGTGTACGATTTTGCACCTCGAGAGCATTTAGAATTGGTGGTAGGTTGTCTTCAAATTGTACATCCACTACAGCGCCGATAACTGCGACCACCTTACCTTGGCCTTTGCCTGCGGCTTTGGCTGCGTAATCTCTTTTGGTGCTCGCGGTGACAGCGGCGACTTTCCCGCATTCATTGATGGCTTTTTCGGCTACTGCTTTTGCAGCTAAAAACCCGCTTCCGACTCTACTTACAGCCCCCAACATTTTCAATTAACTGGAGCACTTGGGCGAAAAATATGAAACCGTCCACCCTAAATTATGTAATAACCTTAAATTTTCTATAGACAAAGTACAGAGTGAAGACTACGGAGTGTGAAAAGTGAAAACGTCTATGGTACTTTACAGTGTTGCCAGATGAAATAGATCGAAATTCGCCAAAAATTAGATCCCCCCCCCCCCCCCTCTCGCCCTTCAAGTAGCCTCAAATCTCTTACTGTTTTTTTAATGCAGTGTAGCCTAAAATTGCCTACCTTGTAAAAATTTAAAGATTATGTTCTAAATTGATATAAAATTATATTTCTAGTTATTTTAATTGCAAAAATAAACTACAGAACAGATTTTGATAAAATTTCTATGGGCTCAATTTGTAAGTTTATACTTTCAGATATAAAAATATTTTTCCAAACCGATTTACGAGTAACGGAGTTGTGAGATAATAAACATGAAAACATTAAATAAGAGAAGGCTGGGTAACTTTCTATCGATGGATACCAAAATATACGCTTGCCCACGTCCTATTACTACTCGTGCTTAACTATGCTGACATTTGTTATCTGAATGTCACAGAAGAGTAACTAAATAAACTTGAGCAACTTCAAAATCTTTTTCTCCCTTCGGTCTATGATATTATGCCACCGTAACCTACCATATCCCACCCTTTAAATGGATATGGCCATTTAAATATAGCTGAATTTTAATATTTTTGTTTTGATCATTTACCACAACACAAATCAGTTGGTTAGAATTATTTTATTTTATTGTACCATTAGCATGTGTGCGACTGGCTATGCTCGAAAATTGACTGCTATTATTATTACCAGATGCCGTATGGTCTCGGCATATAATGAGCCACTCCTTTCTTTCCTGTGAATGTGATAAGAGACGACTAAGGGAGGCCGAGGGATGAGCAGCATCTCTCTTAAAACATTTCCAAAGCCTAACTGTGATTGCCAATCCGCCTGCCAAATATAACAACTACTAGCAAAACCTTCCAAGGGTTTTGAGGCTTTTGTTCACCAGTGGATATTTAAAGGCTGACATGATGATAATGAAGCCAAAAACTACATAATATAAAAATAAAAGACAATTTTTAAATGTATAAATGACTTATTTCACATAGCACCCCAGTAGAACTAATAAGATTATTTTGTAATTTTGGATAACTCTTTTGGAATTCACAAGGGCAACTAAAACAAAGAAAATAAAAACATTTTTTAGGTACTACTTATTATAAAAGAGTGTGTCTTCGATACCTAAACTATGTTAAATCTCAAATCGATAGCAATATTAGCTGCTAAAATAAAGCGCTGTGACAAACAGGTAAAGGTACACGCAGTATAAGAATCCCTTTATACCATTTTGCTACGGAACCTTAAAAATTGGTTTTAAGATCATCAAATGAAGTCCTTTCATGTAGATATTCCTTTCTTACTGAAATAGAAAAGCCTTTTTTCAAATTTTAGTACCTGATTTGAAGTCCCTAGCAAAGAAAATAAAAAAAAACTCGGTAATATCTGTCGACCAATATTGTCTAAAATTATTAAAAAATTAATAGTAATTGTTTAGACACAGCGCTTTGATAGATAGACAGACTGGCTGATAAAGTCACATCATGGATCGCTGGATGTACGTATTGATCAATTTACTCCCACTTATACTATTTTTTCGCTCAATAATTTGATTGCATAACAGTTAAATATTAATACTTTTAATCACAAAAAATAAAGGGAGAGAAGGGATTATTCGTAACTAGTTGTATTCCGTGGCTTCGCGTGAATCTATCTACATAAAGTATCCTATTTGTTATAACCTACTTGAATACCAAATTTCCTTTAAATCAGTTTAGCAGCTTTTGCAAGAGAAAGTAGTCCACGTCCATCCATCGTTACAATCTTTTGCATTTATTATGTTAAATAGGATAAAAAATAGTATATAAACTAGTAACTATAAATAATAATATTAAAAAATAAATGTGCATAAAAGAAGACTCGATAGACAACATATTAAAAATTCATGCGAAACGTAGAAATACGTGGCCGGTACTAGGAAGTAGAATGGAAAAACGTAAATCTACATGGCTCGTCCGTCAAGTGTTGAGGTAGATAAAAATGTTACTTTCTATGGAGAAAACTTTCATTTTAAGAAATTTTAAACCATATCCTAAGAATGCTATGCCATGTACTAGTGCTCAATATAAATTTAAAAATTTTGATATTAAGTGAGAAGAAAGAGTAAAGGTTATTTGTTTGACATTAAATTTGCAGATATTTAGCAAATACATTTCAGGTTTACTATTTTTTTTTCTTTTTTTGCTAAAGTGGTGTGGCGTATTACTGGCCATCATAATACGCCTTTTATATTACTGGCCATCATATTCAGTCTTGTATATTTTTATATTGATTTTATATTGTCTTACGTTTTTACAGTTCTGTCAGATAGTCTATGTTTTCTTAGCGATGAAGACGTGATAAAAGAGAACTTTAATATTAAGCATTTTATTTATCAACCCGTTTCTCTTAAGTTCTATTAAAGCTGCATAAAAATTGCCAGAATTATCATCATTTGTTTAAAAATATTTGTGCGGGGCCGCTGCCCCCGAGAGTCGGGAGGCGCGTCGGCTGGCACCGGGGCGTTGGTACGTCGACCTAACCTACTCGAGAAAAGAGAGTACTTTGCACACAGTGGGCGCACAAAGCACTCTCCTCGAAGGGCCTCAGTCTTCGCCTCAGGCGCGTTGCACACGAAGGACCAGGTGCTAGAAAGCACCACTATATATCGTCCTTAAAAGAATGACGACGATGACTACGATGAACGGTGATGATGAGGATGAAGTCTGTGAGCGATGAGGCGATGAGACGAAATGAAACAAAGATCTTCTTTACAAATGATGCGGTGAGGCGAGGAGACTGTCTATCGCGGAGATGTCATGCTGTCAACTGTGCTATGTTGTGTTCGCGTAAGAGGTCGATTGCGCTATTGGTTCCCTCTCTTGATAGGTCGATCTCGCTATCGGTTCGCTCTCTTGAGAGGTTGATCTCGCTATGAACTGTGGCCCGTATGGACCCAATTTGTATAAGCAACTAACGCCGCTGAACCAGCGGCAAACTAGTCTCCTCACCCCCTATGTCTGTTTTATTATACTTACCTCTATTTTTACATTTATTGACATAGGACTTACTGTGACTGGTGAACATACTTAAAAACAAAGCTCTCCTTCCCCCTCATATATATATTTGGCGGAGAGCAGGGTCGCGCGTCAGTCTATCAATTGCTACCGCGCAACGCACATTACAATTGTTTTTTCCTATTTTGAGAAAAAAAATTATGCTATTACTATCTATATTAACTATTTGTGCTCATTTGACACCTATACAGGCTATTATAGGCCCTATTATGGCCTATTAAAACTATTATCTGTTTTCCTGTTTTTTATAGGAATTTGCCCCATTTTGGGACGTATTGGCTGTACCTATTGATAATTTTATTTATGTTTGATATAATGAAGCACGAGCACTTGCGCCAAGCAATAAAAAACACGTATTGAAATACACTTATACTTTTATTATATTTATCTATTACAATTTCCTCAGCCATATATATTACTTGTTACAAACACCCCAGAGAGAATCCTGCAGCGCCCTCTCGCTTACTCTACCGTAACTTCTCTTCCGTTGTCTATGTGTAATGTTGCAATTGTTAAAAATAATAATTGTGGAGGCTGGAGATACCAAACAATTAAACTCAACAGTACCAGCCTACGTCCTATTAGTACAGCCGTAGTTGTTTTATAAGTTTACATGTCCTACCTAAACTATTTTAACTATTTTTTCGAAAGAGTTTTAGAGCCTAAACCTAACCTATTCTTACGCTATAAACTATTACCATTAAGTACTATTTATTATCTATTCACTACATTCTATACATTTTTCAGACTATTTATGTAATTAACATATAAAAAACATAATAAAAATTTGTGCCTATCTGTACCACTATGTCCAATCTGTTACTATACTACGTTGGGTCGATAGCCAATCACTGTTTCTATATTTTTCATGTCTTATTCTATTTTTTTGGTCTCTATCATTATTTTGTATAACAATTCTTATAAAAACTATAAACTATTCGGAACTATTACTATATAAAACTATTTCTATAAACATAAAACTGCTACTATTAAACATTGTAAACTGTTACTGTTAAAAATGTTAAAAAAATATTTGAAACTATTTCTATTAAGATATTATAAAAAATATTAAAATATTACGAACTATTTACAATTTCTATCGGTGGGAGCGGCGATCCGGAACAATATTCTTTATAGTTTAAAATCGCCGAAATTGTTTTTTAGGTCACTTGTCGCCAATCGTAATTTTCGGTCGCTTAAATACGCTTCGAAGTAGCCTAAAAGGCACAAAAATCACCTAATCCGGCATCACTAGTACTATAGAAAAATTCTTAGATTTGAATCGCTTATACATAAAGTATTTCATAAAGATCTTTATCGATCCTGAACAATTTTTACCTAAGGATTTGACTAAAACACAGACATAATAATAAAGAAGACACAGACAATAATAATTAATTTCTTATTACATATCTGTGGACTAAAATTGCCATTAATTATCTTTAGTCACTCATCAGCTGTCATATTAATTGTCATTATAGATTATATCTATATGTCTATATCACGTTAATTTTTTATTTGAAATGAGAAAATTGTTATTTTCTGTACGTAATGTATAGAATACGAATTTTGTCTCGTGTAAGTAAAATAATTTTAATAAATTTATATATTCAATAAATTCATATCATTGTAACTATGTTACACCCTCCGTGATTGTATTGTCACATTGTTAATATAAAACCATCTCTGTTTTTATTTTTAGCACTTTAATGTTTCCAAATCTAAAATAACTTACAGGTCTTGTGGCAACAACGAATTCATAAAAAAAGCTTCCAAGTTCAACCTTGCATTTACACCATCAGGCAAAATGATTTTATTAATCGTAGATTTCAAAGTACCGTTGCTGTTGAAGATAGCTATATAAAGAAGTTTATGAAAGCAGTTGGTTGGATGGACCAATCTAGAACAGTAAGTTCATGTCACTTGGTATCTATTGCTTAAATTCATAAAATGAGTATTACTTATTAAGTATTACTTAATAATCTTTACTTTGTTATCTAAGCTTAAAAGGTTTTTTTATAACATTTGTTAAGTCTTTGTTATTATATTATAATTTGTTATACTCTTGTCATAATTATATTCAAAATTATTTGCAGCGTTTGAAACTCACAGGATATTTTCTCTATGAGTGTGTACCTGATAAAGTTGTATATAATGATTGGTTTGAAAAATTAGAGCTTCCTGATACATTTGCATCATGGTTCGTAATAACAGAACTGCATGTTTGGATTCTTATGGTACGCTATATGGCGGAAGATATTACTACATCAAAAGCAGAAAAACAGAAATATGTTAAGGGTGATGGACATTTTGTTAGAAACTGTATAATAGAAGCTTTATGGGCTGATGTCGGAAATAAAATTAAATTGCTGGAGGTAATACATAATTATGATCATGTTATATTTTTTAAGTTACTTATATAATAATTAACCATTAGAATCTTATTTATATATTAAATTAAATAATGTCTTTGGATGGTGGTTATCATTTTTCATTTGAAAGGCTTCCCACAGAATAAAAAAAAATTTTAGATCTTTAAATAAAATTACTATTTTAAACATAAGATAGATTATGTGTAATTACTATTCTCTAACCCTTTATGTAGTAAGCAGAGAGAAACAATGCCAGACACTTCTAAATAAATAATTAACTTGTCATATGAATAATTTCCAGGGAGCAAATCCAGCTATAGCTAGAAAACAAGTGACAGAATTATCAGAACAATTTCAAGCCGCACTTGTGGCCTATGATGAAGGCCTCAGTGATGACAGAGTACTTGCAGCTGCAATTTGGAGACGATTCTATTCACTATCAGGAGATGCTAAAGCAGAACATGTTGAGAAAATAGTTAATTTTATCAGACATCAGGTATTTGTCTGTTTTTATGAAATATAATCGTCTTTGAATAAACAAAAAAAATTTATGTTTACTGAAATTAATATAACACTTTTAATCATATATATAACAATTATTCAAATCTTTAGAAAAAATTAAATAAAAATAAATAAATATTATTTTAGTATTAAATAAAACTGTGGCTAGATGTTTGTACATAGATATTTTAGAAAAAATAAGATAGATAAGAATAATAGAAGCAATAGAATAGATTTTATTGGACAATAATTAAAAAATATATATATAATGTTATTTACATTGTATAAAATTTTTTTTTAATTATGTAATCCATGGATAACATAGCATTTTGACCATATGTCATTAAAAAAATGGAATATTTCATTCCTCATTATCATCTTCCTATTCTTATCCCAATTATTATTTGGGGTCAGTGTAATGTTTTTATCCATATTACAAATAGATTTGGCTTATAGTTTTACAACCGGCCGCCTGCCTGATATCAACCATTTTTGGGAATATTTCATTCCTCATAATAGCGACATATATAAATTTTTGTATGTAAAATTGCACATGTGAATGTATTAATGCTGTTTCTATTTTTTTTTCAGATATCCCTTTTAGACAAAATTCCGAGTCAAGATTTGAAATGGAAACCAGAAATTACTTGGTTAAGTATACTTGATCATTAGTTATGTAAGAAGTTGTTATTAGTTTTGTAGAGTTGATGAATAAATTATAAACTTATTTATTTAAACAGATTTTATTTGAATATACAAACAACATTTAGTTGGCTAAAAAATATAAGTTTCTCAATTCATCACATCTTTCGTGTTCCCAAAGTACAGTGACTACTATTTTACACATATTATTAAGTTTACAGTCAATATTGCAATATGGCCACCGATTGTCACTTAATTTTGAAAAGAATGCTGAATACAAATCTAGGAGGTGAGTCTCAATTGGCATTCTATATACTAAATCATTAATGGAAGCCGCTGAGAGATCTGCAAGTCCAAATGTATTCCGCATATCATAGAGTTGGAACCAATGTGGACGGAGATGTGGCGTAAGATTAGCTTCTGTTATATTGTATATATAATTCACAATATTTTGGGGCAACTGAAAAACAATAACTATTATTATTTACACTATTGACAGTAGGAAACAAGCTGATGCCCTTGATTGAGAGAGGTAATCTATAGATATAAACAACACCATCAATATCGCGGAATACATTGTGTCCCCCAAAGCGCCTCTCCTCTCGTTGTGTTTAGCTTCTGAGAGCTAATGAGTGTTGTAGGCGGCGAACGGAGTAAGAATATATTATGTTCTTACACTTTTCTTATCTCAAAATGTTTTAAATGAATATTTAATGCGAAGAAAGTGATGTTTAAAGTACTTACGAAAGTTTTAGAATCGAAATCGACAATTTTATAATTGAGATTATAGTGGCTATATGTAGTAGCACCTCCACCGCCCCATGCCACGTTTATAGGTGTACCATCAGTAAGACTGTAGAATACTTTAAACTCATCCGAGTGAACATGTCCATTAAATTCAGCAGCAATGGTTGCTGAAAATCTAAAATATATGCATAAATAAAATTAGTAACATTGTAAATTGACATTGGTAAAGCGAAAAGTCTTAAATAACCACAGTTTGTAAATATAGAGGTATGTGAATACTACAGGAAAAATAAAATAATGTTTCTAACTGTCATAGTTTATGATAAATTTATCAAAAAAAAACCTCTAAAAACAAATTTAGATTTGCAATCCAGTTTTTAACCACAATTATGGCTCAAAACAACTAAATTACGAATTGCAGTAATAATAATAACTATTAGATGTCTGTCATATAAAAAAAGTGAAACAAAGGTCATTTTATCTCATACTAGTTGATACCCGTGACTTTGTCCGCATGGTATTTGTTACTCCTTTTTATTATGTATCGATGTATATATATATTTATCTAAACCTATCTATTACGTGGGACACTCGGAAAGTTTTGCGACACTAAAAAAATGTCTTATAGGTAAATATATTTTTATTACATCTATTTAAAGTACTCTACTAGACTCTATACAATGTTTTATGCGTCTGAACCAGTTTTCGAAACACTTTTCAGTCCGCCGCAGACATCTCGTTTACAGCCTGCTCGAAGGCTGTAAACGAGGTGTCTGCTGAGAGCGTATCATCCGGCGACGAAAATTGTATCCCTTTGAGCTGATTTTTTATTTTTGGGAATAAGAAGAAGTCTCAATGTAGTTTGACCGGTATGCTGTCTTGGAAATCCCTTATTTTGATTGCGTTGTGGGCGGGCGCATTATCGTGGTGGAGCAGTAACCCGCGGAGTCCTGTGTTTGATTGCTTATTGCTCACAACAGAGAAAACTTCTGCCAAGCATTGGTAGTATACTATTCGGCGTTAATGCTTCTTTGGTTTCGTAAAGAAATTGACACCAAGTAGCCAGTCAAATTGAAAAAGCTTGCGATCAAAATCTTCCCCCCGCTTCTAGGTCGCTTTACTGTGGTAGGCGTTGATTCGTTTTGAAACACCTAAACCGTCGACTGGCGCTTTGTTTCTGGATCGTATTGATAAATCCAGGATTCATCTAAGATAAGTCTCTGTCACTTTGGATTCAAATATGCTTAGCGAAATATAAAAGTGTTATATGGAAATGTGACATTTCCATTATTATCGTGAGTATATATTACTTCATTATCTTACATACGTTTTTGTGATAAAAAAGAAATATTTATCGAATCAATTAACATCTTTAATGGATAGCTATACTTACCTTATCAGTAACATTTCACATCGATGTAAAACCAAACTTGATTTGAAACATATTAATGGTACTTTTGATAACTGTTATCATACAATTAGGTATATTTGATCCTACCTGTTAATAATTCTATTGTACTCTCTCGTCCAAGTATATGTAAGATCATGCACTCCAGGTGGAATATGTGTCAATATATGTACCTTCTCGCCAGCTTGCTCAGCTTTTTGCAGCTCCTCGACTAACCAATCCAAATGTTTTTTGGCGTCCAAGGGATCATACACTATCCACCTGTGTTAATGAAATAATGTAATAATATTTCACTTGTGCTAAAGGCTTGCTTGGGCAGTGTTTTGAATCGGTTAGCAATCTTGCCACTTGAGAAAAAATATTTAGATTAGAAAAGTAACGTTAATGGACGTCCCCTTGCTCTTTAAGAATGAAGATTCATGAGTGGTATACAGTGGTGTTGCCTACTAAATAAAAAAACAAACAAAACTTATTAAATAAATATAAAACCCATTTTAAGGCTATAATAAATAAATCAAAATTATTTCACGGGCCGTTATTGTCTCTTTACTGTTTTTTTTTTTTTATGCAACTTAGAATGGCAAACAACCGGACGGTCCATCTGATGGAAAGTGATAACTGTTGCCTATAGACATGAGCATTACCATGGACATAACAGAGTATACTGTTCACCCATGATACCCCCCATGCGTTGTTATTTCTGAGAACTAGTCTTATGCCTCTGTACCCTGTAATTTCACTGTCATATCCCAACCTTCAAATCGAAACACAGCCATGCAGACAACTGCTTCACGGTTGAAACACGAATGGAATAGACGTACCCAAACAAACGACTTTTGTACAGTCTTCTATTGGTATCATGTAAAAATGTAGTAATATAATATATACCGTTAGTATGAGTAACTTCATTATTCCATCTCTATTAATAAAAAAAGTATCTACATAAGTATCTAAATTTCATCAACTTACCAATTGTATCTATATGCAACATTGTTATTTAGTGAAATAATCCGAAGTCCCGGTCTAGCCAATATTGAAAAATCACCACGATCAAGCAATGTTGCTTTTGCCTCATCAGTTAAATAATGATCCCATTTTTTTGCTAAAGCCTCGTAAAGCCATGTTGTATTCAATTTTTCGCCCGTGACGCTTGAAGGCGCGAATCTAAAAGAAAGTTTATTATCAAAATTATCGATTTATTAACAAAAAATCAACCTTGGGTTGTGTAAATAAATTAAAATGTACATATATATTAATTATATTTATATATTGTTGTTAATCGTGTTTTGAGTGTTGTGCAACGGTCCCCTCAAAAAACGATTTTTTCCAATTGGTACCTTTTATACTACAATTTTATATATAATATTTATTTTATATTTTAAAGTTTTTATATCATTTGTATTGTAATTACAATTTTAATTTACCTACTTAATGTTATACTGATATATATATATAGAAATTTACTCAAATATAAAACAATTATATAAAATTTCACCGAAATCCTATTACTCAAAAAGAAATAAGAAACAAACAGATTTTGTCTTGTTACGATTAATTTACGTGATTATAATCTATATTGCCATCTCCATTATAAAACGCAAAATTTTAACATAAATGTAGGTTCGATTGATAAAGAAAAATCATATACATGATTAACGGGAGATTTTGAACTTGCCATATTTTTTTTTATTTTCTGCAAATAAATGTTCTTTTTTCAAATTGGGAATTAAGTAAATGAATACTTACTTATCTATTTACAAACATGATACTTTACATACTACAAAGTATTTTATAATTTGTACTAACTGGTTTGTAGGTTGAGCTTCATGATTACCAATTACGGGCACGACTAAGACGTCATCCCCAAACGTTTTCCTAATTTTGTCTATTAAATATAAGTTCATGTTGTTTATAAGTTCATATGATGTCTCCCAAACACCGTGATCAATTGTATCACCAATATAATAAACCATGTCGATACCCTGAAATATAAAAACACATTACGTAAAACAAAAACAATTCAAATCTATCTACTAATATAATTATGTAAAATTTTTAAGATGTTCGTAACTCAATCACGTTTAAATGGTTGAGCGGATTTGAATGAAATTTGGTCTACGGGTAGATTATATTCTAAAACACAGAATAATTTATATACTGCTTTACACAGGCAAAAAAAGAGGGAAACGACTAGTCTAAATTTATAAAAAAGAATGATTTGAATTGTTGAATGTTTGTTTTTATAATGTATAAGTTTAAAAACTACTCAACCAATTTGAGTAGTTCGAGTTTATTGCTATATTTTTTAAATAATAAAAAATAAACTAGATTTACCTATGAAAATTACAGTAGTGACACATCCATGATATAAAGAAATATAATTTAACCCAGGCATACAAGGCATACAATTTTGTCTATTAAAGATAGTATAGAATATTATTTTATTATTCTATTTATCTACCCGTCCGAAGATAGGATCCCTAGAAATTTAAATTTAAAATATACAAATTCTACAGACATTTACAGAATAATGATTTCAGAGGAATTGTACGTTTAGCAAACAGAAGGAAGTGTAAAATTGCAGGTTCAAATTTAACATATTACTATGCAGACTGAAATCAATATCATTAACATTCTTACAATGAAATAAAATTAATCATTTTACCTAAATTGAAATTATTTCATATATTTTGTTTTCTATTTTACTTACTTTGTGGGTCTCTGCAATAGTTTCAATGGTATCATCAAATGCCCACAAAGGTGTATCACAGTCCCTGTAATCACCCCAGTAGCCTGCTGGGGCCGTGTCTCGACTATTTGCATATCTTGTTCGTGATGACATTCTCTGTCGTTTAATCTCAGATGCTACGCTTAAGTCTAGCATAATATCGTCATCTAAATATATAATACTTCTGTTATAAAGAGACTCATCTACGTTAGAACTATATAAATAATTCTGAGCTGGTGTTTGACCATATCTGCAGCATGTAGGCTCATCGCAATTTCCAACACCGAAAGGTTCATAAAGTGGGTCAAGGTGTACATCTGTGATTATGGCTACTCTCAATGGTTTTGGATCTATTTCTGGCGTCTGAAAACAGAACATACGGCGGAACAAGAATCAGACTAAAATAACCGTATTATAAATACAATTATCACAAAATCGTACGGCATAGATAACTAGAGAGTGGAGATAGCTGTTCGGTTTCAAAAATAGTAGGATTACTAGATTTCGGTTAGTTATATCCATTTCGCCATACGCTGTATTGGGACAAAGTAAGTATGTCACCTATCTCATATGCGTTCAGTTTGCGTTTTGTTTCAACTTTTGTATATACTTTATTACACACCAATGGTAAATTCGTAAATTTTTCACTTGTTCTCTCTCTCTCTCTCTCTCTCATGCTTTTATCATTAATTAGCTTTTTATAACTCAGTGTTGCGGTTAAATTTATATATATTAATCTTACATGCATCATCGTCACTTTGCCTATGTTGTGCCCCATTATTATTTGCGTTATACTCTGTAATTTCTCAATACTTACATTCACAAATTCAGGCGGATCGGGCAATTGCACTTCCCATTCAAAGCGTGGGTCAGTAGTAGTACAAATATTGCTATTGGTGGCTGATTGTAAGACTAAACTACAAAATGATTGTGGCGTTGCTTCGGGGACAGTCCTGATGATATGGACGAATATAGGCTGTAATAATAATTTAAATCACAAAAATGACAATCATAATCTCTTATATTTTATTGATATTTAATATTATATTAAATAATATTATTATAAATAATTTCACATATACGAAAATTATAATAGCCTGTAATATGTTGGAGTTTAATTATCTATAAACTGCAGGTATTATTACAATACGTAAATAACATAACATAATAAACTACGTACTAGGTAAGTTATAAAAGGATCGAACAGAATATTGTAATCGTATCTACTACCTATCATAAAAAAATTCAACTAAAATGTCTACTTATGTATTTAACATGTTACTGTATGTTACATATAAAAATATACAATTGTATATTACCTAGATCAAAGTAGAACTCAATAAATATGAAATTACTATTTTATAGACTACTAGCTATATCCTGCGACTTTGCCTTCGTTAATTATCCTATTTATATATTAAGTTAGGATAAGACCTATCTACTTTTATACTATAATAATAATAATATTTATTTATTCTGATTCGATACATATAGCACGATTTAAGTGTACACGGAGCTTACATAATGTGATGGCTTAACAACTAGAACATATTAAAACTTAAGATCAGACCAGAAAAATAAAAGAAAAAGTACAGTAGTTATTCTGTGAAACAAATAATTGACAATTAATTGACCAGAAGGAGACTTTCTACAAAAGTCGATTGCTTGGGTACCTCTGTCCCATTCGTGTTTCAACCGTGAAGCAGTTGTGTTTGCATGCTATATTTCGGTTTAAAGGGTGGGATATGGCGTGAATTTACTGGGTACAGAGGAATAACATCTGAGTCCTCAGGAATGGCAACACATGGAGGGTATCATGGACGAAACAGTATACTCTGTTATGTCCATGGTACTGCTCATGTGTATAGGCGACAGTTACCACTTTCCATCAGGTGGGCCGTCAGCTTGTTTGCCATTCTAAGTTGTATAATAAAAAATAAAAAAAACAATAGCCACCTAGCAAAGTTAGTTTTTACATCAAAATAGTACAAATGAAATGAAATGTACCTACTTTGTAACACTAATGTCAAGTAATGTGAGGGTAGTTTAGGCAACAAAAATGTTTTCTGATTATGAATATATTTTATGTTTGTCGTACCTACTCATAAAGTTTCTAATTTAGATAATGTTATACTAGTATTTTTAATTATATTTTCTTAATCTACAAAATATATGGATAAATTTAGAGTAATCAAAGTACCTGACAAGAAATTATTACATCATAGAAGATAGGCAATGAGATTAATTATTATATATATATAGTACTAAATTTCATTTTTGTTACTCTTCGTGTAGAAAAATATTTTTTACATTAATTTCATCATTCCTTCATCTATCCTTCCTTCCATTCTATCCATAGGGGATGAATTTTGCAATACTGGAATTTTTATTATTTTTATATAAGATATTTTATCATTAATTTCAAGTAAATCTCTTAAAAAATTGTACTTTCTCATATAAACCACCTTTCACCTCTATTTTTACTCCTTTGGGTGAAATTTCAAAAAATCCTTATTATTTATGTGGGTCATAAAAGGAATCTTCTATCTAAATTTAGTATTTCTAGTTTTAGTCGTTTCGTTTATTCGTTGATTAGGCAATGAGAATTTTTCTCTTTATTTCAACACTTTTTTACTATACTTAGGTGTTGAATTTTGAAAAATTCTGCAATTAAGTTACATTATTTTTATTCAAGAATATTTATTGTAAATTCCAAGTATCTATCAGTTAAAGCAATTCCATATAAATCTCCATACTTATACTTACACATTTAGGAGCCGAATTTCGAAAAATTCATTCTTATCACTTGTGTGATATTATATCGTATCATAAAAGAAACCTACAGTCAAAATTTTGTAATTTTTACTTTTTTAGTTTCAGCTGTGTGTTGATAAATCAGTCTTTTATCTTTACAAGTTAGCATTTGTACCAAAGGATTTTGGAACGTATCGTGTCTGACAAATTTAGGTATAGATATATGGCATAACAAGATAAAATACATCATATACCTCTATGTGATGCCGGAATATATAGATAGAGACAAATTGCTTCTATTGCTCCTATTAAGACCCCCTTATGTTAAATTTTCCTAAATATCACCTAACACGACATTTAGTTACATTTTTATTATTATGTATCTATACAGATTATAAATAATTATGTTTATTTGCGTAAACATTACCAAGGTAACATATTAGCACAACCAAAGTTTAAGTAGATACCCACTTGTTATCTATGAATGTTATCTTAGATATGTACAGTATTAGACTATTTACCAATATGTATTACATACCTAAGTGTATATTATTACCAGTAACAGATTCATACTGATAAGATAGGTAACTGATTAATCGAATTTAAATAAATACTTATAATATTTCATAATTGTTGAGAAAAGTTGTTTAATTTCTTACTATATAATTTCCGACAGAAATATGCATAGTGTTATTTGAGTAAAATATCTAAAAACACAGATTTTTAAACCTTTACACTCCAATTGTAATACTTTAAGACTATTTAGGTACATACTAGGCTTCGAGAGTTTAAAATTGTTTAAATTAAATAAAATTAAATTAATTATTTACCATATTCAATGCAACAGCTCCTCTGCAAACATTATAATTTTCGATGTTTAAAGACGTACACAATGTTGTTATGACATTTGTAGCTTCTTCCTCTGTTTGACCTTCTCGTATAGTTTGAAATAGTGCACCTATTATGTTGCGACATACTATACAATCAAGACTCTAAAAATATACGATTTAATTAGTTCATAAATAAAATAGGAGGTGAAGAAAGGCATTGTTTGTATCTGGGACTAAATATACCCTGTCAGGTATCCACACGTACCCTCTGAAAATCATCATGGTTAATTTTTCGTGATTCGATATGATGACTACGTACACAACTGACTGCTTCCATTCTAACCTACTGATGCCCCGCCAACACAAGCCTGACAATGGTCAGCGCTAGCAGGTTTACCATTCCATTGCCATCCATAAAAGGTGTTTTATCAAAAATGTGGATCCCATCTCCACTTCCCCCCTTGGTAAGATATATAATTCTCTTCCTTACGTGAAATTTACCCATGATTTTTTTTTATTTAAATATCGTAACCGTTTATCATCAAACGGGCTGTCTGCTTGTTGGCAAAGTTATTAGGAGGCGGAAGCCTCCTTATAACCTTGTGGTATAAAAATAATAGAATTTATTTCATTAACAGCCGTTTCCTGCGGTTTTGCTCACGTAGAGTGTCCTGTACTAATATTCAATTCAATTAAGCCTTTTATGAGTAATTGAGTAACAAATATACAAACATCTTTGCAAACTTTATTAGTAATAATAATAATATATTCAGCCGTTTAAGCAGTAAAGAGAACAAATAGTTGTAGCAGGATTATGAAGTGGTTGTGACGGTATAAACATACGATTAATTGAATAATTGATAAGAAATTAAATGTCATGATAATTATTTCAATTGTTAGGGTTCGTTGTACTCTACATGTTTGTTTTAATAATAATACTTTAGTATATTTTAAGAGTATCATAGATATTGTTGGTATAGGTAAGCATCTAACAGATCAGTATCAAACTCGACTTAATAACGTCGAGTTTGTCACCTCATAACTCCGTCAATTAAAAACTAATTTGGATTTTTTTTTTATCTGAAAGGGTATAAAACCACAGATTGGTTCGATAAAAATCTAAAATCGGTTCAATGGTTTAGTTTTTAAATCAAAATAACTAGTTTAGCCACAATTAAAAACAATCTTCATTATTTAAATTCGCGGTACAATATTTAAGATATCCCGTTTTCAGTATTGGATACTGGTGGCGAGATGCTTATATAATAGTATACCTACGTACATAATACACACATCAAAAAAGTCTAAGCAACACATACAAATTTCAATTTTACAATGTGTTTTCGCATTAAATCCTTAGTATTTTCTTATTTATATTATTTTTTAATGCTTTTTTGATATTAAACAACATTTTTTTTAATAATCCTAATTAACAATAATTACGAATAAGTACTGTATGTACGTAGTACAGAGTAAGGTGCCTAATCAACTAAACTAAAATTAAATGGTTGTACAAAAATTGCATAAATTAATACAAAGTGTGGCCTCCTCTGATATGGAGAACTTGCTGGCACCGATTATTTATAGAATCGATGAGACTGTTAATATTATCATGCTGCAATTGCTCCCAATGAAATTTTAGTAAGTTCATCAGTTGTTGGACTGTTGTCACTCCATCCAAGTCCTTTAAAACACGTCTCTGGAGCATGTCCCATCCATGCTCGATGGGGATGAAGTCTGGCGATTGTGCAGGCCAAGGCAATATCAGGACGTTTGTTCTTCAACGGGCGGGTATTAACCCGCCCATACCATAACTGTTGAGCCGTTGTATAGATGCACTTCCTGAACTCACCTTAGTCTTAGTATTTCCAGGACGATGGTACACTCTTACCCTTCTAGTATCAGGCTTGAACCCAAATCGAGACTCATCGCAAAATAAAATTTTATCCCATTGTTCCCGGGTCCATGTAATGTGTTCCCTACACCATGCATTTTGACGAGCGCGATTCCCGTGACGTATCGGTGGCCACCTAATTGGCCGTCGTGCTCGTAGGCCATACTCATGCAGTCGATTTCGCACAGTTTGGCAGCTAACAACAACACCACTTGAATTTTGTAGCCTTAAACCTATCTCTCGGGCGGTTAACATCGGCTGGCGTCTTGCAGTCAGTTGTATGTATCGATCTTGCCGTGTGGTTGTACACCTTCCTCGACCTGGGTGCTGCCCAGCAGGATCTTCCTTGTTAGTGTAACGCTGATGAAGACAGCAAATAACGCTTCTGTTGACACCAAAATACTGAGATACCTGAGATTGACTTCTTCCCGTTTGCAACATCCCTACAGCTTTTTGCATTTCATCTGCGTTCAAATGACGTCGCTCCATGACGTAAAAAATGTCTCAAAATCCAAATATGATCAAAACTTTCTTCAAATTATTGTCTAAATCATAAAATTGATACAGAATATTAAGTTTTAATAAGCAAAGAAAACGCTATAAAATTCGAACAAATGCATTCGCTTTTGAATATAGAAAAAAAAAACAAATGATACTCGATTTTTTTTTTACAACCAGACAGTATGTGCTCTAGATCAAAAAAGTTTACATAGGTATTACCTGCTTGGTAAGAAATGCTATAATATTTGATTAATAATTTGAAACAGTATGTGTTGCTTAGACTTTTTTGATGTGTTTATATTAGTGAGTAGCAACGCAATATTTGAGGGGTATGAGGAAGATAGATGAACGACTAAAAGCTGCAAAAAATGAGTAAGTAGTCGGCCTCCGAACTGTTGTTCTTTGCCGTGTATCGATCGCCAATTTGAGAGACGACCGACCGATCGTCAGAAATAACGTAGGGCGCCTGTGAAGGCGCAACAATCTTATAGGGTAAACATTGTGTTGGAGAGGTTAAGAGGGGCTTGTGGAGAACGACTCATGGAAACGGCGGTTGGAGCCTGTAAAGCAGAAAAAATATCAACTACCAGGTTGTAGTCAGACGCGCTTGTAGTCAATCATCCACTCTTAACTACATATTATTATGCAAATATTTTTTAAATTATTGAAAATAGAAAGGCGACCCACCTGTGGTGATGTCTGGTAGATATTCAGTATTTCTTTTATCCTCACTCATATTATAAACGCCATTGTTTGTTTATTTTGGCAATAATCATCCATGAAATTTGGTATACCTACATACGTATATATCCGTACTTTTTACCCCGTCTGGTGACTAACGAGTCACCATATCCCGATCACGCAGATAAGTAATACTAATATTATTTATTTATATCCTTTAGTTCTCGGTTTCGTTAATCAGTCGATCGGTTCGCTAATAGTTATTATGTCATCTAAGACTCGTAACACATACATATATTACAAAATTATTAAGTCAAAAATATTATCGTTCAGATATTTGCTTGAGATTATATTAAAAGCGTGTCATGGAAATCGGTATATCTATCATATGTGAATGAATGAGTATACTTTATTTGCATTATACAATATAGGAAATCATATGTATATCATAGATAAGCAAGAGGACGTGACCATATCATAAAAATTCGAACTGTTAAATTTCTCAAGTCTTCATTTATTTACTTACGATTTACTTACTTTATACAAACTCTGTCAGGACCACTAGCGTTACGGAGAGGGGTTCAAAGGACTAGTCAAGGCAAGCAAGTAGGTAAATAATTAAAATTATTGTAAATGAATGTAGTAGATTGTAATACTGAAATCAAGTGAAGTACTCACCAGTCTAGCGGCACTACTATTTTCAAGTGACCTACTCGATATGGATTCATGTCTATACAATAATTCAAATATTTCCTTCAACGAAGCAGTTTCGGTTTCGGTTAACTGATTCAACATGTACTTTTTGAATAATGTTTCGGTTTCGTCTGTAATAGGAAATATTTATATAAATTCATATATAGGTATGTAGAATATATATATATCCTAAAAGAATTTATCGAATACCAAAAACAATTTCCATTCCATAAGCAGTAAGATAATTAGGTGTATGCTAGAACGTTGTATATGACTCGCTAAGATCCGCACTGGACATAAACACTAGATACACACATATGAAAGTTATATCATGCCTCTCCTATTTTATTTATATTTTGTAAGGTCAAGGTTAATCAAGGATTGTAGTAGGCATGAAATGACAAAATTAGTTTAAAGTTATGTTACTACTATGACTAGTACCTAAACATTTCGATATATATATATATATATATATATATATATATATATATATATATATATATATATATATATATATATATATATATATATATATATATATATATATATATATATATATATATATATATATATATATATATATTTTTATTTATCGCAGTTGTCTACAAAAACATAAATAATACTGATGAGTATTTTACAGAAAACGCTCATATTAAAAATATTATTTACGACTTTTTTTATCCAATCATAAATTCGTCAACGTCCCTCTTGCGGTTGACGTTGAATTATGGAAAACCTGTACAATTCCTTACAATGCGTAGGCCTACATAATAAATACCCAAATTAGGGTGACTTTTATCTTTGACTTACCTAGAGTTATAAGTTGTCTTGCTTTACTCGAACATATTATCATAAATAACACAAACACCTTCATGTTGCCTGATCGATCGCTCAACAGCAAATGATAAGAATTATTCTTTTGGTACCTATATAATTCGTCTTCACCAAGTCCCGTATCTACCTACGCGAAATTATTTTTCAATGTATAATTTATGTTAAACGTACCTAGGTTTTATTATAAATTACAAGTATGCATGGTCGATGCGGGCTGCAAAAGAGTGCAAACAACAATTTAAGTCACGATTTTCCATAAATAAATAAGTACCGTGTATCAAACTAAAATAGGTGCAAGTAAATAATCTAGTATCCATTATGTAACTATAATAGTAAACTATATCCCTACTCTAAAATAATTTATCATCTCAATAATATCTTGTGACACGATTGACTGGTATTTAATCAAAGAAATAAGATTATGTTACATCAAACGTTTTACATGTATACAGGTTGAATTTTTATTTATTGATTTATTAATTTATCTAATCAATATTTAGTCGTAGGCGATTATTAAGTACGATACGCAGCTAGACGTTATATTTATAGTTTCGTAGTATTATTATATTTAATGTCTAAAGTTACTATACTATATTATTCTCTGCTCTTTATTGTCCAGATGTCTTTAGTGTCACTGGCTCATAAATGTAGAGCTGAAATCTGGTAAAAAATATTGTATCATATATATGAATATACATTACCGGTAAATGTTGTTCTGCTATATAAAATAGCTTTTTTGTATAGGAACACCTTAATCATCTATATATATTGAAAACTATTTATTGAATAAAAATAAACTGATGATAACAATAAATATAGGTATGTAAATATAAAAATGAATGAAAAATATTTTTTTTTATAATATTACATTTAATATATCGTACATATATTACACTTCACTCATTTCAACATCTTCTATAGTCAAATCATCTAACATTTCCGCAAGAGTAATGCGAGGTAATGTAGGATCGATTTCATCAGTGTCCACAGCAATCTTATTTTCATCTTTAAATATATTTATATTTTGCCTAAATGTAGGATCTTCCTCCAAATCGTCCAGAAACTCGTTATAGTCACTATAAAAGAAATAATTATTTAATTAAATATAATTTAATAATTATTTAATACCTAAATATATCAAAAAACGAATTCAACCATAGGAATTAATAATGTAGGCTCAAAATGTTTATTGTTTTTCAACTTTCGATTACCTGTAGCTAATGTTATTTGTGTGCCATAAGTGATGCAAATAAATTATATATCTATCTATGTAGGTTCATTAAAAAAATGTTCAATTTTCCTGGTAAAATTATCCCCTCCCTCCATATAAAGTTGATAATGATTGCGATTTCACCTAGTATAATCAAACGTTTTGGTTCAACTATATAGCACTTCGATACTCGTAGTAATTCTTGCCGATTATAAAATATTCAGCCAAACCGTGTGTGAAAATAGTAGCAAATGGTTATTAATGTAATAAATATTAAACATTATTCTTACTCATTAGAAGAACTAAGTCCTTCATGCAACTCTTCAGCCATATGCTTGAGTTTCCAGTTACGTGCTCGCCGTCTCGCCGATCTCTCCCCATAGTGTTTCTTCACTAAGAACACATCAGGAACCACACTACGATCTAACTTATCAAAATTAACGTCATTCACGTTTGAATTTCCGAGGTTGTATCTGTGAAAATTAATATTGTCGTTTATAGTAACATAATTTTATACTAATGAAATAGAAGGTAAATGTAAGTATTTTGTTTAAATTTAATTTGACTTTACCCCAGCACTGTATCTCCTGGTTTCAATATATGACCAAGATGAGTTTTTGTATGGATAGGATTAACATCCAATCCTAGATCATTGGCTCTAACAACCCAGACATCAGCTACTACATGTTTACTTGACACATTCCCTTGACCAGGAAATGATTTCTTTTCCTAAAAAAAAATATTTCAATACTTTAAAAATTGTCTATAACCAAGACATATATTCATTTATATGAAGTATTTATATACTACAATCAACAATGAACTTACATGTTCTTTTAATATGTCTATATCCATTACTATGTATTCCACTAATTGCTTTGGATTACATATAGGGGTGAATGGATAGCGCCAGTATACTGTGGCTGATAAATCACATACTAAAACAAAAGTATACATAATTATAAATTACAATAAGTGACATTGTTAGAGCACTGATGGAATAATTTAGAGTATTTTTTAAAAAATGATATGATAAATAAAAATAAAACGACATATTGCGTTGCTCAATGGCATGCTTCAGCCTATGTCTAATAGTGAACTGTATAATTGTGATGATGATGAAACATTTGGTGTATTTATGTGGAAATATCACAAGTAATGCACTTTAAACAGGGATCAAACCAACAAAATGCGATGGTGAATTTGGTATAATTTCAAAGAGTTATGTAATTACGCCACATCAAATATTATATAACTGAAAATTTTGCTCTCACAAGAATGTAAGTATAAGTATTTGAGTACAAGTTTATGTCTATCAGTTGTCCAGAGTCTATTATAATTTTTTTTATACCACTGAGGTGGCAAACAAGCATACGGCCCACCTCATGGTAAGTGGTTACCGTAACCTATGAACACCTGCAATACCAGAGGCATTACGCGGGCGTTACCGACCCTGAAAAAACCTCTTTACCCCCCTTTTGAAGAATCCCATACTGTAGGTTCTTGGGAAAACCTCGGCAGGGAGCCCATTCTATAAACAGAGTGTTCGTGGGAGGAAACATCTCTGAAACCGCGTTGTACGTGACCATTGAGGCTATAGGATATGAGGATGAACTGCCTGTCTGATGGCGAGCCGTACGATGGTAAAAAGTAGCCGTGGGCATCATATTGAACAATTCCTCTGAGCAGAATCCGTTGGATAAGCGATAGAACACGCAGAATAAGGCAAAATCTCTCCTAAAACTTAAGAGTTCGATACCGCTTGCAAGCCCGGGATCATCGACATTTCTCATAGCTCGTCGTTGCACTGAGTCGAAGGGTTCAAGCTGATATCTAGGTGCTCCCGTCCATAAGTGACAGCAATACTCCATATGAGGCCGGATTTGCGATTTGTAAAGCATTAATCGCTGATCCGGCGTAAAGAAATGCTTCGCTCTATTAAGCACACCGAGTTTTTTGGATGCCAGCTTCATCCTTTCTTCGAGGCGGCCACGAAACTGTACGTCACTAGAGATGTCGATACCAAGGATCCCAATAATTTTAGAGATGTTAAGAGACGTGCCTTGGAACTGTGGAGCCACAGCAAATGGGGTCTTTTTTAGCGGTAAACGCGCAAGCTTTTGTCTTAGCGGGGTTAAACTGGACTAAGTTATGTCGTCCTCTCGTCCCTAATTAATAGCCTCTAATTAACGTTCTCTCGATTTCAGACACAAGCTGTTCACGATTGTCCTCCACGATGGAACGAGGGACATTGGTACGACCCGTATAATGGACATTATTCATTATTATTACTTTATTCCTATAAGCAACTTAACTTTGTACAAATAAGGTATGAAATAGTACAGAAGTACACTACAGTAATTAACAGTTGAAATGATGACTTCAAAACTTCAATAATATAGACTTACCTTGTCCAGTATTTGCATCAATGAGGTGAATAGTGCTAGTCACTCTATTCACCAAACATATGGGTGATATGGATCCAAGTTGATGTGTCAACTTCTTTGGAAGACACACAATGCTGTCCTTAGATAATGGAACAATTTCAATGCTGAATGTAAATTTATAATTGTAAATATTACTATGAATGTCATGGGATATAAGTTTCTTAGAATGTTGGCATTTTATTGGTAACACTGATTGCACAAAATCAACCATTTTACGGGCATGACTTTCTGTAGCATAAAAAAAGTCCAATCCATCTAGAAAAAATAAAATTATTTTTAATAATTTATCACTGTCTTTGAATATGATTTAATATGTGAGATAATAAAAAATAATTTAACTGACAAAAAAATATTTGTAATAAAAAAAATAAAGGATAATTCTTTGTTGCATGACCTTTCAATAATTATCTATTAAAAGAGAGCATATGAATATTTTTTTTGCACTTGAATATAATCATAATCAAATGTAATGAATTATCATGTTAATGAACAATATTTAAGATCTACATAATGTAAAACAACTAACCATGTTTTGGCTTAATACCAAGAGTATTCTCGTGTGCCTTGTGTTTCAAAATCAGCTGTTCTAAATAATAAAAAGTTTTCCTGTTGTTTGCTCGCTGTCTAATTTGCACTAAAGCTTTCCAGTAATCCTGAGCCTCTGAGCGGTGACATGCATCACACATTTGGTGTTGGATAGTGAATTCTACAATAAAAGTTTGTTGAAGTACTGTTCCACCCATGACCTCACCTTGTACTGTTAGTTTGACCTGAAATTGTTCTATATTTATTTATATACATATATACATATAATAAAATAGTAATGGTCAAAAAGTATATATTTTGCTACTGCCGTGAAACAATTTTGTTTGCATGGCGGTAGTTTGGTTTAAAGGATTGGTGACACTGTATACCCTGTTATGTCCATGGTACTATTTATGTCAATAGGCAATGGTTACCACTTTCCATCAGGTGGGTTATCATTTTGATTGCCATACTAAGTTGTATAAAAACAATTATTAACTTTTTCTGAAAATTAGCTAAAGGCCAAAATTTAAAAAAAAATTATCGACAACACTGTTTATATTAGTCTGTTATCATAAAAACATGGCAAAATAATTTCAATGAAATTTTTTAATCAGTTAAATATTGTCAACAAGAACTAACCATGAGAATAAAGCAATATCATCATCATATATTTCATATAGTTAAAATAAACACTACCTTACTAATTTTATTTAATCCACCAATTTATAGTCAGTTAGTTAATTACATAATATATCTAATAAATAAAAATACTACTGTTTTACAATTTATAAAGCATCAAAATTAATAAAATAACCACCTTAATTCTCTTTGAATGGGGTTCTGTCCATGCAAATCCAGCATCAATCAACTTAACCCTATTCAAACCTTTCAATCTTTTAAGGCATAGAGCAAGAAGTTCTCTAGACTCCAAGGCACACACTATCCACTCTGCGGGAGGCTGTAAATACCTGTTAAAAATATAATTTCATTAACTTAAGAAATGAAGTAGTGTAGTAATAAAGAAATATGAATATAGTGACAAAAATTAAGACAATGTTGTGTTGGATTAGTAATTTGGAATAAATGGATAATAAAGAGTAAAGAAAAAGATATATTAAGCTTGAAAAATGCTAGTGTTGGTAGAGTAAAGGGCACTCTAAAAACTCTAGAAAAACATCAATTAAATAAATAGATAGATATAGGTAGAATTTGTCAAGTTGTATTTAAATGATCATTAATATACTGACCGTTCACAACCTCTACAAAAGAAAAGTGTGGCTTGCTTAGGAATACCATCTGTAATATCCACATGAGCACGTAAACATGCAACACACATGTTGGAGGGGTTTGCTTCAATAGGCACTGCACACTGACAGCATAAACTGAAAAAAAAAAAAATAAAGCATGAATGAATTGAATTGAAATTATAAGCACCTATTTACATATTTTTTTTATTTACTGCAGTTTCAGATTTTAGCATACTAAAATACACATTTCTTCATAATTATAGAAAATTTTTGAGGAAGGCCTATGTTCAGCAGTGGATGAATTAATGCCTGAGATAATGATGATAACAATAGAAAATTCATAATCTTTAATGACAAAGAGAGTGGTTATTTTAATCTTTAATGACAAACTTAGTTACTAGTAATATAATCAATCAGGTCACCCTTCAAATACTGGATGTGTAAACCATCATAGTTAATCCCTGTTGTGGGGGAAAGGGATTGTTAGTAATGGAGACTGAGAATCCTATTGCTAGCAATATTCCCAACCAGGTCGACCTCCTCACGGTTCCTCCTAGAAACTATCATGGTTAATTCCTGATGAATTCATCATGATGGGCTAACTGGCCTATTTTCATTCTCATCTATCACCTTTCACTGGTGCTCCGCCAGCGTATCCCGTTAGCACAGGCGGGGTTACCATACCATTTTCACCTATCAAAAAACAAATTCCTGTTGTATTCATCATATTGGGTCTAATTGATTTTATCCTTCTCTGTCATCCCTCAGTACATACCATATACCAATAATGCAGGCGGGGTTCATCATCCCATTTTTGTTCCATAATAAATATAATGTATAATTATTTTTACTGAATTATACGAGTAGATTTTCAGTCATAATAAGAGACTCCAATTCAAACCAAAATTAATATTTTTCAACAAAATACACCAATGAACAATGTGATGTTTCAAAAATAAATAAATGAAGCCTATAAATTGTAATAAATCCAAATTATACAATTTTTTATCTTGATCTATTAAGATCTAGTAGAACACAAAAAAACAAAAATTAAAAGTATATTTTTTCAATTTCCACATTTGTATTTAACGTTGCCATCTCTAAAATTTGGCAACTTTTATCATCATTTTAAATGTACCTAACAAAACAGTAATCTTATTAGAATTTGTTACAAATTGTTTTAATAATCAGTTAGAATTTTTTTATTCTTAAAATAAAACAAATTATTAATACCTAATAATAATACTCTGTTATGAAAACAAAATCTTATTAATATAATAAACCTAACAAAATTCAATAAATTTAAACAAAAATCTTAAAAGTACGGAGTCCATTCTAGTATTTAGTTTTACAGTTTTTGAGGTAACTCTAAATACGCTCTCCGGATGCCCTCTAAACTAGGACAAATCCGGGGAAAACCGAAAAAACTGGTTTTTTACCAATAATAGCTGAATGCTATAATCTACAATATACAAAGGGTAAATTGACGATGATGATAAAGTATCTAAAGTTTGTTGGCATTGTTATCTAAATTATATCTAACTTATAGTAATTTAAATTACATTTCAAGAGTATAGTTTCCTAAACAAGAATTGAAAAATAAAAAAAACATTAAAAAAATAACCTTAAATTTTTAATACATACATTCGTGTACTGTTTGAAGCAATATTTTCTGGCAAAATATACTCCATTTTTAAAATTTATTTTGTTAACCATAAAATTAATAATGTATTGAAGATTATTTATAAGCACAAAACGATTATTTGTGTAGAAAAAATGAACAAATGAAGAAAGGAACTGTAAAAAAATTACACATCTACAGGCAATATAGGTCCCACGTGTGACAAATGAGATTGACTCTATGTGATGTGACTAATTTTGAGACAAAGATAATGAATCTTATGTCTGTAATGTATTTCAATGATAGATAAATTGTTCAATATTTCCTAAAAAAAAAAATTCAATTTTTTTACGTGTAGTATTTTACACATTACTTAAAAACAATTAGCGGTCGAACATTGGGGGAAAAGGAAGAACTAATACAACTAATAAGTAATTACCTACTTTTTTTTCTTTTGCCATAGATGGTTTAACCCATTGAGTTATATAATATGCTATATTAATCGAAAGATTAATCTAAGTATCTTATATTAGGTCCATGAATAATAGTTATAATTTGATGTTATTATGAAAAATAAAGGAAGTTAAGGCCTTACAGATAATAGGTAACTATCTAATGTATATAGATTTAATAAAATAGATAGTAACCTATTTTATTAAATGTATGATGCTCATACTTGCCAGTGATTAAAGATTTAACCAAAGACTGAACCAACGATTTAACACATTACTTAAAACTCAAAGTAATATTGTATAAAATAATAAATTAATTTAATAATGTTATCTTTTGTTTTATTTTTGCTAAAAAATGTTTATCGGAACATGCAATTTGATAAAAAAATTATATATTTTTATCATATGATTTGCGTTTCTATTATCGAACTATAATATAATAACCTGAGATGATGAGAGCTTTGAGAAGTATGTGTGGTATTACTTTAAAAGATAGAGTAAGAAACAGTGTGATTAGAGAGAAGTGTGGACTGAAAGACGATGTAGTGACAAAAATTGAAAAAGGAATGTTGCGTTGGTTTGGTCATTTGGAGAGGATGGATGAAAGAAGAATTACGAAAGAGATTTATCGATCAAGAATGAATGGAGATGTCGGTAGGGGCCGCCCTAGACGGACGTATGTCGACCAAATAGGCGACGTGCTGAAGAAGGGCCAAATTAAAAGTACCCGTAACCGACGAGCGTGTATGACAAGATTGATGAATGTGGAAGAAGCGAAAGAGGTTTGTTTGAATCGAAGCATTTGGCGTTCCATTGTTTCTGCCTACCCTAATGGGAGACAGGCGTGACAGATATGTATGTATGTATGTAATATAATAACCCTATTTGTTTCCATTTTGAATATCAGACTGCCTAATATAACGAGAAAAGATGGATTTTTATGCAGATTGGTCTGATTTTGCTGACTGATTCGTTTTACGTGGCTTGTATGAAATGCAGTCTTTTTTCTTGGTTATGTACTCTTTGAGCGAAATAACAAAATATATAAAAGCTGTGGCTCATGTTACTAATAAATCACAGCATTTTTTCTTAATTATAAAAATATGCTTGACAAAACAAGAACTGTTACTAATTCTTCCACCTCAATTCCTTTGCCAAAACTATTAAAAAAAAAATTGCTGAAATTTACCGATAGAATATCCGAACAAATCCGAATGATCAGTGACAGACGGTGACCTCTTACGTAAACTTAAGTTTTATTCCGACCATTTTACATTTTCCATTTCTCGATCGATTTTAAAAACGAAAATGTTTTCTACCGTCTGTAAAGCTGGCCAACTGGCCACCAGGGCGGTAGTAAACAACACCATAGAACGAGCGCCTCTAGCAACAGGAGTACTTGTGAACAAACGAGATTATGCAGCCAAATCTTCAGCAAAGGGGCAAGGTAAGGTGGTTGCTGTTATCGGCGCCGTAGTAGATGTACAGTTCGAAGACAATCTTCCACCTATCCTAAATGCTCTGGAAGTGCAAAATCGCTCCCCCAGATTAGTTCTGGAGGTAGCACAACATTTGGGTGAAAACACTGTACGCACGATCGCTATGGATGGTACAGAGGGATTAGTTCGTGGACAACCTGTCAATGACTCTGGTTCACCAATTCGTATACCCGTGGGCGCTGAAACACTTGGTCGCATCATTAATGTTATTGGGGAGCCTATCGATGAACGTGGTCCAATTCCCACCGATAAGACAGCTGCCATTCATGCTGAAGCACCAGAATTTGTAGACATGTCTGTACAACAAGAGATTCTGGTAACTGGTATCAAGGTAGTCGATCTATTAGCTCCTTATGCCAAAGGAGGCAAGATTGGTTTATTTGGTGGTGCAGGTGTAGGTAAAACTGTACTAATTATGGAACTTATTAACAATGTTGCCAAGGCTCATGGTGGTTATTCTGTATTTGCTGGAGTAGGTGAACGTACTCGTGAGGGCAATGACTTGTACCATGAAATGATTGAATCTGGTGTGATTTCACTTAAAGACAAGACATCTAAAGTAGCATTGGTATATGGACAGATGAATGAGCCCCCAGGTGCCCGTGCTCGTGTAGCTTTGACCGGATTAACTGTTGCTGAGTATTTTAGAGATCAAGAGGGACAAGATGTACTACTTTTCATTGATAACATTTTCCGTTTCACCCAAGCTGGTTCAGAGGTATCTGCCCTGTTGGGACGTATTCCCTCTGCTGTAGGTTATCAGCCTACTTTGGCTACCGACATGGGTACCATGCAGGAACGCATTACCACTACCAAAAAAGGATCTATTACATCTGTACAAGCTATTTATGTCCCAGCTGATGATTTAACTGATCCTGCTCCTGCTACAACTTTTGCTCACTTGGATGCCACCACTGTACTATCCAGAGCTATTGCTGAACTGGGTATCTACCCAGCTGTAGATCCTCTTGACTCTACTTCACGTATTATGGATCCTAATATCATTGGAGCTGAGCACTACAATGTCGCCCGTGGTGTACAAAAAATCCTTCAGGACTATAAATCACTACAGGATATTATTGCTATTTTGGGTATGGATGAACTTTCTGAGGAAGACAAGTTGACTGTTGCTCGTGCACGCAAGATACAAAGGTTCTTGTCACAACCTTTCCAAGTAGCTGAAGTTTTCACAGGACATGCAGGAAAATTAGTTCCTCTTGAAGAAACCATTAAGGGCTTCTCTCAGATTCTGAGAGGCGAGTATGATCATCTACCTGAGGTAGCTTTCTATATGGTTGGACCTATTGAAGAAGTTGTGGCAAAAGCTGAAACACTTGCCAAGAATGCATAAGCAGTCAATATCAGCATTTAGGGGAAATAATGTTACTATTATTAAATAATATTTATTCAATAAACTGCCAAGCCCATTACTAAATCACTGTAGTGTGATAGTTGTATAATTTACGATTACAAAACCACATTAAATTATGTAATCATAGTACTCTTGTTTTCTTTTACTATTTTTATTTTTATATGTTTCATTTAAACTTCTTTCCTTTCTTTCTGTTCACAATTTGTAATCTATTTTTTATAAATAACAAAAAAAAATCTGCTCATCTCAATGGACAACAGGTATGACATGTATGCATGAACATCTTTTTTTTCCTTTGTAGTCTAGTAGAAATGTAAATTATTCTCAAAACAGAAATAAAAATATGATACTTTTAACAATCTATTTATATGAATACCAGTTTTTACACGCGACTTCGTCCGCGTGATTGGCACATGTTTACTGATCGAAATAAATAGCCTATATTCTTTTCTATCTCATTTATTTGTATACTAAATGTCATAGTGATAGGTTACGCTAATTTGGCGTTATGATGTAACACTTTCACAGTTATAATATTTGTAAGGATTATCATATTCTTTTTAAGTCACCACATTAATACTATAGATTAAGGGGAGAAGGGATTGTTAGTAATGGGGATTAGTAGCCCCATCACTAGCAATATACTCTGCCAGGTCGACCTCCTCGTGGTGCCCCCTGGAAACCATCGTGCTGAAAACCTGGCGTATTCATCACAGTGGGCTAACTGATCTACCTTTTTATCCTTCACTGGTGCCCCGTCAGTGTATACTAATAGCGCAGGCAGGGTGGCCATTCCATCATCATCCATTAAAAAAAAACTATAGATTAATACTATTGATATCATTATACGTGGAGTATTGCTGGTGATTATCACCCCAAACATGCTCTTTGCAACTATGCTCAAAGACTTCAATTGCGCTTCCCACAGGTAAGTCTTAATATGAACATCAAAGTCATGTTTGATGTCCATGTCACACTTATACCCGGTGTTTCCCAACGTGGGGCCCACGCCCCACAGGGAGGCAATTTGATAGTTAAGGGGGGGGGGCAATTAAAAAATGGGCTCGTAGCGATTTTAACCCTTTTGCTTCGGCCCATTTAAATGCAATGCTACGAGTAGATATCGGTGCCAAATTTAACAAAAAAAGTAAATTTATAATTTTTTTAACATTTATTAGGTATAATTTCGTTTCGTTTGGCATTACCAAAATATCAACTGGGCGATTAGAGTCGTCAAGTATACTTTGTTGGGAAAAATTATATATGTGGGTATAAAAATTTTAGAAATGTTCAAGTGGGGCACAAAAAAAGTTGGGAAACACTACCTATACTGATTACGATTGAGAACAGTACCCTCGTAGTTGTCGACGAGTAAGTATAAGGCCGTGTGGTCCCGGCATAAGATAGATTTAACAACAAGTTTCCAGGAGGTCGATCTAATACGATTTATTGCTAACAATGAATACTAGTATCCCCATTACCAACAGATCCTATTATAATCATAAATGCGATTTTTTTTTATTATGATAGATATATGGATGGATGGTAATTAATTACTCTCACACATAAACTACTGATTGAAATTTAGTACGGGTAGGTTATATTCTAACTTAGCAATTAAGATACTTTATATATTGATTGACCGTGCCGTCTCGGCATAAAATAGGCTACTACTCCCTATTTTGTGGGTGTCGTAAGAGGCAACAAAGGAAAGGTGAGGGATTGGCAACAGCGTTCCTGTTAAAACATTTCTAAAGTCTAACTGCGGTTGCCAATCCATCTGCTAAGTGTGGCAACTACTGGCAAAATCCATCAAGGGAAAGGCTTATGTTCAACAGTGGCCAGTAAAGGCAAATATGACGATGTATACTTGGGGCGATTTGTCCGACTAGATAAGTTCAACTTCGACGGAGTTGTATTCTGGTAATCTGTATTACTAACAATCCCTTCTCTCTTAGGTCGATCTATTTTTTTAATGGATGACAATAGAGTGGTAAACTTGCCTGTGCTATCGGTATACGCCGGCAGGGCACTGGTTATAGGTGAAGATGAAAGCAGTCAGCCGATCGTGACGAATTCCACTAGAATTTGCCACGAGTCTCCAGGGGGACCACTTGGAGGTCGACCCGACAGGGTATAATGCTAGCAATGTGACTGGTAGTCTGCATTACTAACAAACCCAGGTCGACCCATAAGGTACTAACAACCTTTGCCTTCAATCCCATTCTATCAGTGTGTGATATAGGGCAGTTTCTTGTAATCTATGTAATTCATAATCATATATAGGGTAAATAAGTGTGTATTGAGTATACCAATCTAAAATAGTGATTGAGAATATCTCAAAATATTTTTTGAACGTTTAATCAACTTATTTTCATCAATAATATTTCAAGGTCCCATTGCTGAGATTCAGCATAAGATTTTATTTCTATGAAAACTGAATCTATGTCAACCCTAAGGGAGTGTTAATAACGAGGACTAATGACCGTATGTATAAGTATAATAATATTTTTCCACATATGTTTGGACTTTTCAAAAAACTAGTTCAGCAGCAATTCCTAAACCCTTATTACACATATAGGATATGAATATCTATCAGTTTTATAGTTGATCTATGAGCCAATAATAGGTTTAATGTTCATTCATGTCTGTGTAAGAAAAGAAATAGATATATTGTAAGTCTTCAAAATAAAACACTTTTTTTTTTAATAATTATTTATTGTAGTTGTTTGTTTATCGTTTTCCTCCTACTCTTGGAGCAGACTTCTGACTGACTTTAGCAGCTTTAGTCTTAGGCGGAGCCTTTACTTTTGTTGGAGGAGCTGTAGCTTTCTTTGCCGCCTTTGAAGACTTCTTCTGTTCTTTAGCAGCTCTGTTAATAATAAAATACATTTTATGTTACTCTTATAAGTAAATCAGATATTTAATAATAATAATATACACTATAAATTCCATTCAAATAGGGACTATTATCTTCTATTGCTAACTATAAAAATGGATTATCACTATATTCTAACAAAATTCAAGCCCAATTCTTAAATTGTAGGTACTTAACTTCAATATAATACAAAATATATAAAAAAATGAAATCTTACTTGATAGCTTGTTCTCTTTGAGCTTTGCGTACTTCAGGCTTCATATTACGCTTGGCCATGATGTCACTAAGAGAAGCACCAACAATAGCACGCTGGAACTTCTGTGTCCTTCTGGTGCGCTTTTTGGCTTGTTCTTCCTCTTGACCTTTTTTGAATTTACGTCTAAAAACAAATATTTGTATTTATAATGTGCATTTTTAAATGATACCATAATCTAACAGAAATCTAATCTAACCTTAATTATTCAGTGTAGTTATGTACAAAAAAGTAATTATGATGAAGTATTGGTAATGAAAGATAAACCCCACTTGAGGGGCTTATTTTAAAATACAAGTATTATATTATAATATTCAGTAAAGATTATTAGTTTTGAAATATTTGAAATAAAACAATGTGTGGCCAAAGAAAACAAATTAAAATAATAATACCTGTACAATACAGTCCATGTTACTTTACGAGGATTTCTCCTCATAAGGTGAGCTGCTTCACATTTTGAATTCAGGAATGTGAAAGTCTGAAAAATTTTGATTTTGTATGTATATATATACATATTATATTTTTCTTACAATAATCAATATTTAATACACATAATAAACTACATTACAAGTATTTTTTTAAATTGTTTTAGTATGTTTTGTGTGAGAATATGATTTTTTCTTAATAATTAATACATTTATGGTTTACAATGAATATCAAATAGGTTACAACATATCTAAACTAAAAAAAAAAAGAATTTGTATTTTTCTTCATAATGGTAAACTCTAGTTTTGAAATAAATTGCAATCCATGTTGATTATATATATATATAATTACAAACAAAAAAAAATTTTTTTTCTTATTTTTTGTTTGTAATAATCACACTATTAGATTACACAATTAGAATAAAATAGATTACACATGGGTTTCACAGTTTTAATTATTGATGTTAATGGATCAATAGTTTACAATCTTAAGCATATATATTGAGTAGTAGCCGCATCTTGTAGTTATGGTAGCAATAATTAGAATAAAATGTATAACTTATAAAACCACTAATAGAAGGCAAAAGTAACAAAATATTAATATAATAAAAAGTAATATCTGAGTATGATTTTAAATGCATACAATTGTTTAAAGACAATAAAAAAAAAGTTAAACATTTCCACAAACACATTAGTATTAGGTTTGATATAAAAGTAATTTTAGCATAATTAATATACACATTTACCTTGCCATCCACCTTAACCATAGTTTTTCCATGGCCAGGGTAGATCTTGTATCCACTGTAAGCGCAAAGACCGATCCTGAAAATAATGCATAAGTATTACCATTCGATTTTGCCACTTTTTTATTTAAGTTTGTTATTAAACTATATAAAGAGATTATAAAGATTTTAAGTGATAAATATACACAAAAATGAAAAACTTACTTCATTTTGAATTGTCAAATAGAAAAAGAAAAATATTAGTGATGTGACTTGGGCCCTAAATTTACTAGAACGTCTCGAGTAAATTGAATAACTAGAAATCGAATGTGACTCGAGTTTGTTTGCACGACTAAGTATAATCTAAAATGAAATTTGAGATAAAAAATTGAAACAAAGCGGTTATTATAACGTTTATCCAAAAATACCGAAATCTCGTGCAAGAATTTCATACATATATTAAACATGGATATATGAATTTTAAATTTTTAAAATATTAGATATGCATAAAATATGATCCATGAATTACTACCATTTTTTTAATTATAATTTGTAAAAACTTATACAAACACTGGCAATAAAATAATCATGTTATTATTATAAAGACTAGAAAATAATTGGATTATTATTTTCTAGTCTTCATAAGGCCCTTATTAAAATCATATGACTAAATTTATTTTCATATATGTAAAATTAAAGGAACAAAAAATAAACTTTTTGTCCGGTTGAACTTTCGGTTTCGACTAGTTTCGGCCAAAAATTTTACTTTCGGCCTTAGTTTTTGAACGGTGGGGACTGCCGTTCGGTGAGCGTGGACTGTAGGGGCGTTGGTTCAGGCTGGAGTAAAACACAGCGATTACTATTCTGAAGCCTCCGGTACCGTCTGAAGAGAGTATTTTTTCTTCTTGTCCTATTTCTTCTCGAGTGTAGTGCGTCGCTGCCCGGAAGCGAATGCCGCTCGACGGGAGGCGGCCTATCTTTATACCCGCCCGCTCGCACGATAACATTTCCAACTTGCGTTAGCGAATCTGTGCGAGCGGGACGGGGTGAGAGTGAACGAGACGCGTGTCTCTTCAGATCGGTACCCTATAGCGTCTATTTATTTATTACAATTTACAATTTCTTAGTTCTATTTATTGTTACAATTTCTATTTCTATTCGTAGGTAATAATGACAACACGTAAAGAATGCTTTATTTGACTTACACTATAGGTATCTTAAATCTATGTAAATCTATATAAAATAACAGTATACAAACGATTAAACTAGGGACTTAACAACTACAAATTACGATTACATATATACAAATAATGTCGCGAACATAATCTCCCGCCGCAGCTCTCGTAGCTGGAGTTAACTCGTGTTCGCGTCGCTCGATGTCGATGTGGGCAGTATGATCAGCTTCTTAGTGGGTCGCCGTAGAATGCCCTTGTTCGTCCGCACGTCGACTGCTCGGATCTCGCCGTCTGGTCCAGGGTAGGTTGCCACCACCACGCCTCGCGGCCACGTGTTGCGAGGCAAGGTCCCATCAGCTATTAGGACCAGGTCGTCCATTTTGATGGCTCCGTGTGTAGCTCGGGGCTCCCGCCGGTGTTGCAACTCGGGTAGGTACTCCTTCACCCACCGGTTCCAGAAGCAGTCAGCTAGCCTCTGGCTGGCACGCCACTCCTTGTGTCCCGCCGCGTCGCTCTCGGTGAAGCTGCCTGGCAGTGGGACGAGCGATGGACCGCCCAATATGAAGTGATTGGGGGTTAGGGCGCTGTCGTCGTCTGCCGATGTTGACACGTGGGTTAGCGGTCGACTATTGAGGGTGTGCTCGACCTCGACCAGCAGAGTGTGGAGGACCTCTTCCTTGGGGGCCCGCTCGTTCAACGTAGCGGCTAGTGCGGTCTTCACGCTACGCACCAACCGTTCCCACGCACCTCCCATGAAGGGTGCGCTCGGGGGAATGTAGCGCCACCGGATGAAATGAACTGATAACTCTTCTTGGATGGCTTCCTCGGCTGCTTTCTTCAGTTCGACGTCAGCACCTTTGAGGTTGGTGCCTTGGTCGGACCATAATTCCGTGGGACACCCTCTGCGGCTTATGAAGCGCCGCAGGGCCATTATGGCGGAGTCCGTGCTGAGGCTGCCGGCGATTTCTAGGTGGACTGCGCGCGTCGTTAGGCAGGTGAAGAGCACTCCGTATCGTTTCTGGTGAGTGCGGCCCACTGTCACGGTCATAGGCCCGAAGTAGTCTAGGCCGGTGAACGTGAACGGTCGCTGATGATGCGCCAGCCTGCTCTGTGGATGGTTGCCCGTTGATGGCTGCGCCGGTCTTGCTCTTCGTAGGCGGCACAGCTGACACCTCTTCAGTTCACTGCGGACGGCGTGTCGTAGGCGCAACACCCACAAGTGTTGTCGCACCTCGTTCGTGGTGATCTCGAAGCCGCCGTGGTGAAGTTTCCGATGCACCCATGCGATGTATAGGCGCACCCAGGTGTGGTTTCCGTCGACGACGGGGGGCTCTCGTTGCTCGGCTGACAGATCGGCGGCGGCTGCTATTCTCGATCGAAGTCGCAGAATGTCGTCGTTGTCTATGACGACCGTCAGCTGTATGAGTCGACTGGATGACGGCAGCTGTTTTCCATGTTTCAATGCTGCGATTTCGTTGCCGAACGCCTCTTGTTGCATCGCGCGAATCCATAGCCGTCGCGCGTGATCTAGGTAGTGTGTGTCTATGGGGATGAAACACACAGATGGACTATTGCTGTTCTTGGTTTTCATTTTCGTCTTCTCTCTATCGACTTTTTTCGTGCGGGTCCAAGTGGGGTCGGCGCTCTCTTTCTTCTTGTTTCTCTTTCGGATGGCGGTACAGCGTTGACTGGTCGGTCGCAGGAGGTCGATGAACTGCAACACTCGTGCTGAACTGCGAACAAGTTTCAACCAATTAGAAAAACGTGACGGATCGGGTAATGCTATAGACAACTGCGTCGCGTTCTGTAGCTTGTGTACGCGTTCTTCTCCCGTTTCCGCTTGACTATCGTCGCTCGTACTATCTTCACGCGGCCACTGCTCTTCGGGGAGGTACAGGAAGTCCGGCCCACGGAACCATCTATGCTGCGAGCCGAAGTCCGTCGGTGGGTCGCGTGTGGCGTCGTCTGCTACGTTGTGCCGCGTCGGTATCCACCTCCACTCGTTCGTCTTCGTTTCTTCGACGATCTCGGCGACTCTATGCGCGACGAACGGCTTGTATGCGCGAGGACCGGTGCGTAGCCATGCGAGCACGGTGCGTGAGTCCGACCAGTATACTCGGCGAGCGGGCTTCAGGTCGTGTTCTTCGACTGCCGTGCGTGATAGGCGACACCCGAGGACGGCCGCTTGCAGCTCCAGTCGCGGTATCGTGGTCACCTTGTTGAGTGGGGCCACTCGTCCCTTTGCCGCGATCAGCGACACGTGGACCTCGCCGGTCGCGCTTACGGCCCGCCAGTACACGGCACAGGCGTACGCGTCCGAGCTGGCGTCGACGAATGTATGCAGCTCCGCTGTATCGGCCGTGGCTACCTCCGGGTAGCACCGCGGCACCTCCAGCGCGGACAGCCGTCGCACGTGGTCCATCCAGCTCCGCCAGGCGTCAGCTTCCCGTGGTTGCAGCTCGGTGTCCCAGTCGATACCGGTACGCCACGTCTCCTGCAGTATCTTCTTCGCCTGTATGGTGATGGGAGTGGCGAGGCCCAGTGGATCGAACAGCGACATGATTGCTCGTAGCGCTTCCCTCTTCGCCGGCGTCTGTTCCCCGCTAGCTATCTGTGGCGGAAGCTTGTGTCCGTTGAAGTTGAAGCCTAAGGTGTCTTCAGAAGGTCGCCATACCATCCCCAGTATCTTCTCCGCGTCGAGTTGTACCACGCTGTCCCCGCCGGTGTCGGAGAACGCGGCGCGCACTTGATGCGAGTTCGACGCCCACCGTTGGAGATAGTAGTTGGCTCGACCGTGGATCTGTGCGACCTGTCTTGAGACGCGTACGGCTTGCTCTTCCGTGTCGAAGCTGGCGAGGTAGTCGTCGACGTAGTGGTTCATGACCACCGCCGTTGCTGCCTCCGGGAACTCTTCCTTGTACTGTTCTGCGTTCTTGTTCTTGACGTAGATCGCTGTACACGGTGACGATGTTGCGCCGAATATGACACTCTTCATCCTATATTCCACAGGTGGACCCTCTCGTCGATCTCCTCGCCACAGGAACCGTTGCATGTCCCTATCTTCTTCCCGTATGGTGACCCGCATGAACATGTCCTTTATGTCCGCCGTGACTGCCACCCGTCGTTGCCGGAACCGCATGAGGACCCCGGTAGCGATTGAAGTAAGTCGGGGCCCGGCAGCAGCATGTCGTTCAAACTGATGCCCTTAGTCTTGGCTGCTGCGTCGTGCACGATCCGCAGTTTCCCGGTTTCTGTGGGTTGATGACGGCGAAGTGTGGCAGGTACCACACCCGTTGGGAACTCCGTGGCGGGGCGACTTCGGCATACCCGTTCTTGAGTAGCGTGTCCATTTGTTGTTCATACCTCTTCTTAATTTCTTCATTCTTGTCGAGTTTCCTTTCGACCAGTTGGAGACGTCGCATTGCCGATTCGTAGTTGTCCGGCGGCACAGGGTCGTCCTTCTTCCATAATAACCCCGTCTCGTATCCTCCCGCCGGTAGCGGACGAGTTTTCTCCTCTAAAATGTGTAGGGCGCGACGTTCCTCTTCATTGTAGGACCTCTTCGGTGCGATCCCCAGCGATTCGAGCGCGAAATGTTGCTTCATCATTTCTTCCATCGATTGTTCCTCTTCGTGTGTCGTCACTATGTGGCTGATTCTGTGCACCTGCTGTCTTGCCCTGCCGCGACTCGTACCGTGCAGTACCCATCCCAGGTCGGTGAGTGATGCGACCGGCTGCGTGTCGGATCCTCTTCTGACTTCGTGGGTCAGCAGTAGGTGCCAGTTGTCTTGCCTCAACAGTACCGTCGGTTTGCCCTCTTCGTAGACCAACTCCCTCTCTATGTCTTGTAGATGTGGACAGCCCTTGATGACGCTGCGTGGTACCGACTGCGGTGATAACTGCAGTCTGTCCATCGTCCGTGCCCCCACTGTGTATTCTTGTGAATTCCGCCCGCGGATCTTGAAGTGGACACGCGTCGATTGAGCTGCGTTGATCCGTGCCCCGGCCACACCTTCCATGTAGAATGGTGCGGGGGGATCCGTAGCACCGATTCGCTCCGCCACCGCCGTCTCGATGATGGTGCAAGTCGACCCGTCGTCCAGTAGCGCGTAGGTGTCGCACGTTCCCGTGGGACCGGTGACTCGTATCGGCAGGATCTTCAGGAACGCGATCTTGCCGTTTTCCCTTGCCGATGCGGCGACTGCGGCGGACTTGTCCTCGATGACGTGTGTTGTCACTTCGTTCTCCGGCTGTTGTCGCGTGGTGTGCAGCAGAGGGTGATGAGTCTGCGTGCACTCATCTACTCCACATCTCTTGCTTTTGCAGGCGTGGCGAAATCTTCTCACTTTGAGGCAGCGGAAACACAGCCTATGAGTCTTCGCTAGCTCCCATCTCGCCGATGTGTCCGCTTCCTTCATCGTCTTGCAGTCCGATGGAGCGTGTCCCTCTCGTCGACACATCGGGCACGGTGGTGTAGCGGGTTTCTCTTGCGTCGCGTATGTCTTCGCCGTCTTCCTGGGAGCGGACTCCCGCCGGTCTTCGGACGGTATCTCCTCGGCGGGGGCGAAGTTTCCACATCGTGCGGCGGTCCTTTGCAGGAACTGAGAGAGTGTTATGAGGTCCGGTTGTCCCTCCGGTTGGTCGTTGGCGAAATCGTAGTACTTGAAGCGTAGTACCGACGGCATCTTCTCTGTGACGTTTCTCACTATTTCTTCATTGTAGAGGTAGTGACTCTTGTTCAGCGCTCGTATCGTGGCGACGACGTTCTGCACCTTGCTTGCGAAGAGGCAGACGTCGCTTGCGTTGTCCGAGAGTCGTGGTAGCGCGCGGAGTTTGTTCAGTTCGGCTGTGACGAGTGCTCCAGGGCGGCCGAACCTCGCGGCTAACATCTTCATCACTTCTTCTGCGGTCGTAGACCCGACGAATAGGGAGCGTGCCGCGTCCTTTGCGGCCCCCTTCAAACTTCTGCGCAGTCTTGCTAGGTTCTCCTGTTCTGTGTGTTGACTTGCGCTTTCTTCATAGGCCATCTTCCATGGTAACCACTCGCTCGACGATCCATTGAAGACTGGCAATTCGGTGACTCTTGACGCTGTGGAGGGCAGTATGTTGCGAGCGGCCATCTGCATGGCGATCGCAAACTCATTGCAATCGATGCCCACCTTCAGCACCGGTTCTTCTTTTTTCATCGACTGCATCGCTGCTGCTATCGTAGGAATGGCGGCATGTGGGTCAACGTGGCGTGCGTGGTCCCGGTGAAGTGCGTCGCTGCTCGGCTGTGGCGGCGGCGCTCTCGAATCCTCTTCAACGGGTCTCGATTGACGCTTGCCGGTGACTTCTTCTATCTCTGGTACATGCGGCTCCATCGTGAGTGCTAGCGTGCTTCGATGAACCCAATCCGACGTTCGTTCTCTTCTGACGGTAGCGTCGTCGTCTTCTATTTCCTCGTCGTCTTCCGATTCGGCTTCCAGGGCGGCGACACGTGCAGCAGCCAATTCCACCTCCTTTCGAAGTAGCTCCTCCCGTGCCTTGGCCAGAGCCTTCTTCTTCTGTGAGGCCGTGGTGCGAACCGTGCGTGCCGTGCCGTGCTTCGGTTCCTTCTTCCTTGCTGTCTCCTCTGTCGTTCCTGTGGCTTCGGTAGTCTCCGTGGCTCCTGTGGTCGTCGTATCGCCGGACGTGTTCGTAGTCGATGTGGTGGCGGCGGTAGACGACGTGGCAGCGACAGATGACGTTCTGACAGCCGCAGACGACGTGGTGGCAGCAACGGACGGCGTGGCAGCGACGGACAGCGTTCCGGCGGCCGTAGTCGACGTGGCGGCGGACGTTGTGGCTTCGGTGACGGCGATTTTCTGCTGCGACGACTTCATGTTTCTCGTAGTCGGCATTTCAGCGATCCGGCTTCAGAATGGTCTTCCTCCAGCGATCCGGCTTCTCGATGTACCAACGGTGTTCCTCCAGCAATCCGGCTTCTCGAAGGACCACGATGAACGGTGTGGACTGCCGTTCGGTGAGCGTGGACTGTAGGGGCGTTGGTTCAGGCTGGAGTGAAACACAGCGATTACTATTCTGAAGCCTCCGGTACCGTCTGAAGAGAGTATTTTTCTTCTTGTCCTATTTCTTCTCGAGTGTAGTGCGTCGCTGCCCGGAAGCGAATGCCGCTCGACGGGAGGCGGCCTATCTTTATACCCGCCCGCTCGCACGATAACATTTCCAACTTGCGTTAGCGAATCTGTGCGAGCGGGACGGGGTGAGAGTGAACGAGACGCGTGTCTCTTCAGATCGGTACCCTATAGCGTCTATTTATTTATTACAATTTACAATTTCTTAGTTCTATTTATTGTTACAATTTCTATTTCTATTCGTAGGTAATAATGACAACACGTAAAGAATGCTTTATTTGACTTACACTATAGGTATCTTAAATCTATGTAAATCTATATAAAATAACAGTATACAAACGATTAAACTAGGGACTTAACAACTACAAATTACGATTACATATATACAAATAATGTCGCGAACAGTTTTGGTTTCGGTCAAAATTTTTGGCCGCGCCGAATCATTGTGTGTGAGTCGTTATTTTTTAATTTTACTTCCAAGAGTAAGTCATAATTTTGACATGTTTTTACATATAAATATATATGACATATGTGTTATATACTTTAATCATTGTTTATTATTATCTTTTAACTATCTGTATGTTTGTGTAAATAATTGTGTAAAAATACACTAGATTTCAGTATAGAAGAAAAATGTTAAGTATGTTTCAGTAAGTTTCGGTTCCGGCCGAAACTGTGATTAAGGCCGAAGTTCAGTTTCGGCTGTAAAACCTGTTTCGGTCGGTTACTACTTTTTGTACATTTAGTTGTATTAAAATCATACGTATACTCTATATAATCATACATAATAAAATTAAACGGAAAAAAAGTCTGTTTTGTTCTACTGCCTGTACTGTGATAGAACTAAATTGTAGAAGTATATGGATATAATCCCTATTGTCCCTATTTTGATTCTGATGGACTTTCACGATGACACTACAGATACGGAATAATTATATTACAGACAGAAGACAGGTAAAAAGCTATGTGTTAATTAGACCAGCTTATAGTGAACGATCAATTAATAATAAATACGATAAATTTTGATTCATCAAATCCCTACGAATCAAAAAGTAAATTTATGTATTTGTTTTTGCTAATATTACAATATGTTTAAGTAAAATTGTAGTTTGTTTCATAAAATGTAATTCACAAGTCTACATATATCGGCGATACTACATTACAGATAGATTGACATTAACAAATTTTGTTCGAATTGCAGGGAGTGTAAATATTAACACGAACAAGATAATAATTAATTTATCGACTCAGTAAATGATTCGGATTATTCGAATGATTTTCAAATTGATTGACTACAAATTTTATTCATCCAACTTACGTCAGCCGACTACTGTCAACCAACTACTAATATCATTCGACTACCAATATCATTTATCAGTAGTCGTTGATGTACACGTTAAGAACAAGTAATTCCTTATTCTTAAGATGTACGAGTCGACACAAATATAGTCGAGTCGACCCGATCGCTGGAATATCTCAATATTTTAAATAAGAGAGGGAGTAAATTTGAGTAAAATTGACAAAAATAGCTATGATGGTCTATCTTTCATCCTCTTTTTATTAATTATATTTTTGAGGTAACCATATGATTTAGTTTTTAATTTTATTATTCCTTCTACGTAATTCCTTGTTCTTAGATAGAGACGGTGTCTCTAATCTGTGGGTATACTCTGTGATCCTAACTATGCTAGGTATGTACAATAGATAATTTCTCTGTGTTTTCAATCGGCGTTTAGGTTATTTTTACTTAAACTTTTTCATTACCTCATGAATTTCACTTTAATCACTCATTAACTTAGGCTATAAAGATAATTGAAATGGAATAGATGATTATTTTTTACCCAGTTAAAGTATCTATTACCCAGTTAAAAGGGAATATTTAGTTCTGTCACAAAGTTTATTATTGCATGCATAATATCAAATTGCATTACTTACTACGATTCATATAATATTATAAATTACAAAAATCTTCATGATTTGTCCAGATTTTTTAGAATTTCAGGTTTGTGGTGAATTATCTTTATTTAACTCGTTTTTTAGAATAAGTTATAATAATTTTATATAATAGGTGGGTATTACTCTTCGAGAAAAAAATTGGTTATTACTCATTAAATTTTTTCTCGAGCAAGTTTAAAATTAATAAATAAATATTGCTGTCTAGTCTACATACAATGGCCCAAATGAGAGGCTAAGTGTGGAAAATAAAGTCCAATTTACATTACATTACATTGTCTAGTCTTAAGTGGGTTTATTTTTGCCTACCATGTAAGGAAACTGATGTGTAGATGTGGTCAGTGGCTGATAACGTAATATCTCTGGGTAGTAATAGAATGTTAATATTTTTTATTTATTCAATAACTACTCAAACTTATGTTTTAGGATATCCTGAAAAAAATGCGTACTCTTGATGACAAAATAGTTTATGCATTGAATACATCTATACCTACAGAATCATTTCATAATAAAGTAAATGCTACAGCAGCTTGCCAAGACTTATATTCTCAGATACAGAAAGGGCACTCTGAAAGAGAGAAAGTAATTAAGAACTGTATTTTGGTTACTGCTGAATCTGTAAAAAAACTAAAGACTAATAAAGAGGAAAAACCCGATGATTATGAAGTGATTAAAAATTTAAAGGCTGAGCAAAGAAAGGTAATTATACAATAGCAAACTTATTTTCATGCATGGCAACTACTGTCAAAACTTCCCTTATGGGGAAGGTTTATGATGTTCAGCATTGGATGGTTAATGGTTGACATAATGATTATGAAACTTATTTCCATATTTATAATATTAAACAAATAAAGGAATATTTTCTTTTTTTATTGCATGGATTTTCTGGAATTCAAAGAAAATATTAATCTCCATTTTCAAGTTTTGTTATTATTAAATTGTAAAGAATTGTGCTATGGATATATTGAGATTTTAATTAATTTTGATTTTAAGTTCATTTTTTTTAATAAAATGTTTATTTACTAATCATGATCCCCTCTATAGGATTGGGTAGGTACTATAAATACTGTTTTATAATTTCATTTGATCATTTTTATCATCTATAACATGTTGTTATTCTTTTTCTCTTTTTGTTTTTACTTATGCTATGTTTACAATTTCAGCTGCGTTTATTACAGACAGAACTTAGTGTTGAAGAAGTCATAAAGGAAAAAACAAATAAAGTGTTCACAGAAAGCTGTAGAAGTTACTTTAAACCTGATAATTTATGAAGACTGAAATATGATTGTTGTTTGAATTTTATAGTATAAATCTAGTAGTTGCTCAATGTGTTTGAATTTATGAAATCATATGAAAAATACACCCTTAGTTATATTGCTTCACTAATTTGTTTATTATTCAATTTTTTTTACATTTATTTATACTACATCAGAAATCACAAATATATAATATAAATACTTATTTCTATAGTTTTTACATATTTATGGGTATAACAGTTAAACCAACTTAATTTTATTTAGATGGTGCTTCTTGTTTCTTAATATAGTCTTCTTCATATTTTTTGTGCCAGTCTAAGTTCATCTGATGTACAGATTCACCTCGTTTTGCAGCAGCTTTCCCAGCTAGTATAGCACCAAGACTTGCAAGAGCTGTCAGGAGCATGAGAATATTTGCAATTTTAATTCTGGCTTCACTACGAGATCGCTCAATTAAGTCAGCTCTGCAATAAATATGTTTATACAACTCCCATTAATGTTTAAGATATAATAATTTATACTAAATCTTATAATTATTACAAAATGTTAAATTTTGAGAGATTGGGAATTGAGAGAAACTTAAAAATAGGATACATTATATTCGGAATCATACAAATAGAATTGTAGGGTACAGCTACATAACTACAGAATATATTTATCTTAACAGATCTATCTAATTTAACATGATTTAAGTATGATTTTTTTTGTAGACGTAACTGTATAGATAGGTAATTATTATACAGACAGTGGACATCTACTAAGTTATAGCGAGTAAAATACCTTTGACAAATTAATAATAATGTAAAGGTGACCTTCGCTTAATATATAATAACTATAAACAGATAAAGTACACTTACGATACAAAGGTGGGTATTTCTTCCTTTGACTTGAATTTCTTTGTCCAAACTAAAATAAACTTTTGGAATTCTGAAGGTTTGTATTGTGCACGTATAGATCCGGAGGACGAAGATGGACCAGAAGTTGACGGTGTACACATATTTCGTATTATATAACGCGAGAATATCCTAAATGAGAGTAACTTATTCATTTTCGAAACTTCAATGTATCGATATTAAAAATTAATAAAGACATGAAATTTGTATACAGATATTTCAATTTCACTATGATGTCACGTAAAAAAAATAAAAAAAATGTTTATTTTTTTCTTTTGTATATTTTTTCAAAAATGACAGGCAAAGAGACCAATATCTATACAGCCCAGTAGTAGCTAGTACCCAGGGTTACCATTGTGTTATTATTTGTTATAAAAACTATTTATCGTTATCTGTTAAAAAATATTTTTAATCTATGATAGCAATACAGAGTAATGTAGTATCTACTGTCAAGCTGTCACTGCTTGTGATTGTATAGTGTCGTTTTGCGTGACGTGATCGACGTGATTGCAATTTATTAAATACTAAAATTGCTAAACATATATTAATAAAATTCTTATAGTATTTAATTGATGGTGGATTGATTTGTGAAGTATTTAATATCCATAAATATAAGGTTTAAAACTTTAACTTCTATACACAGTAAGTTTACTTAATTACAATTTATTGATAATGTTGAATAGATTTTGATGGACAAATACCCAGAAATCATATTACTCTACGAGGACAAAAGTACTTTCAATCGACTTGTGGAGGTTTTTTGTTTGTTTAAATACAATAAATATTAATTAATATAAAAGTATATATATATATATATATATATATATATATATATATATATATATATATATATATATATATATATATATATATATATATATATATATATATGTATATAAAATAATGTAGAGAAATATTTTGAATTATGATTAGATCTTACATTTTATGGCATGCACATACTCTACGTTACTAGGACAAATTCAATAGGTATTATATATCCTTGATTCTTCAAAAATTATTGCAATCTATTTCGTTTTAACTCAATCCTACTCTTTCACAATGTAGTTGCTTGATTTCTATAAATTTAATATGTTTTATAATTATATAAATAAATCGAGATACTTGAAAGTATCTCATTCATTTTATACCTATGTTTTTTTTATTAATATTTTATGTTGTTAAGATTTTAAATACAACATAATAACATATATATATATATATATATATATATATATATATATATATATATATATATATATATATATATATATATATATATATATATATATATATATATATATAGTCAAAAGATAATTTGTAAAGAAGTTCACCTGATTGGGTATATTGCTAGCAATGGGAAAGATAGACCCTATTATTAACAATCCCTTCTATTTCTTATTGTTATAGTATTGTTCTGTTCTTGTTTATACTTTCTATTAATATTACAAATGTGAATGTTTATTAAATGTTTGGTTGTTTGTTATCAATCACACTTAAATCACTGAATGGTATTTAATAAAATTTGTACACAGAGGGAACATGTACATACTTTATTTGAAATCATATGAAATAATTAAAAGCTAGCACTATAATTTATATTGTGTATGACGCCATGTGGTCTCGGCATAAAATAGGTCACTCCTTCCTTTCCTGTGAGTGTTGTAAGAGGTAACTAAGGGAATTTAATTGAGTTGAGAGATGAGGAGCAGTGTCCCTTTTAAAACATGACTAAAAGCCTAATAGCGGTTGCTAACTCGCCTGCCAAGAGTGGCAACTACTGGCAAAACTCCCCTTATGGTAAAGGCTTATGTTCAGCAGTGGACAGTTAATAGCTGATATGATGACTATAATTTATAAAAGTGAATGTTTATAAGAGTGAATGGATTTGAATGATCTGGTTATTTATGCACGATATTCTGTATACATTTATACTGTTTTATGGTGGACAGTCTTTGGTAATAGATAATATAATAAATTGTGTGAATGAATATATAAGACAAACTTACCGTTTGGTTAAAAATATTTATATAAACAAAAATATTAAAAAAAAATTATATCAATGAGGTAGCAAATAAGCATACGGCAGAGGCATTATGTGCACGCTGCCGAACCTGAAAGAACCTTCAAATATATATATATATATATATATATATATATATATATTATTATAGCTTTTTATCCACTTCAGTAGTCCCCAAGTGTAAAAGCCTCCTCTATCTTTTTCCACTTCTCCTTATCTGTAGCAATATTTGTCCAGTTTTTTCCTGCTGTCTTTATTATGTCATCAGCCCATCTCTTTCTTTGTCTTCCAACATTTCTTTTTCCTGCTGGCCCTCGCCATTTTGTTGTTTGGAGAGTCCACCTTTTATCTTTGTACCTCAGTATATGACCTGCACATCTCCACTTCTGTTTCATACTATACTGAAGAGCATCTGTTATTTTGGTTTTCTTCCATATCTGAAATATCAGTGTTTCTTATTTATATCAAATATATATAAAGGTTTAAATATCTATGTGTAAATAGATGTCTGGTGGTCACAAACATCGCTATAAGAATGCTGGGCTGAGCGCAGATGAGTTGCGACGACGTCGCGAAGAAGAGGGTGTGCAATTACGGAAACAAAAAAGAGAGCAACAATTGTTCAAACGTAGAAATGTCAATCTTCCAGCATCAAATACACCTGATGTTGTGCTACAAGTGAGTAACAGGACTCCATACAAAATGGTGTAACTAATATAACTTTTAAGTTACCCATAATTTGTTATATTTATAGTTATATTTTTATATTACATGCTTCTTTAAAATGATCTATTCTTTTTTTTCTAGGATGATATCAACTTATCACCATCAGATGATATTACTCCAGCTATGGTAGCCAGTCTTTATGGCGATAATCCCCAAGAACAAGTGATAGCTACACAAAAATTTCGAAAACTGCTTAGTCGAGAGCCCAATCCACCTATTGATGAAGTTATACGAACTGGAATAGTTCCTAAATTTGTTGAATTTCTCACTAATAGTGCAAATCCTAGTTTACAGGTAATTTGTGATATATTTATTTAAATTTTTAGTCTTCATAGTTTTAATGTTACAATAAAATTTATATCTTTAATCTCTATATCTGTAAATATTTAGTTTATATAAAAGTATACACGCAAATATGAGTATAAAATCTAAATATTTTTATGACTTGAGTATTAATCTGGTAACAAACTACCATAACTATAACTGCATGATTTATCATTTCAAAAAATTTGTTCTTTTTTGTCTCTGCATCTGCCTGTATGAAGACTTTTATAAATGTCACCTATTCTATGTTATTTAAATTAATTTAGCAAATAAACGTTTCATTTTATTGATAAATGCAAATAAAACAATCAACATTATTCATTGAAAATGAGCACTATTTAGTTTTATGATAAATATGCACAGTACATTAGTCCGCACCCGGTTTCTGTCGCCGCTTTGCTTGTATAACACAGCAAGTAACTTTTCTTGCATGACTGTTTCGATTTTAAGGGATTTTAGGGGTTGTGAAATATTAAGGTAATGGAGGCATAATAACACTAGACCTCTAGTAACAATGAATGCGATGAGTGTTGCTGTATATTCTCTGATGCAGTGCTGTTATTGTATGTTGACGACGATTACAACTTTCTGTCATATGGGTTCTCAATTCCAAGTTGTATAAAAAACGTGATACCTTTACAATTGAAGTTTGAAGCGGCGTGGGCCCTGACAAACATCGCGTCGGGTTCGTCGGAGCAGACGCGTGTGGTGGTGGAATGCGGCGCGGTGCCGGTGCTGGTGGCGCTCGCGGCCAGTGGCGCCGGCGACGAGGTGCGCGAACAGGCTGTGTGGGCGCTTGGCAATGTCGCTGGAGACTCGCCATCCTGCCGCGACACCGTGCTACAGGCCGGCGTGTTGCCGCCGCTTATACAGTAAGATCTTATACTCGTACATTTGCTCATTCTCATTCTTACTCTCGCATGGTTCAAATCACTTTCAGTAAGGAATTTTAATAATTTACTGTAGTATAGCTTGATTTTATCGTTTCGATAAAAGCGTCTACACTGTGATTTCCTATTATACGAATTATAAAAACACTCATTTGCTTGCGTTGTTGTATTTCGGTTCGAGGTATGGAAAAGTCGGTTAAATTAATAATAATGTATGTATGTTTATAGTTGACGCCATTACTCACCATTTCCCATTATTTGGATTGTCATTATTTTCAGTCATATAAAAATAAATTCAAAATTTAATATTTACAAATTATAATATTTTAATTATTCTTTAAGATTTACCTACTTGCCATATTCCATAGTAATATTAATAGTGAATCAATTGTAATTATCAGTTTGTAATTAACATATATACAACCTATAAAATTGAATAGTGTTCCTACTAGAAAACTGCATCAATTTAAGTACTACGGCCACCTGGTGACCGCCAGGCTTAGGGATGATTTAGATATAGAAAGGAAGCGCTGGGTTGTTGATCCGCGATAATATGGTCTGTAGATTCGTCTGATGTACAGGGTTAGAGAAGATAACACTATTTAAAGCGTACTGTACATCCTTGTACTCGGCGAGTCTGTGTTTCCAGCATACCCAGAGAGCCTACAACGCCCTGCGTATCCAATTTAATAACACGTTTAGGTTGTTGTCGCGGCTCTTGATGATTATATCGCGGTATAGATGATTTTGACGCTGTCTGTTGTAATAAAACGGTTTCACTTTTACATAGAATACGTGGAAGTGGCAGCAGTATATTAAATATGTTTGTAAATAAATTAGATCCTGTGACCCTGTGAATTTTGTATCACTTATAACGCTATCTATTAAAAATATTTCGGAGTAGCGATTCCCATACAAAATTATCTATTGTAATTTTTAACTGAACGTTGGGGGGTTTTCGACTTTTTTGAAACCACCCCTGTATTACAATGAATGAAACGAAAAAGAACTGGCGAGACAAATGAACGGCGATTCATTTTTATATATATAGATTAAGTATTAATATAGTTTTTAAGTACAAAAAATAGACTCAAAGTTGTCTAAAATAAATAAATTATCCTGTAATTATTATTTCTACATTGTGTAAAAAAAGTATAAAATTATAGGTATCTATTTATTTTCCAGAATCTTAAACAAATACACTAGATTGTCCATGACGAGAAATGCGGTATGGACATTATCAAATTTATGTAGAGGCAAGAATCCACCTACGAATTTTGAAGCTGTTGCCCCAGGTAAGTTGATAAATGTGTTACTAGGTATAAGTCATGTCCGTTATTTATTAAATACAAGTGATATTTTCTAAAATCGAAGCATGAACTTAAAAACATAGTTTTAAGGAGAATAGTTGGATCAATGTCGGAATGTCCGGATAGTAATCAAATGTTTTATTAAATAATCATCCTACATTTAGGTATTCCAGTACTAGCGCGATTGCTACATCATACTGACGCGGATGTATTGAGTGACGCATGCTGGGCACTCTCTTATTTATCTGATGGACCTAACGAGAAGATACAGGCAGTCATTGACGCAGGTGTCTGCAGAAGACTTGTAGAGCTACTTATGTAAGTTGTATGTTCATCATATTAGACATCTGTACACTATTGAATATAGGCCTCTCCCTCCCTCTTGTGGTGTTTTCGAAAATAGTTGCTAATCTTGGCAGGTGGGTTGGCAACCGTAGTTAGGCTTTGGTAATATTTTAAGAGGGATGTTGCTGTCCATACTTCGAGCCTTAATAATTCCCTTAGTCGCTTTTCCCAGGTAGCAATTATTCGCCATATTGACCTCGATTTTTTGTCACTGACCTTAAAATAACTTTAAACTGACGTCTTATTTGAGCCGCAGACATCACCTTGCTACCTGGGTTACGACACCCACGGGAAAGGAAGGAATGGCCCAATCTATGCATGAAAAATTTCGTTTTCTACCATCGGTCTATTAAAAAGGTAAAAATATAAATATATTATTGGTATATTTAGTTAAATAAAAGTTAAAAAGTTTCTATCTGTTCTCCCTTAACTAAAGGTTGTCTGTAAGAGATTGCCCTAGCGATAAGACCGCCTTTTGTACCTTTATGTGTATATTTCAATCTGTATTTATGTTACTGTATTTCATTTGAATTATTCACTTGTCATTGTATATTTTTATTTATGGTGCAATAAAGAGTTAAATAAATAAATAATTGCTGTATTAATATATCTGCACCATTCATGTAAATAGAAGACCATACTCCGATGTAAAATTATGTAATCGAATTAATTATATTTTTATTTCAAAATGAAGAGCTTTTGATATAAATAATGATATTACTCTTATTGTTTGCTTGGTCAGCTATTGTACGTAATAACTGACTAATAAGATAAAATAAAATAGATACACATAATATTTAAAGAAGGACATACGCAATTTTTTATTCCAGACTGATAACTGGTTGTAGGTCAGTTGGCCCATCGTGACGAATTCAATGATAATTAACCACGATGGTTTCCAAGGGGAAGTGCGTCGATCTGACAAGAGTATACTACTAATAATGAGATTGCTAGTCCCCATTACTAAAAGATCTATAATATATTCTTTTTATAACTTATAAAAAATATTCAACACGATGTAATATCTTTATGAACTAATTGAATTGAAATTAAAATATATCTTATTATTTAGTTATCATCATGTATCATATCAGCCCTTAACCGTTCACTGCTGAACATAAGCTTCCCCCTTGGGGGGGTTTGCCAGTAGTTGCCACGCTTGGTAGGCGGATTGGCAACTATAGTTAGGCTTTAGAGATATTTTAAGAGGGACGCTGCTGCTCATCTCTCGCTGTCCCTCAGTCGTAAAAGACGACACCCACGGGAAAGGAAGGGGTGGCCTATTCTATGCCGGAATCACACGCTTATACGGTTACAGTATAACTGTTTAGTACTACTCATCTCTACTATAATACTCATCTATAATACTAAAATCAGGCTCTTATATTTTTAGGTTCTATTGCCTTGTTCAATTTCAGGCATAACAAATCGACGGTAGTGTCAGCGGCGTTACGAGCTGTCGGCAACATAGTGACGGGCAACGATGCGCAGACACAGGCGGTGTTGAACTGCAACCCGCTACCCAATCTGCACGCCTTGCTGCGGTCCAGCATGGAGGCGCACCGGAAGGAGGCTTGTTGGACGATCTCTAATATTACAGCTGGCAATGCTGTGCAAATACAGGTATCTATTAGTAGCTTAGCATTGGGAGGCTATGCTTGCACATGACATTATGTTGCTCAAAGTAACTAATGGGGAAAATAACTGTAAGTGATTGGATTCTTATAAAAAACATTAGATGTTATCTCCAAATGTGAACCGATATTGAATTTTTTTTTAAATTGAATAAGTTTTTTACTATGTTGGTTCAACATAATTCATTAAACAAAATTTAAAATGGTTGTTTTTTTTTAAATTATATAAACCTAGTAGGCCTACATAAAATACTAACATACCTATTTGGTTTTGTCTTTCACAGGCTGTCATAGATGCCAATATATTCCCAGCTTTAATTGAAATTTTGAAGCAAGCTGAATTCAAAACGAGAAAAGAAGCTGCATGGGCGATAACCAATGCCACTAGTGGCGGTACTCAGGGTCAAATTAGGTATGAAATTGAATTTTGAACACGACATTTATTATTTATATATTTATTTTTTATTATAGCATGTGATCTCATCATTCTGAGCGAACACAGATAATAAATGATCCATGAATATGAACAACCAAAAAAGAATGTTCCACCCTCTATGGTCGGCCATTAAATTTAATCCAAATTTATTGATTTCTTTGTTCATTGTTATAAATTATTTATAAAAATTTATTTATTAATTGTACTGAATTGCCAGATATTATATTGGTATTATTTGCTAAAATCATTAACTTAAGATATATATTTTTAGGTATCTGGTTGAACAAGGATGCATACCACCTCTATGTGACTTATTAACCTTAACTGATGCGAAAACAGTCCAAGTTGCCCTCAACGGTTTAGACAATATATTGAGAGCTGGCCAACCGTCGGATCAACGGGATAATCCATATGCGGCATTAATTGAAGAATGCTTTGGTAAGTAAATTAAATACACACAATGTTTGTATTGATGATAAAAAACTTCAAATATTTCATCAAAATTGGATTTCTAAATATAAAAAATATTCTATATTAATTAATACCTCGACATATAAATATACTGGTCCCTGGGAGCGCAGAGGCTGCTAATGTTTGCAATATACTTTAGTGCAATAGTGCAAAGTATACTTTTATGCAAAACACGATAATATAAAGATACATATTTACAAAGTTATGTAAATCAACATTTACTATACCTAAATGTAATATTTTCAGGTCTGGATAAAATAGAATTCTTGCAGTCACACGAAAATCTTGATATATATCAAAAATCATTTGAAATAATTGAGAACTACTTTGGGTCTGAAGAGGAAGATGGCCGACTGGCTCCTACGGTATCCTCCACTACAGATCAATATCAATTCAGTGCTGATCAGTCGGTGCCTATGGGTGGTTTCCAATTCTAACCGAGGCCTATATATGCTTTTTAATGCTTCTCACTTCACTGTGAGTAATATTCCCTTACGTTATGCTTACTTAAGCGGCTTGTAACACAGCAACATGAAGAATTTTGTTTCCTTTTTATCTAAATGCTGTTCAACAGAACATATTTTTAATTAGTTCAACTTTTATGTTTGTGTTACATAATGTGTTTAAGCATACTTTAATGCTTTTTGAAACCTTTGTGATTTAAAGCTATTATGTAATATTTGTAATTAAAATGTTTATTATCTCTTACACTTAAAAAGTGCTGTACAGGTTGTTAATTTCTAAATTTAGCTTAATATGACGCTTATTATTTTGGGATCTGTTTAAGTTGTTTAGTAAATGTAGAGCAATCTGTCTATTATTATGTACATTCAATATTTTACTTCTCGTTGCAAGTATAAAGAAAAATAGATATTTCTATTTTGATTTTGTATTAAAATTAGAGACTCACAATAATAAAGTATGATAATGGACTAGTCATAACAACTTTTAATATAAAAAAAAAAAAGTTACTACAGAAATGAATCAATGTGTTATTACAGACAAAGATTTGTTGTACTTTATAAATTGTTGTTTGACAACCAATTGGTACTTTGGAAGTATTGGGATATTTATGTATAAATATTTAATCCTTTAACTTTTATTGTCATTGCTGTAAGATTCATTTTATATATTTATTTTAAAAATTGCTTGATATACTGTATTTTATTGCCTCATATGTTTAAATTGTTTTACAAATGTGTATAGTGTTGAATTAAAAGTAAATAGTTTTCTGAACATATTAAATTGGTAAAATTAATTGTAACTATTTTGCACTTTTACTATGTAGGCAATTTATGTCTATAAAATTATTAACGTGAAATCAATTGCAATATGTGTTTGCTATTGTAGATAACGGCATATCTAGTTAATTTCTTTTGTAGTTAAAATATATATTAATATTTTGTTTGATGTAACATTAATATTTGTTACTGAAATAATTAAACTTGTATATTGTCTTGCGTAAAGTTATGATTTCTATCGGTCATATTACAGATTGGTACCTACATACTATTCGACTTGTTTTAATTACAATTCTACACATGACAAATAAATTTATGTTGGTCCAGTTTTTAATTAATTGTTATAATATTGTGTAGTGTTAGTGTGCCATATTTACTACAACATTCTTTTACTAACAATTAATTCAATAAAAAAAAACCCTTTTTTTTTAATAAAATTTTGTTTTATAGCAACATATAAATCTAATATAAGCTAATTACTTCTTATGTATAATAAATAATTTATATGTTGTGATATATAGGTTAATTATTGTCCATAAGAAGTGTACATGAAGTACATAAAAACTAAAATTGTAATTGGGGAAGTTAAAGCATTGCATTCAACTGTCTACTAGGGGTTTAAATACATAATGTAGATGGAGATAAAAAACATATAACTGCTGCAAGTAATGTATAATATTTAATGAAAAAATCTATTCTAAAATATAACATTTTACGGAAGCATGTTTGAAAATGTATCATATTATTACTTGTCTTGTGGTTTTGACAGTTCTTTGACAGTACTCTATGTGTAAATATCCACTCTATGTGATACTCTATACTATACTCGTTTTAGGTTTTCTCCTCAATTATGTAAAATCAATAAACCTATAGCAAATCCTTGTACTGCGGTATTCAAGTCGGTCATTATTTTAGTATTATTATTTCATGGTAACAGCTGAAAGGTTGTATGGTTCAAAATATATGACTACATCAGACACTTTTTAAGAACTATGTAACGATTTATAAGTTTAGTTCGCCTACCTGCTTATTCACTTATTTATTTTGTATAATGAACTCTGTGGGTAATTTAAATCTAGTCTACTATATTTGCATCAATGTATTACATTGATGCAAATATATAAATCGTGCAATTAACTTTTAAAACTGGGCAAAATATAATCTTGATATTTTAGATATTTATTTTTGAAGAATTAAATAATAAACAAGATCGTTAATTATAAGTAGGATTTTGCAACGTGTAAAGGCTTTATTTGTAACAAAATTAAAATAGAATCAATGCGGCAGTACATGAATTATCAAAATCATTTCAGTACACATAAACATACCACAAAAAATCTTCGACTCTTTTAAGTATTGTATAGATCACAGATAGATAAAATGCCTCTTGACATTAAATCTATGAAAAACAAATCTATCTTTAAAAATCATTACTACCTAAAATATTTGTAACACATTTTTAAATCTCTTTCTTTTTCTCTCTCTCTTATTTTCTGTTGCTACAATACAAATAATATATAGGATGTATATGTATTAGTAACAATATTTGTATTTATTATTATTTTATTATATTCTTATTTTAGTAGTAAATGCACCGCCTATTTAATTTTTTGCTTCCCTCATGATTGACTGGTAGGACAAAAGTAGTTATTTACGTCTATAGTGAATTGTGTTAGATTTGGGTGTACGATCATAAAGTATGGTGAAAATTTAAACATATTTCAAGTATTTGTGTCATAGGGGAGCTCTGTTACTGTTAGAACCTGTTATAGAAATAAAAATACACAAAAATACTTATGTTAGATATTTATTAGAACAATGAACGAACAATACCTTCTTAGGAATTTTACTTATAGTTAAATTTATCAGTCATGAATTCATAAGAAACATTGTACCTAACTAGGTATTTAGATATACTTTTTAAGTATCCTACTTTATGATGTGGAACTATGTACTCCGTTTTCCATTGCGGTTAGATTTTGATTTTCACTCTTGAGGGCGTTTATAGCCACTAGATTACAAAATGAAAAATGAAATGAAATAGTTCAGTAATTAATCAATTGGTTATTTGTTATTGGATTTGGTTATTGGGGACTTAATATAACATTAACATTTTAGAGGTAAATTACAGTATCAAATATCAGCTTCATCAATTTAACAATTATTAAAGTTATACACTTTTAGAATCATTACGAACTATTAAAATATCTTCTACAGATTAAGAAGAACAAGATGAGATCATATATCGTTTTTACCCTGTATTTGAGAATAAAATAATAAACAAGTACATATGATCTTATATAATTACTGTTTGATTACATAATATAGTAAAATGTTCTATCTTAATAAATTGCGTGTCACGACGTTCGTTCAAACTAATTTTAGTTTCAGAAACTGCTCAACCGATTTTAGTTTTGAGAAGTATGATACTATTTGCATCAGCTACTATCTATATATGTATCTATTAAGGTATAACTATTACTGTTATTGAAAGAAGGTACTTTACTAGATATCACTAGCTGTCATTTAGTAAATTGATTTAGAAATCTGATGATTCAGACAAAGCCATTTGTTTACTTTAGAATTTGATTTAAATATTTTAGGTTAGAGAAGTTTATACAATTTAAAGGGCTTCTATTAACGTATTTCTACCATGCTATACCCAAGCCGTTGAAATAAGCGTTAGCTTTTAAAAACACATGGTCCTTGTAAAATTTGTCCCAAAAAGCCATTCTTTCGTAGAATGGATTTTTACCTTTTGTAATTTCTGTTCCTATATTGATATAATGTAGTTGATTCTTATTTTCAACGGGGTCCCAAGTGACTTGTAGTAATGAATCGTCGGGGTTTGGGGTTGGATTTCTGAAACAGTAACAGAAAGTTTACAGATAGTAAATTAATAGGTAAGTGCAAATAATATGTGCTACGCAATCACACCATGTCGTTATAAGAGGATATGAACTCATTGAAAAAAGAGGATTCAGGATTCCCACGGTAAGAACTATTCTAAAATATTTTAAAGCCATTCTATAATAGTGTTAAATATGCTTTTTACAGTATGCTTAGGTAATGTACAACTTAGACCCTAATTTTATTATTAATGTAAATGAAAGTCTAAATCAGTTCACATCTGACGCGATATCGCGTAACATCCCTCCAACATACTTGTATAGGCGACTTATTTAAATGAACTTGATGCTAATTAGCATCAAAATTTTGGATCGCACATTGCAAAACTTACCCGTATTTGGCAAAGTTGGTCCACATTTTGACCACCCTCTTCCTCGTGATTTGAGAATCGCGACTGCCTTTACAAATCTTTGAATCAGATTTTATTTGAAATATGAATCCTAATTCTGTAAAGTGTCCAGAAGAATTTAGTATATTTAATTGCTCCGGAACTTCCCACTCTCCAGTGCAATTAAGTATGTAATAAAATATTGGACATTCATGGGAATATTGACTATGTAGTATTACTGTTTTGTTTACATAATATAGAAAATAGTAATCGCTCAGTATTTGCACATATTGTCTTTTAGTATTTTCTGTAAGACTTTCAGATTCTCCTAGATAAAAATTTAAAATTTGTCGTCCCACAATTTTTGATTTAGTTTCTTCAACACATAGTGATCTCGGTACTAGAAGTCCGATATTATCTTGGTATTTTTCTAAATTACTTCTATAATAATCATTTTTTATGTAGTCTATTACACTGGCTTCTGCGTTATTACTTCCAATTATAAATGGCACTTTATTAAAATCTCCAGATTTTATTATTGTGTGAGGAGTTTTTGTAAGAAATGCAGCTTGACCTTCAAAATCATCTTCTATACATGGTTTGAAAACGGCATCAAAAATATCATTATTAGGTGTATTTTTTAAGCGAGAATATAATTCATTAAACGCGTCTAAAATGTCCACGTCAGGTAAAAACCTTAATTCTTCAATAATTTCGTGTCTTTCGGTTTTTGTTATTCCTAATTGTTGACAAAGTTCTGTCGCCGCTAAGGAGGGATTTAGTGACAATGACCAATTATTCAGAGCACTAGCACTTTGTATTATAGCTTTGTGAAATAAACCTTTCGCCATTGGTGACAACATCATGAGATGTATTATCGATCCTCCACTATTACTTCCACAAAGTGTTACATTCTCAGGATCGCCTCCAAAGCGACTAATGTTTGTTTGAACCCATTTTAAAGCTAGAATAATATCTTTTAATCCACAGTTACCAGGTGCTGTGCAGTCATTAAATGAAAGAAATCCAAAAGGACCAATTCTAAAACTACATGTTACAAATATGACCCCCTGATTGGTAATCGTTACTGGATCCCAGAAATCAGTTAACCAATGTGAAAAATTAACGCTATTTATCCAAAATATAACTGGTAAGGGTTTAGAAGGTTTTAGATTTGGTGTCGAAATCTCAATGTAAAGGCAATCTTCCGATCCCATTGTGTATTTTTCGCAACCGTTGAGAGGTAATGGTGTTTCTTGTGTGCAGTCAATTTCTTCAATCCACGGATCGTTAGCTATTGGAGGCTGAAACGTTAATTTTTTTATTAATAGTAGTTAATAACCATTATATAGATAAGGGTTTTTGTACTATTCTACGTACATTTGTATACAAGTTGCACTGCATTGCAATAAATGAACTCCACGCAGACAATGTCGCGGACATAATAATATATGTATAGTATTCAAATATTTCTTTTATCTAAACAAAAACCTATTTACAGATTGTTTTGTGTAAGGAACTCTTGGCATGTGAGACCAACTCGCATTGGACTTATTTTATTGAAATGCTTCGGTAGTAATAGCGCCTATTTACGAATAAGGCAGTATATAGAATATGAGTTAGCCGTCATTCCATTTGTGTTCTAGAGATCTCAGTGACTGTCCACCGCACTACCATTAGTTTGAACATTTACGTTATCATAAATAACTAAGACTATTATATATTATTTTATATAAATAAATAAAAATATTTTTTTTATGAAATTTTATATAAGTAATTAAAACAAAAGAACATCAGCTACTTTTAATTTTGGTTAAGCGTACGGTGTCGCGCATAGATATTTACCTAGTTATATTCATTCAATCATTTACAGATCCCAGAAGTGCTGGTTTTAAACGCTGGTATTTTGCACCTATGGACTGCTTTTATGGGTAGGTGGGTAATATATATCTACTAACTCGTATCTCTCCCATCAAAACATGACTATCTACTTAAATACGAATTGTACAAGATTGCCGGAAGATATAATAGGATTAGATACTTATTTAAATGGTAATTATAGGTATATTATTATTTAACTATGACATCTATATATTCATATTCTTATTTCTTAGTAAGTACCTAGCTACCTATTGCTAGTTAAGTAGTTACGTTTATGTATGTTTGAGTCATCATTTATAATTTGTTTTTAAGTGAATGAATCATCATATATTACAATTATTTTTCCTTATTAAGTAATGTTTGAGGAAACTTAGGACTTTAAAATGTTTGAAATGGCATTATATTTTATACGTAGAGAACTAAGTACTTATTATCGGAAGTGAGGTTAGTAACGGGGACTAGTAATTCTATGGCTAGCAACATACCCGGTCAGGTCGACCACCATGCGGTTCCCCTATTACGATTGATTAATTCCTAATAAATTCTTCACGATGGGTTATTTAACTTATATTTATCCTCACCTATCATACCTTACTGGACTATTGATTCGCCAGTGTATACTGATAACGTAGGCGGGGTTACTATTCCATTATCATCCATAAGTACTTATTACCTGAACATCAAATCGGTAATAATATTTATGTTATTACTGTTATATATAACGATGGTATTTACCTATAATACGATTTGATTTTGATTTTTTATTGCCTTATACAAAGAAAATTGTCCTTTATATTGTTAGTAAACAGCAAGTATTGAAGACGCTGTTTTATGAATTTGTGGAGCAATGGCGGCGATTGTGTGGCGCCGTTTCTCTAAATCTATCTCTCAATACTTTGATAATTTCGCGGAATAACTGTTTTATGAGCCAATATAAACTAAATCCTACTAATATCATAAATACGGAAATTTGTAAGGATGCATGTAATGGATGGATGGATGGATGGATGTTTGTTAGTCTTTCACGCAAAAACTACTAGACGGTTTCAAATGACATTTATATATATATATATATATATATATATATATATATATATATATATATATATATATATATATATCCAATATTCTAAATTATATTTACTTAAATGAAAACATTATTATTATTAACTAGGCTTTATTTTGCATTTAACAGTTCAATTTCTCGTGTATTTTATGCTCTTAAAACATAGTAGGTACATTTTATTGTAAATATTTTTAAAAATTAAGCAATAGGAGTAGTAAATACTATAGTTACGCTACTAATTTTAAAGTTGTCACTTACGAAATCTATAAATTAGGTAACAACAATTCATTCAAATGAATTGAAAAATCAAACTATGGAAAAAGTTACTACATGCATGTGCAATTTATGCTCTTTATTTAAAAATTCTGTTATATCTGCAACAGATTAAATGAAAATGAACTAAGTAAGAATATATTCATATACATTTTCACAGGGAAATATGTATGGATTTTACTTACCAAAAATCGCAATGGTCCTAAAGGTGGTTTTCCGTATGGTATACCTTTAAATTTATAACAAATTTGTTCACCTGTATCATCCACACAACCACGAACTGGTCCATCTGCTGTTTGTATAACACAGTCAGGTCGTTTAGATGAATCCATTTTAATAAAGCTGTATAAAATTAGATACTCGAGCCGTCAATAATGAATGTTTGAATGTCACGAACCACTAAAATACACTGATAAGTGGTTATCGTATTTGATACCACAATATGCGACAGGCGTCACCTCTAAATAAACATGAACAAGTTTGAGATGGGTACTTAGTAAGGCGAGTATACTTAACGAGAATGAAATATTTATCGACCTTCTATGTTTAGGTATATAACAAATTTAATTAGCTCTCTATCTAATTAAATTTATACCTAAATATAGAATTAAATTCAGTGGATACATTTAGTCATCATTAATAATCCATCGTTGGAGATGGACCTCTTTCAAGGTACCTTTAATATTTTTATAATATCTTAATAAATTAATATCTAATTGAATTAATTACATCTTAACAACAGTAGCCCGTTGCTAGAAATATACTATTAGGTCAGTCTCCACACGGATCATCTTCGAAACCATCGCGATTACTTAAAGATTATTCGCTGGTATCCTGTTAGTGTATATCGATAGTGCAGGTGGAGTTAACATTCTGTTTCATCCTAAAAAATATAGTGTGATGGTTTTGCACTCTGATTTCAAGCATGTCTAGGCCACCTTGATTATACACAAAGATCTATGATGTGGCCAATAATCGTAAATATTTGCATAATGTCATAGATACAGATAATAATAATATTAAAAAAGAAAATTTAAGTATAGACAGATTTTTTGAATACACAAATGTTTATCCCACTTACATTAATTAGCTGTACGAAGAAACATTGAGCTTAATTTATATTTATGTATATTTCCAATCGTATACTGTATGAGTATGTATATTCTTAAGTGGGCAGGTTGTTATTATTTTCATATTATGACATAATAAGCTTGCTTATGTTACTAATATAATAAAAAATATATGGGTTGATTTAAGAATTTCCTTCGTTTTGCGTCTGTTAAAAATTGTAACTGGACATAAGGTATTTAAGAAATATCGTAATTATTAGTAGCCAAAATAATAATTTTTAAAAGTATTTCCTGACTATATGTTTGTTGCGGCATCACGCAAAAACTACTCCACGAAATTTTCACAGTTGTTTTCTAGAAGGTCTAATTTAAAAACTGGTGTATGTTTTATCTAGGAGTGGTCATTTCATGGATTTTTCTATTTCTGAAATTTACGCGTACAAAGTAGTGGGCAAAAATCTACTTAAAAATATGTAAATACTTTGTGATTTTGATAGAAAGTTTTTTTGATATAATAGACAATATATAAGTCCTTTCTATGATAAGAAGAAGAGTTTTAACTCGGTAGGGCATATTTCTGTAGCATAAAAGATGGTTACCTAGACAAACCTCGTAAAATAAAATTCGTCCGGCTGTTACTACTATAGGTTTAGTTAAAGTTTATTACTAAAGATGAGGTGCAATTACAGATACCAAATTATCTACTCTCGTATATATTTGCTAGATATCACATAAAACTTAAGTATCGCTGAAATGCAAAAGAGATTTCATTGAAATAAATGGCCAACACAATGCATTTCAACTGATCGCTGAACTGTAGATATATATACGAGTATGTACCTTGATTATTAGTACATATACCTATGTTATAGTTATAATAAATCTACAATACTTTTTTTTCGGTTGAAGGGTCACGCGATTGTTCACAACCTCACTTTCTCGTAAATAACGATGTTGTTTAAAATGGAGCTCGTGCCGTTTAGATTATATACGGTAGGAAGAACATAAACAGAGAATTCCACTCCTTGGCTGTACGTATGATTAAGGAATTCGCAAAGCGCTTCGTGTGTATAAAAGTGTATATCTACGACATAAGGGCGAAGACTATCCCCCCATTTGATCGTCCAATGCAGAAAGTGTGATGGAGGAACCAGGTCATGGAGTTCTTGAGCACACTCTCCAAAATATATGCGTAACTGTGGGTTTCTGTTATTTATTAATTTCGGGGAATTACCTATGTAATATAGAGGCATAGAGTACAATTATAAGACATGAGTGCATAATATAAAATGTTCTTTATACTGCTTGCTGTAAAGGACTGCGGCAACTGACCATCATGATCTTCATGACATAAGTGCATAACGCCTATTGTAGGTGTCAGGAATTGATATGTATTATATAAGTACGCCAATTTCTAAATGAATTTGACTGGAAATATTTTATTCTATGTAAGTGTACTAAGTACATATTTTTTGGTTAATGTACTTATATTAAAATTTTTTACTTAATATAGGTATCTACTAATCTAAAAAAAAATTTAATAAATATAGTATATATAAAATAGTAAATATATAGATTAGGAAGTGTAGTTTTCCTTAAAGTATAAAATAAATTAGTTATTAGTAATATATAAAATATATTAGTTGCCAGGGGAAAGCGTAACGTCGAAGAAATTGTAAAGAGATACGGTTCAAACAAAGCAATATATTAAGGAGGGTTTTACAAACGAGCGCGTAGGTAAAGGGCGGCAAAGGTCTGCGCGTTGAGGTCACTGCTACATTTGTGGCTTACCCCTCATTTATTTGCGCACGTGGCAGATATCCACTGCTTCTGTACATCTATCTGTGAGGTGTACGAGTAGTAGCCATACTAAATTGTGGTTTTTAAATGCCGTTTAGGCATACCTATCTATAGTTACGTAACTATAGATTCTATGGGCCTTAGATTTTTATTAACTGTTTAGATGTTCATTAAATTGTAAAAAAATGATTTTGAGTAAATACTTCATTTAATAACATCTACTTGATTACTATCCACAAGCTAAAATTTTAATTATAAGTAAAAAGGTAACAATCGTCTCCAATGGACTATAAATTGAAGTTCCAATTATTTAAGTAGTTATACACCTAACTGAAACTGAAACATTTCTTAAAGAGAATTTGAAGCAATATTGAATTTGAAACAAGGAGAGTTATGAACTACTTTTGTTAAATAAATAAAAATGAATTTAAAATAAAAACCGTAAAGTTGTTCATTGCGCATTTAGTTACTATAAAGCATAATACTTATTATTGAATTAAGAGAGAATTAGATACTGGCACTATAGGGTATTGTTGACCTGAAGTCCATTTAATGTTTGGAAGGTCGTGTCCGCCCTTTATAATAAGATTACAAATGATGTTTCCATGCCTGTGTTACATGTATATGAGGGTAATAAAGGTAATCTGGTGAGGGTAGTCTACCCTTATTCGTCCCAGATTTCACTGCTTTTAACTTGTTCGTTTTAAATTAATTGTAATAGACGCTTGTTAAATGAAATGTTTATATTCTAATTGTTATTTTCTTATGAAAAGAAGTTTATTTATGCACAAAAAATCATAAAGAATTTAATAGGTGTTATTATCTACTCATTATCGTCATCTTACTGTCCGTATCCTATATCTTTTTGGTCTATTTTTTAAAGACGAAAATGTTTTCATTTTACCAAAAGGACATGGTTACTCCGCCTGCGCGAATGTTGGAAGATGTTTAAGGATGACGGGTGAGGATTATAATGTAAAGTTGATCTTCATGCTGTTCCACCTGGAAGCTATCGTGGTTAATTTTTGATGAATTCATCACGATGAGCTAAGTGACCTGCTTTCATTTTCACCTAATTATCTCTGATTGGTGTCCTTCTATGGTAATCCAATGACGCAGGCGGGGTTACCATTCTGTTATTATCCAAATAATAGGTAACAATGAAGTCAGATCTAATTTACCAGGAATTAACCAAGACGGTCCCCAGGAGGAACTATTACTAGCAACTACTACTACTCTATTTGGTCGACTCCCATAAAAGCATTCGTTTCGGTTACTAGGAATCACTTCCCCCTTATTTTTCCATCAATTTATCTATCTGTGTTTATCATCGTAGTATTTACTCCCTTTTTGACGGGGTGAAGGGATTATTAGTATTGGGAATGTTAATCTCTACTGCTAGCAGTGACTGCCTAGTCCACATCCATGTAGTTCCCTCTAGAAACCAGCGTTGTTAATCATTGAATTGGGCAACTGACCTGGTTCTATCTTCATCTTTCACTACACACTGATACCACGACAGTATATATTGATCGGTAGTCCAGGCAGAGTTATCATTCCATTATCATCCATTAAAAAAGTAGGTGTAGAAATCTGTATTGTGGCGACATGAAGTGGGATAAAGGAGGTCCGAGGTAAAAGTTAGTGTTAAGTCTTATTTTATTGAATTATTTTAATTACATCTTAGTCTGATCGACTTCACGCTCGTAGAAATCGATTAGCAAGTTTTGATCCATGATTTTTCATCACAGTACTTTATTTTTTTAATAAAATCTTTTCTTAGTTCTTTTTCATCTTTTGCTAACATTTCCTTAAAAGCTGGGGTGTTAATCATATTAGCAAAAAAACGCCGATTACTGGTAAATTTTGGAGCAAATCCAACTGTCGTTTTAGAAGGATAGTTGATAAAACTTTGTAAGTTGTCACTTAAAAATCTGTGGCATAAAAAGTATAATAATTAACAATAAGACACATAATACGGGGTTCATAAGTTGGTACTTATAGAATTTGAATATTATTATAAGGATATGCTTTCTAGGAACTGCAACTCAAAGGAGAAAGCCTTGTCTACCTTTGTAAAAACTTGCGTAAATATCTTATTATTATTTTTTAATTTAACTTGAAATGGCAAACAAAACAATTTAAATTCTCCATTAAAAAGCCTAACCGTCACCTATAGAATTGAAAGGAACCATGTATAATTACATAGTGATGCTTGTTATAAGTATTCACCCTCTATAAGTAGCATGAGAACTGCGAATTCATCAGAACTAAAGTTTTCATATCTCCATAGTGCGCCCGGTAATTTTAGTTGAATTTGTATTGTTATTTCTGAAGTTAACCACGTACTTTTTTTTATATCACTGAGGTGGCAAACAAGCATACGGCCCACCTGATGGTAAGCAGTTACCGTAGACTATGAACGCCTGTAATACCAGAGGTATTACGCGCGCGTTGCCGACTCTGAAGAAACCTCTTTACCCCCTTTTGAAGAACCCCATGCTGTAGTCTCTTGGAAAAACCTCGGCAGGGAGCTCATTCCATAACCTGTACTATGAAAGTCAGACAAAAATTCGGAAGTATATTAAATT